TGCAATGGGTAAATTTTCCTTGTTTCACAAAATTGTAGACCCAAAGTGCGTCAGTGAAATGAAAAAATGTGAAACAAGTAATCTAATTGAACAAAAAGCAGCAATAGCTTCACTCCTCGAGTTTGCTTGAATTAACTAGTAAGCCGTCAGTTTTTAGCATTTAATAATCCAACTGAGACAATATAAATGCCATTTGAATTTTCTACAGGCGTTACAAAAAATAGAGAAAGTAAAATAAAATGGGTTTACTTGTCTGGCATTTAATATGGGTAGAGGATACACCAAAAACAGCAGGAAGCGAAGGAGTTTCAGGAAGTACAAATTCCCAAACAGTCAGATTTAGTTTCATCCGCAGAGAGAGATTTGAAATGGCATCCTCATCCATTACATCTACTGATCCATTATCTGAAGAGAATTCAGAAAATGATGGAGATAGAAGAATCCTTCTTAAAGATGTAGTTGCAGATTTCACTCTTTCAACCTAAAAAAGAGACATTTATGAGAAAACCCCAAAAATAACACCAAGGTCAAAAAGAGTATCAATATACAAAACAGTGATAGAAAAAACAAAACTCACAACTTCATCTAATGGTTTTCCATCAATGGGCTCAACAATGTCAAGACAGCCCTGTAACTCCCTATACAATTCATGTTTCTCAACCTTGCTCCCACTTTGAATATGAGATCTGGGCAGTGGTTAATGTTGACAAAGAAGTTGTGAATTAAAATGTGTAACACAAAATCATAACGAACAGAATTATTTAAAGATAGAGGCTCACTCTGCATCTGATTTTATAGCAGTAATGATAATCTCTCCTTCATATTGTCCCGGAGGTTGAGAACTTGGAACATCAATGGATATCCAAAGAGCAGTGGTCTCCCTGAAGAAGCAAAAAAAATGCCAAAAAACAGAGTGAAAAGTAGTCAACCATCCAGCATCTTGTGCACACAGCAGTAGAAGAAAAATATAAAAAGTTAATCCAACAAGTACCCAGGAAATAGGCTTATTTGACTGACTGGAAGATCAAGGGGAACAAGAGCATCCGGTACACCTAAAATGGGCACCACCCGCCGCAACAGCAGTGACTGCCCAACAACCAGTCTGCCAAAAATTGATGTCAACATAAAATCAAATTAAATCATGTATTTATTTCATACAATATGAAAAATTCCTACCTGTCTCCAGATGGGGAGCATAGGTCACTACATTGAACCTGCACAGTCCCTGCAACACCAGAACCACCCCATGAAACCTTAGGTCGAATAGCTATTTGCACACTCTCTCTCTCATTTCTAGCTGCCAGCAAGTTTATCTACAAGATAAAGCAAAATAGTGAATGATTAAAAGTTCATAATTTCGTCAGTCCAATATGATTCTACAACTTCATTATGCACAAACTCTAACCTTGAACCTAAGGTAAAGAACATTAAGGTTCCAAAGTGAAAGTCATAAATGTATCTGTCAGGCAATATTCTACCCATATCCTTAACTTCATAGAATTATAAATTGGCATGCCAAACTCATGCATTAATTAACCATATGATACAAAACCATTTTGAAACATGCATTAAGTGTAATTAAGCATGCTATTGTGTAAACATGAAGGCAAAAGTCAATTTACAAGTTACTGTCACACATGATAAATTATGAAACAAAAAAAATTTCAATTATTACTTGCAGAGTTCCTATTCATAAACAACAATCACTGGCAGACTCGTGCTTACAGAAAACATGTAGTATGTAGTTTGCAGCAAATTTTACACATAAAGCACAATGATATTACTAGAAAGCGAATATGAATATGAATATAAGCCACTGCAGCAAGATAAGATGAAACTACTAACAGGCTCCAAATGTCTAGGCATATCTTGTGGTCCAACGTTTGCTGAGTTTGGCATGCACCATACATGCACCAAATCCCTAGTTGGAATTTCTGTAGGGTCAATTGATCCCTTGAGATGATTCAAGCCATGTGTGCCACCATCATTCCATCCATAAGCTGTACCACCTCCAGCAACACCTTCAACTGGTGGCACAACCACATCTTGAGGATTTCCTGCCAGTAGTCATTTAAAGATCAATGTACTGTCCAAAATTTTTGTTTACTCGTCAAAACAGTGTTGAAACTCGAGACAATACAAAATTAAAAAACAAGTCTCTCTTTTAGGTTTTATTTCTAGAACTATCTCATTGAACCAGGTGTAGCACAATAACTAGCCAATTAACCTCCTACCAATCTAGATCAAAAAAAGGAAGATAGCAAACGAACAAAAGTTTTAAGCATATCAAAGCCATTAACCTCACAGAATTCATTAAACACAGCTTCTGGCTTGCATCTCACAGATTAAGTTCAATTTATTTTCAGAACAAAGTAATTTCAAACATAACTACAAACTCAAATTTTAACTAAGCTTATGGATCATGTAGATTCTCCATGCTTAAGCCCTTTGAAACCACCTCATTTTATATAGCTGCCAACTTAATAACCGCCATAGATCGGTTAGGTTTCTAAGGCCATAACACAATAATAAACATAATCCAAAAGGAAAATAAAAGATGAAAGCAAAAATAACCGCGGCGATTGTAAGCACAGCAACAGAACCGCCGAATCCATGCGATTATGCACAAATTGAAGCATAGGGAACGAGAATTTTCGAGCACTCGCAACAAGTGAAACCAGCAAGCTTCTATGTTAGATTCGATTCGAATTCTAAACGTAAAAAAGTTTTGCAAAACGGAGTAACTGTAAATTGAGAGAATGAAATAGAAGAAAAAGCGCTATTATGGACGTAAGTGAGATATAAGAGTGTAAGGACAAACCGGAGTTGTCCATAACGGAGTCGGTGGAGATTATTGGACTGCTACGGTGGCTGGAGAGGAGAGAAGTGATCGCGTTTTGTTTAGTAGCGAAAATTTTTATTCTTATATTTTGGCTGGCAATTCCAATATCAATATGATAGGGGAAGCAAGGCTAAGGAAGAAAAGCAATGTTAATAGTAACTAGTAACTACTTCGGGTTAATGCTTTAAGCACCCTTTCACTTTCCACTTCATCATTTTATCAATTCCATTACATTACGATACTACTTTGGGGAGTGTCTTTCTTTTAAATAATAAATAGCTCCTTATCTATTTGTAATGTTATATTTTAATTCAAATTAGAATAACGCTGGAAGACCTTTAAAAGTTGCATGAATTTGTTTTTCAAATCAGAGACAGAAATCAATTGAAAAATAATACAGCTTATGCACACGTGGATTGTTCTTCTGTTTTTTTAATTGTCGATTTCAACCTTTCAAATCCATTTAGTTCCAACTTTCAGCCAGGTGTTGGTTTCGGAATTTGCATGAAACCGTGCGCACCTCATTACATGTGAAATAATAAAAAGTAGTAGTATTAGATTTAGATAAATATTCTTAAATATTGATTAAAAATATATATAATATATATTTTTAAAAATTCAGTATATTTAAATATTTTTATAAAAAATATTTTTTATTAATTTCATAATAAATATATTTAAAACACTTGTTAATAAGATGCTTAAACTTGAAATCAATAGTCCTCTCAAACTATAAACTATCAAATAGTATATTCTAACTCTCAATATATCCTCTTATATTAATCATTGAATCTTGGATTTCGAAAAATTCGTTAACTTTTGTTAATTTCAATCTCGTCAAATGATTTTATTTAGAGAAAATTTTCTAACACTTTTTTTGGCAACTTATTATAGACGTGAATTAAAGCACACATTATCAAATAGTTATTTCTTTAAGAAACTGATTAGTAAATAGAGAAGTTCATAATCCGGAAATATACTAAATTAATGTAGATCTTGTTTCTGTTTTTATAGGAGGGATTTAATAATGATTAAACTCATAATATTTCTTGCATATGATACTTTTTTTCTGATTAAAAAAAGAATGTGTTATACATCAGCTGTTTTTAAAATGCGGTAAAAAAGAAAATTGGTTGTAACATGCAGGTATTTTTGATTGAAAATCTGTGCATTTATATTATTCACACAATCCTTATATTTTTTTTTTATCACAAGCTGTTTATTAATATCAATTATAATTGCATATCATACTAAAAGTATACTTCAATAAAAGGCTAATCTCAAAATGAAAATTGAATTTAGTTAGTCATTAGTTTAGTGATCCAGCACTCCCAACTACATCATGACAAGCAAACTAAATTAGAATAAGAAAACCCAAATAAAAAAAAAATAACATAAAAGAAATACTTTATCTGAAAAGTATTATATAATACAAAGTAATAAAGTGATCGCGATGATAGTTTAATAGCACGTCCATAATTTAGATCCGTTGAATGATAATCCAAAAGATTAAAAAAGATCAAAATTTTTGTTTTTTCAAATAGTTGAGACAAATTCTGTTAAATAATAAATTTTCAAACTTTTTGTTATACATTTTCTTTTACAAACATTTTAAAAGCTAAATATGAAATACTTTTGTACCACTTAGACCATTACTTAATACACCAGACATGTTTATAATTGTCAGCAAGCTTTTTTGGAGCAGGGTTATATTAAACACTATTATATTTAATGTTAATAAAAAATAAATATAAAATATTAGTTTAAAACTTATAATATCCATTAACTAAACTAAAAAATAAAAAATGTCGTAATATTACAAGTAATCATATATGAATGGAAGTACAAAACTCTCATTTTAAAAATAATTATTAAATAAAAATGATATAACGGGTTGTCTTTTAATGATAATACGTCAAATTAATCCAGATAAATATGATCAAGTAAATTCTTTAATGATTTAGGTCATTAATTCATTTTTTAAATATAATAAAGCAAATTATTTATGTTGAGGCAGTATCCACAAAAGTGAACGGCCAATAAAACTAAAACGTATGGAAAAACTAACATGCTAATATTTTTTACAATTATTTTAGGGATCGAAACAAATCAGACGATAATGGATAAAGGTTTAACCACAATGTGACCAAAACTTCCCTCATATTCTTGCCTCCGTCTTAATTGGCTTTTTCACTAACTTGAATGCATCAAATACCGATCCCTTTGCTTGAACTGTGGCATTCTGCACAAAGTGTTCTGCATGACGTGAAGACCTCCTTAATATCTCCAAAAGCGATACAGTTGATTTTTGAGATGCGGAGTTCAAGGTGGAGGTATATTTGTTCTGTGTATTTCTTTGGAACTTGGCAGAAACAGCTTTTGGTGGTTGACTCTCCTTTTGAATCTGTTCAAGTTCAACCGGAAGGAGACACGGCAAATTGACAAAGCACAGCAGTGTCAACCATCACCATAAAAATATGTAGCCGATATTGCTTATTAACAATCAACGTAGGGAGGACGACTAAAACTTGCATGTGATTATCATCATTAGTGCCCAGTACAATTAACAGCATTACTGATTACTAATGTTATGCTAAAACATAGACGCAAAAAAGATAGTGATATATTCTACTCGTATGACGAATTGGAATGTTGGGCTTAAAAATATTGGAAAAGAGTATTTTATATATATTATTAAAAAAGTAAATTTTAATATAATTACTATTATAGTCAAACTTTTCGATTATATATGGCAAAAATGATTATCGATACATATTTTACTGAGTGTTTTAAAAGCACAAAAAAAAAGTTGTTTATGGTAATACTGTGCGAGGTTTCTGATTTCAGATAGTCATTACCGTATCTGAAGAATCCTCTGGCATCGATACTGAAGTCCTGCTGTTGCTGTCATCTCGCTCAAATATAAAAGATCGGACTTTGCTTGATCCATGCTTTTGAGAAGTATGCATGAAATGATTGGACGCCCGACCAAGAAAAGATGACTGCAATATTTACAATACAATAAGAAAACTCGTATATGGCACCTTGTGTATAACTTAACACATTCCTGTGATTCTAGCATATCATTGAAATTGTTTTCAGATGAGCATCTAAACATATAGACTCATGGCAGGGTAAAGGGGGCAAACCATAAGTAAAACAGCCTCATTTGTTCCACATATACCAGTTTAAATTAACCTACCTTTGATGATATATTAATATTCTGTCCAATGCGCGGCATATCAAAGATGGCTGCAGCATAAATTAATGACAGAAACCATTAGTATTCCCAAAACCTAGAAGCCTGATTGATAAACATTGGAATTCCATAGGTTTTGCTAACTGCACAATGTGGTGAAATTAATAGATCTTACAAGTAGGTCTTCCTTTTCTCTTGGTTTCGGGAACAACATTCAATTTCTTTATGAGACTGAAAACTTCCCTGCTGCTTTCATCCTCAGCTGGTGAAAAGAATTTAGTTTTCTCTTCCTGCTGCACATTACGATATTTAGATCATTTCCTATTGGGTTACTTGAGTATCTCAGCACATGCAATAATGTAAATGCAATGATGAACTTCAGCCAAAACAAAGACCACAGTAGTAAGCTTCGACAAACATTTATGAAAGAGGTCATAAAGTTCAGTAGGCATTAAGGTAGCTGGGAAGTGAGAACTCACAGTTTTATGATAGAGGTATTGTCTAGTTAGCTTCTCCTCAGTTTCCTCATCATCAGATGATACATATTTATCATCTTTATCTGTATACATCAGTGGGATCATCTGCTTCACCTTTTTCAGATTGATCTTCATAGCTTCTGATGGAGCAATGTATTCTTCAGCCTCATCATCAGATTCATTTTCAGATTCTCTGCTTTCCTCGTCTTCTTCTTCAATTGATGTTGTTTCTTTCAATTTTGAACCACAATTAAGTTTCTGGAGTAGATTATCCATTCCAGCTGTATCCTGCTGCTCAAGCCACTGCTGGTGGAGTTGGTCACGCTTTTCTCTATCAATTGCCTTTTCTTTATATTCAGTTGCAATCATGTCATCAAGTTCCTCAATATCATCATTATCTTCGCCTTCTTCATTATCTTGGAAACGCTGTAGGTCATTATCACTGTCATCCTCCTCTTCCGCTTCTTCATCAACGAAAGCCTTAACAGGGTCACCGCTTGGTGGTAAAGTCAAATCAACTGATCCATGTAAATGCGGATCTATGTTCTCCTTGTCATTGTCCTCCTCATCGGAAGAGCTGCAAAAAGAACAGTTGTCATTCTTTTATTTTTAGATCGAGGAGGCAAAAGTAACCACTGACCAGTCCTTCAACATAGCAAAATTAAAAGGTCATGGTTTGTCAAAGAAAATAATACGCAGGTGATCATCGCATATCAATTAGTTGCTGTAATATCATCCCAATAGTTTTAACAGAAAAAAAAAAAACCTTTTGTTATTTGACTTATTTTTAAATATTTGTTTTAGACCAAAAGTAGCAAGCACTAGAATGTGATGAATAGTCAATGGCACCAAATCTGAAGATAAACATAAGAAGAAACTTAAGACACTCACATATCATCATCATCATCAGGAGGAGCAGAATCGAGTTTCAAATTCATTGAAAGCATTGATGGGGCAAACATTTCTTCTGAAAGGTTATTAGACTTCTCATTTACATCGTCGTCTTTAGTGTCACTTCCTTGGGAATCAGAAAAGAGTTCCTAGAAATTGCAGACAAACAAGCTATTGGTACACAAAATATACAGTTAAAGCCAAGCATCATAGCAAATGGCTGATAGAAAACCTGAGTATCATCAATAGGAGCTCGAAATACATGCTCAGATTCCACATCCATAACCTGAAACTCAATAGAGACCATGATTTAGATGGCAATGGCATCTCAACATGATGGAAAAGCACATCCGAACAAAGCATTAAAGAATTTGAAATAAGAAACACAAATATAGTGGATATCACGTACAAATGACAAGTCACATCAAGAATTTCAAATATTCCGACGTATAAACTTTTATCACACTTCCTAAATCAATAATTAAAAAAAATATATTAGTCACAGCAGATGCAATACCACACTTCAAGTACATGACCAAAACCAGTGCATTAGATTTTCTGCTACTTTGGGATGAAGAAATAAATAATGGCATTATTTGACTCACCGTGGGAGAAGGAATGCTTTTGCAGCTTGAATTATCTGCAGCAACATTAGATCCACCAATATGTGACACATTTAAACCACTCCTGGTGGTTGCAGGGCAAGTAACTCGTGGTTCCTCGAGTTCACCCTTTTCTACCTTATCAGTTATCTCCTCATCATTCAATAACTTATCATTATCCTCAAAAGAAGCACTAGATCTGCAACCCAAGCATGCATTAGTGTGTTTTCTAATGTAAAAAAACCAACTAAACCGCGTGCCAATATAAAATCGAAATGCAAATCGACCTACTTCTTTAAAATCTCCAATTTCCTCTGCCGAATTTTATCCAATATCGAAGAAATAGGCTTCTGAACCAGAGGAGCAGGTTTGAAAGCTGCATCTCTAGTTTCTAACCAAAGCACAGTGAATTATGAGAGTTAGTGCTTATTATAAACTCAAAACAAAACTAGAAAGAGGATCATAGCTTCCAGATATAATCATACCTCGAAGAAGCCTCTGCGACTCAGCTCGAAGCTGTCTGAGAGTTTCCTGTCTTTCCTGTTAGATCACAGAATCTACAAATTAGTAAATCAAGAACCAGGTGTTTCGGAGCAATTCACTGAAAAAATGCATGCGGATGAACCTTTTCGGCCTTTCTTTTACTGGACATAGATTCCTTAGGCTTCTTCTCACTGCCATCACTATCCTCGATTCTCTTCTTTTTCTTCTTCTGTTTTTTCTCTGGAAGTTCATCGAAACTACGCCGTTTTCTCTCTAATTCTTCGGTTTTCAATCCCTTGATTTCTTCACTGCTCTTCAGATCCACAGCTTCTTCACTGATTTTCAGATCCACAACTTCTTCTGTAATCTTCAGATCCACAACTTCTTCTGCAATCTTCAGATCCACAACTTCTTCCTTCTCCTCGGCAACCTTTCCGTCAAGTTCGTCACCCACAGAATCGAACTCCAGAACCCTCGTCGCACCCAAACAATCGTCCTTAACAGTGTCGAGTTGAGGGCTTAGGCCCAAACTTTGAGGCTCAAGCCCGGATCCCTTTATTGACTCCTCCAAATGTTTGGAGTTTCCCAATTCAGAAAAATTGGTAGGAGGCGAAGTAGGGTGAGAAAAATGAGGAGCCGTTTTTGCTTTCTTCAGACGCTTAAGCTTTCGTTCGTGGACGGGAAAGGAAGGCAATAGCTGGTAATCGTCGTCGCTCTCCATATCCGGTTCTGATTTAAGTTTCTGGGTTTGATTGAGCCACAAATTTCTCTTTGAAAGAAAACGCCTCTAGCCTCGTCAAATAAAAGAACGGATCATTCCATGATTCTAACCTAAAGATATGGCGGTAAATGCTTTTGAAATTTGTGAAAACGCGCCAATGGAGATGCTTTTATAATCTTTTTATTTATTTGTTTTGCCTTTTTTTTTTGCTCCTTTTTACATTTTTGCCCTTTGGATTTATTGAAATTTGGCTTTCATTTTCCAATTTTCTAATAATTTAATAATACTGTGCAATTTAAAATATACACAAGGCTTTCCCTATATTAATAAAAAAAAATAGTTAAGAATAAATTCAGGAAATTGTGAAACAATTTTTATATATAAAATAAGACACACTGTTGAACCAATATAAGCATAGGATTTATGATTTAACAGTGTAATCATAGTTGAAATAATAATAATAATAATAATAATAATTAATAAAATTATTATTATTAAATAAAATGAAATAATAAAAAATAAAATAAACTTAAATATATATTTTTATTTTAGTTCTTATTTTATATATATATATATATATATTTTAATATTTATATAATATTAAAATATTATCAAATGTTAATTTTTAGTTGAAATCAACTAAATGAACTAAAAATAATAGTCTATAGATAAAATAAAAATAAAGATAAAAAAATCATTTGAATAAACTAAAACAAAAATTTTATTAAAATATAAAAATCAATAACATATTTAAGCTAAATAAACTCATACTATTTATTTTTAAAATATTTGTAATATTATTTAATTATAATGTAAATATTTTTTATTTTAACACTTTAAGTCTCTAGGTTTGTATTTTTTTAATGACTAAAAAAATATTAGTTTAATTATATTTTTGTCTTGATAAATATCAATCATTTTGTAATAAATTTTTTTTGTTTAAATTTAATTCTGTCTCTCCTCTTTTAAATATTAAATTAGTTGAGGCTTACCATTTTCATACAGTATATCACTTAATTTATATTTATAATATTTTATTATTTAAAATTAATAATTATAAATAAATTTCTATCACATTTTTAATATTTATAAAAATATTTTCTACCATTGTCGTAACTCATCTCCTTTTCTCTCTCCCTCAGGTAACCTCTCTCCCCAACCTCACACCTCTCCTTTAATCCTTTCTCCCATCTCAACCTCAACCCTACATCCTAGACTCTCAACCTCAAACATTTCCTGGTAACTCTTCCCTTTTCGTATTCTCTCACTCCACATTCTCAATCTCAAACATCTCCTTTAACCTTTTCCATTCCACCCCATTCTCATCTTCTAATCCTAACGCCACTTCTTCAAGCTTAAACCTCTCTTGTAACCCATTTACCTCCCCTCCCCTCACCCCAACCTTAAACCCTCAACCCCAAACTTCTCTCGTAATCCCTCCACCTCTACCTCTCCTTACCCTTTCCCAACCTTAACCCCACCTCACACCTCTTTCTCGACTCCCCCTCCTCCCAACCTCATTTGCGTCCCTAACTCCATAATTTTCTATATCCTACATTTTTCTCACCCTGCACTCAATCCTACACTTTCCTCCACTCCTTTCTCTACTCCCTTTCCTAACCCCATCTGATACCCTTACCCCTAACTCCAACTTCCACACTTTCTCCCTCATAACCTCACACTTTCTTCCACTTCGTTTTTAATATTATGAATTGAGTATGTTGATATGTTTTTGAATTTTGATTAGTGGAAGACAGTGAAAGAAGTTTATGGAGCGAGGAAGAGGAGAGGAAGGGAAGGAGAAGGGGAGGGAGTGAGGGTGAGAGTGGGTTGGGAGGTGGGAAAGTGAGACGTCGGAAGCGAGGGAAGAGGATTTGAGTTTAGGAGATTTTTTTTGCTAATATTAAATTTAGAAGGTCAATTTTAAATAATAAAATATTATAAAATTAAATAACGTAATATATCATATAAGAGTGTTGAATTAAATATTTAGTAGAAAAAGAATTAACGATAAAAATTAAATTATAAATTTTTAACTTTTAAGAGATAAAATTATAACCAAAAATTTTATAAATACTTATCATAAAATATTCATTATTTATAAAAATACAAAATATAATTAAGCAAAAAATAAAATTAATTTTTAAATTTTTTTTGCATTAAATGTTACAATATTTTGTTTTAAGAACAGTCTTTAATTTAAAATTCTCTCGTACAATATATCAAAACTCTCTCGATCCTACAAAAATATGATAATTTCTTGACTCGCTATCTCATATTGTAAAAGTCATAAATATGTCATACTAATTAATCTTTTGGGTAGTATTTATTGTCTCAATTTAGTATATTGCATTTTTTTTGTTATTTCTATTTTTTCAAAACAAAAATATTGAAATTATAAATAAATTTTCCTTTTGAAAACATATTTTTTAAAGTTTATAAATTATTTTGGAAACATTGTTGTTGATGGAGATTATGCAACAATAAGAAAGAGAAATAGAGATAAAAGGTAATGAGAACTTTAATATAGATTGTCATGTAATAAGTAATAACGATATATCGTGAGTAAAAAAGAAATGTTAGAAATGACAACAATAATGCTAATAAAAATTAGTTAGATTAGTAACTAATGTTGTTAAAAATAGCATTATTTTAATATCTTAAGTATCATCTAATATGATATGCTAGTAAAAATTAACATTTATGAGATGTTTAATAATGTTAGAGATATAATTGATTGTAATATCAAGAACTAACAAAGTATTTTTAAAAAATAAAAAACAAATATATGATCACCAATGTCTAAATGACTAATTTGTAAGTTCACTTATTTGATTTTTTTTGGCCAATTACTTATGATTGAAAAGTATTGTTGCATCATTACTTATGATGATCAATATAATAAACCAGGCATATAATTGAATTTTATAATTACGATATTGTAACTGTTAATAAAAAACATTTTAAGAAAAAACAATAAATCTTAATTGGTAAAGAATAATAATAGACAAAAATGAGTAGCAATAACCAATCCTTTCCCTCACAGTGTAAATTTTTGGTTGCCCAAAATTGAGATAATTGATAAGAATGACACCCTCATTTATAGGTCAAAAGTAAGCTTTCACCTTATTCTTTTTAAATTTATCTACCAGACAAGATAAAGTTGTTTGTTCTATTATCTTAATCTTCCAAACAAGGTGAAAAGTAACTCTATTTCGTTCCTTCCTCACCTCCCTTCCCTTTTCGGAATTTTCCCGCCTGTCCCATTTTATTAACGAAAACACGTAATAAAACAAGCATAGAACAACTCGTTACAAAAAATATACGTCCCCAAGTTGGAGGCAATCGGAGAGGCGGCAGATATTGCAATAGATCAAAATTCAAAATAGAAAGTTGTCGTTGGACAATCAATTCCACAGTCCACAGAGTTGCTCATTAACAATGTAATCACTTCCAAAATATACCTGACCGCAGAAACCATCAAAACTTAGTCAACCAATCAAACAAATGGAGCATTGTATTGAAAGCAAACTACATCTCAAAATTCCACGTGGTTTCAGCACTGATTTTCGGAAGCTTCAACTCCTCGGCCAAGTCAAGGGATGCAGAAATCTGGAAAGCTAGAAGTTAGACAATCTAATTCATTGTGTGAGCAATAATATAAGCTAATCGAGCACAATAACAACCAAACTTTATCCCATGATGGCAATTGGTATGACTTAACCTCACCATCAAAATCATCCAATGCAATACATGAACTAATTCAGGATAATTAACTTGTAAAATATGTAAGTGAGAGGAACAAAATCAAGGGGAACAATGAAACTCTGGGCTGCTTCACACTAGAGTCAAAATGGACGAGATAGACATCAATAACAAAGAATTAATTCAAAGTTTTCAATCCTCCTTAACAAACTTATTTTCCACTCAGACAGAAATAAGAAATAGGAATAAAAATGTGATCATCCAAGCTTACATAGGTATTTCTTATGTGAAGCCTTTACTTGGACATCCTTGTAATCTCAACACACAACAAAAACATGACTCCTCCCACATAACTAAAATTCACAAAAATCACTAGCATTATGTGCAATAAGATTCCCTTCCATTTAGGATTTTGACCTAACTCTATTGTTTTGCTAATGTACTACTACTACATTAATTTAGCATCAGAGACATGGCAGGTCACGGAAGAAAATCAAGGAGAGTAAGCAAGAGGATTGAAGTGAAACAAGTATAGGCCAAAAACTTTTGAGAGATATAAATCTTGACTTAACTCTAGGCCACCCAAAATGCTTGCTTTTATATAAGACTTTTCAAATGACAGAAAGAGCTGCCACTGTCACTAGAAATAAGCAATGCTAATCATAAAAGAAAAACCTTCCACTTTTAGTTAGTCAATATATGTGCTAAGGCTATGTTAACAGAACCGTAAAAAGAAAGGTTTTTCTCGGAAAACATCGAACAAACATTATAAAAATATAATAAATACTTCTTTTTCACCAAAAAAACCTTTTTTTAGTTACTTAGAATGGGCTAAAAAGAACGATATTCACCTTGAAGCAGCCATTAAGCTTGGAATTCCGAGACCACTCAAGCCCCAGCATCTTACTCGATGTCTGGTAAGAAGCCCTCAACAAGTCATCACCACAAAGTCTCCTCGAGAAAGCAAAGTCCCACGAATTCTTGGCCATGTCGTAGCAAGGCTCGAACGCAGTTTCCCCCTTATGAACATAAACATACTTCAACTTGCAATTTCTTGTGTCAAGCACATAATTAGCCGAAACCTTGTTAGAAGAATCCAACACCAAAGTCCCATCCAGAACAGTCTTGTTATCGCCCCTGCTATGCATGTAAGTCAAATTCAACGGTTTCTCCGCAACCCTAACAGTGTTCATAAACTGAAAGCGAAAGTCCTGCAATGCCAGCAAGATAATCCGAATTACAAGAACAAGATATGATTGTGGTTAATTCGTGAAGCTTAGAAGAAGAAGAAGAAGAAGCAGAGCACCTTCTTGGGAACATTGTAATCGACTATGAAGGCGCCTGGTTTTTCGACGGCAAGAGCCAAACCGGTTAAGCTGGGGCCATTGACAAAGGTTACGTCTGTTATAGACGCGCGAATCTTGACATCGCCAGTGCTGACGGCGAGAGTTGCGGCGGCGGCGCCGTTCTTGTCTATGTCGTACCTGCCCTTCAGAGCTGCCTTCATCGTAAACAACGGAAACGGAGGGGATGGAGCGAGAGCCTTTCCCAAGTCTAAAATCTTAATGGTGAACAGTGAACCACCAAATTTATTTACAAATTAAAAATGAGGATGTCGTATATTATTATTATTATTATCATTTACGAAAGTTATTTAATTTTGAATAAAATTTCAAAAGTATATGAATAAGAATAAACAATGAATAGAGCCTTACACACATGAATCTGATTAACATGCCGATTAACTAACAATCTGCATGTAAGAGGAAATAAATGCCCTATATTTAATTTAACGTGCTTAAACTTAAGAGGATTGATTAAAGAACAAATATCTTTAATAAATATTTTTATTAAAATTATATTTTTAATTTTTTAATCAGTTTTTTAAAAGTATTATTTCTTTTTAATTTGTCGATGAAGAAAGGAAAGTAAATATTTCAGATTTTGACAAAGAAAAAGTGGAGTTAAAATATAACCATTTTAATTGTCTAGTTTTAAAAATGTTTTTTTATTTATAAAAATATCACTATATATTTTTTAATTTCATCCAAGAGCATTCTAATTCAAATGCGATATGTGAATGACTTTAACAACCAAAGTTCATGCGCATAAAAACACAGGCTCATATTAACATAAACAGTGAGTTGTGACTGAAAAATGAATTTTCATTAAATTGGGATGGTGACGAGATTGATTCACTTTGGATCACACATTATTTTGGAGAAGTTATCAGAATGCTTAAATATGCCCTTCATGGTTTCCAGAACTGTCAAATACGCCAAAGAATTCAACCAAAAACCACACGACCCATCTGAAACAGAAGAGATTTAACACACAACATTTGTATGCTTATAAATTGTTAAGATAGACATATCGACATGATAATTCACTGGTGCACAACCATATAATCTATATTTTTACAAAATTACATTCCTTAGACTTTATAAAATCCAAAACCTATGACAGCTATATGACGAACATTGTAAGTGTGCATTAGGTCACTTGCGTTCACATACATTTATATGGCTCCAGAAATCGGAATGCACACGTGGATAGTAAACACCCAATTATAAAGGCATAAACATTCTTGCCGGAGGAGATTCAAACGTTCTTGGTTGCCTGGCTATCTAGAACTCCCAAAACGAGTCCAATTGCAACCTCTGTAATAGAATCACAACAATTGTAATTTTTGGTTATTGGCTTCTTGTCAATTTGGCTTACAATGAAACAAAGACCGAAACAACATACTATGAAAAAAGAGAAAAATAAGACATGCAGCTGACGCGCTCCTTGTGATAATACTAGGATCACTTCGAATTTGGAAATCTTTATTGGCGTAGTCAATCATTGAAGAAGTCTTAGTTAAAGAAAAGTTAGGTTCTAATCCTTTCCAGGGCTTCTCAAATTCTTTCAGCTTGATCTTGAGCTTGGCATTTTAAACAGAGTTGTACATTCCACAGATAGGTAATACCCAAACACATCTTACGACATGCAATGGAATATGTCCAAAAGATCAAACATAGTTTCTCATCACATTCTATTACGTTTAAGACTTGCAATATTTTTAGTTCTACATAAAATAAATCAGATAGTTAACTTCTCCCTTTTCTACAAGATTACCAGCTCTACATTGTTATGTTCGTTGCTACTATACATCTTATCTCGCTTCTTTTTGCCTCAAACTTGGATTTCTTTTATCTCATTTTTACAATAAGCAATCTAGTTAATTACATATTGGAACAGTACAAATATAACGTAATCAATCTAACTAACTTCTTTCACCAATTCTTTTAAATGAATAAAAGAACTTACAACTTCTGAAGATAAATCATCCTTCTGTTTATTCTTACTGATATCAACAGTTTCTGAACTTGCGAATTGTTTATTTTCCAACATTCTTTTATCATTCTCAGCTATAACAGCAAGCAACTGATGTAAAGTCTCGTTAAGTTGAGGAGAAATTAGACTCTAACCTTTCCAAGTTTCATATCTTTCCATACTACATTCTTTTTCATCCTTTATAGTTTTCTCTTTCTCCAATTTATCAACATAATAATAAATCAATGTTAAGGTCAATTTTCCATGTAGAATCTTTGTAATAAAGGGGAAAAAAGAGAGAGAAAAACAATAAAATCAATACAGTGAACAAGAGTCTTACTATGATACAAGCAAAACAAAGGCATCAATTCTTTCAAGAATCTCTCACTTCTTACACGTTTTCAAATCATAAATTCCTGAACTGGTTCTTTTAAGAAAAAGAAAAAAGAAACTGAAGGAATCATGGATAAAAACCGGCGGTGAATTTCGACTGCAGTTTCATTATTATTATTCCAAGATTTCCAAATTAAACTTACAAAGCTCTGCTTCTTTATCAGTTTGTCTGCACAAGAATAAAAGCAACCATGACTTGCGAAACATCGTGCAAGAATCTTTGTAGTTTATAGTAAAGAAAGAAAAACAGCGAAAGCCAAATTTCGAAAATCTTATGATCACCAACTTAAATCTTTAGAAGAACTTGAAGACTGAAGCAAAGAACATTGTGTCGGATCGGCAGTTGCCAACGTTAAAACATACAAGGATTTAAATTCTATTATTCATTTCGAAGATCAGAGTGAAACCAAAAAATATGAGAGATGGCTGTCTGGTGTCTACTACAGACGTGACTGTTGTCTGTTGGTCTCTCGGCATCGAGTAATTAAAATATGAATGTACTGTCCAAGCTGGCCAGAAGTGGGAATTTATAGGATAATTCCGCCGACTTAGTTTTATTTTGAAATAATATTGTAATAATGCAAATATTTCATTCTTTATATATTTATTTGTACTGTTTCCTGTACGAAAATATTTTATACTAAGCTAACAAATATTTTGTAAGGCTTTATAAATGTACATGAATATGAATATACAAATTTTAAATTTTGTTTTATCAGCAATAGAAATATAAAACAAAATACCACTTAATTTTTTTATAAAAATTTAATTGAATTTAATGTTAATTAAAGAAATAAAAAATAATGTTTGATTAAATAATTCAATAAACACTATTTGATTTGATATAGAAAGAAATAAATTACTACAAAAAAGTTGTCATTTAATCATAAACAAAAATTATCAAGTATTAAAGATAATCTTTGTTAGCACAGTCTTTGTCTAATAAAAAGAATAGTCTTTAAAGATTTATACTAACAAATAATGCATTTTATCATTATTTGTTTTTACTGATAGTGGTTATTAATATTAATATTTATTAAGAAAAAAGTATAGAATATCTTTTCATGAAACAAATCCTTTTTATTTGTTTCTTTAAAATTATTTATAACTATATTAGTTTTTCAAATATTTTAGTCAATAAATTAATTTTTAAGTATTTAAATTATCACCATATTAATCGTTTAAATATTTTGCTATAGAATTAGTCATTCAAAAATTTAATAAACACTAAATTCTTGGAAAAAAAAGTCATATAATTTATTGTGAAAAATTAAAACTGTAGGAAAAATTAGGATTCAATTAGATGATAAATTAATTTTTTAAAGAAAAATTTGTAAAATATTACTACATTAATTCTCATAAATGGCTGAAATGGTGATAAGATTATTTTTAAATATTTAACTTGAAAAAAAATATTATAAAACGTAAATCAATTACATGAAACAGGTTGAATTGCAAAGTTTTTATTTTATCTTTAAACCATATCATAGAGAAAATTCCTTCCTTTTGGAAATTATCGAGCAGTAAAGTTCATATCTTAAAGTTTCTAACAATACTTAGATCCAATTTGAATAAACCTGTAGAAAAATATTTATAAAAATTATGGGATGAGCTGAATGCTCCCCCTTGATCTTTAGTATTGTGATTGTTAGGCCAATCTTATCAACCGTTATTTAGTTATAAAAAAGTTACCATTACGTGGAGATATCGTTCCTTGAGGATATTACAACAGTGAATCTCACGTGTATTTTTTTTTTTTCTTTTTTAACGAATAGCTCTCGCACAAATTTTATATAAGATTTGCCGGTGTTTTTAAAGAAATAAAGAGAACGTTACTACATGAAATGCTTTTCTAAATAAAAATCGAAATGAAACTTCAAGAAATAGTCTAGCCAGTATACTGCACACACATACAAGCTTTCTTCCCAGTTCCCACCTATACGACAAAAGTAAAAACAAACTTCCCAAGATTTACTCATTCACAGATAGAGTAGCCAAAAATATATATATTTCACTGTTGCATATGAGATTTAATGTCTGTTTGAAGATCGTTGATGGACGTAGGTTTCCAAGTGAACATTTGTTGCCAAATCTCCATGAACGCTCGCACAATCACTGCGTGATAACTCCGTGAATTCAAAGCCAGAAAACACTGCAAGAGTTGCTCCAAGTCCTTCGCTTCAGTCATCTCCATCTCCGTTATCATCTCCATCATCGATTTCTTGAAGTCTTCGTAAGGATCCTTGGACTTTTTCATCACGGCAAAGCTCTCCTTAACCTCCCCCTCCACACTGCTCCGTGTCACGGACGCCCTTGACGATGTCACAGTCTTCTTCTTCACCTGCGTCGTTTCCGCCCCTCTGCGATTCTCCGAACTCTGAAACCTCACTCTCTGAACCCTATTCACGCTGCTCATCTTCCTTCCGTGCCTGCCACTCAAATCTTTCTCCTCACCATGACAAAACTCGTTGGAGAAACTTGTCGAGCAAGAAATCAGAGTTTCGCTCTCTTCTTCGTTGACTTTGTCGATTAGAAAATCGCTTCTCCTCAACGGAACGCTCGACGTGCTTTTGCGGCCTCGGGATTTAACTTTCTTCTCGTTATTGTCGCGGCACATTTGACAGCCACGTGCTAGGGACGTGATCTTTGACGGTGGCGGTGGAGAAGGCGCGTTTGAATACCCTATGTCGTGAGCTTTGGGGTTCACGGGAGAAAGACGGTAAATGGCAGGAACTGGATTTCCTGGGAAAGAGGAAAGGTTTTTTGAGCGACATATTTGAAAGGAAGGGACATTGAATTTCAGTTTGAAGCGTTTGGCCATCTGTGTCGCTAATTTGTTGGAAACTAAACTATTGTTTAAAGAAAATGGCACAACACAAACACTCCCTATGATGGATAAATAATATTTGTAAGGAGAAATAAAATAGAAGAAAGGCCGGCATGTATGGACTAAGGACAAAAGCAAGTAGGACCCAGTTATGATAATGGATGATATGGCATGACTGAATCCGAGTGAAAATAATGTGGTTCATACCCGAAAGGATGCATGTCATGGCTATGGAATTCCTTCATCATGTGCTGTTAAAAAATGGATGTGAATTAAGGGGTCCAGTTACCTAATGAAGACACGCACATAATTGCAAGAATCCCACGTTAGAAGAAGCAGATGGATTAGCATTCTTTAGGCTTCTTATCAACAACTGAAAACTACATAATCTGCATAATGTTATGCGGAAGCTGTTCGTACATGGTATAATCAACGCCGAATTTAAAATTTTAAATGAATTATAATAAGGTTTAGTCGTCATTAGTGGGTGGGTGGGTGGCTGGCTGGCTAACGTACACCTTGATTTAATTTTTAAGGAAGCAAAATCAATTCCTACAGAAAAAGAGTAATGATTCAGTTATAACAAAATTTTACAATTTATATTATATATTTTTCCATGTTACATTCAAATCAAATTGTGGGTTTCTTTGGAGCATCATGACAACAAAGGGGAGCCACTCCGTGGAACACTACAGTCGAGGGATAAAGTGGTGTGACTAATTTGTGGATAGAGTGATAAAATTAGAATGTTAAAAGAGCATTCCACTGGGAATTTAAATTGAAAAAAAAAGCTCAATCTTCATTTACCTTCCGAGTAGATTGTTTTCAATCAACAATGTAGAGAGACTAAAAAATATTTATGTGATTGAGACTAAGAGGGAAAACAAGGTGTGTCCAGCAATACGTTGAAAAGTTCAACACAGCATATCCCCAACCGCAAAAGAATGAATCTGTCAATGTCCTTTTATCACTCTTCAACCTTCTTTTTAATGAATCGCATGCATTTCGATGCAGTGGGATGGCCTTATATTTTGGCACCATTGCTCCCACAGATGCACAATGAGAAACAAGATAGGTCGGACGTTCATACGTGGACAAACAGACAAGGATTTCCAAACAATATTGGAATTTTATTCTTTGCCACACGCTTGGGTAATTTTGACTCGGCCAACACCAGCGTTGCACCATTGGAAAGATAATTTTAAAAAATCTTTTTTTAAAAGAGATAAATTAATTTAAAATTTCAATGTATATTTATGAACACAATAATTAAGAACTAATATTTTGTAATTTTTCATTAAAATTTATAAGATATTACAGTATTTAATATATTAGTAATAATAACAAAACTTTATTATTTATTAATTTCTTAACTTTGGCAGACGTTCAAACTATAATTATTAATTCAAGAGCTGTGTCCTTTCAAACAATTGCTAAATCCACTTAGGAACACTGGGTCTGTGCCCTTTGTACCGCATGTTCTTGTCCACATTCTGTACGTAGTTGCCATCCATGCCCTTGGATTATTAGGCTGCTATATATATAGCGAAGACTGACACACGTTGTTAATTAGTAGTATATAATAACATTTCTTTTGGGGTCAACTATAATAACCTACTTGTTTAAAATTATAAAAATGCCCTTGCTGCGAAGTTAAGATAAGCCTTACATATTACAAAGCCGTGATGCTCATTTTTTTTACGTTGACAACGTAAATGGTTTAATTTTATGCTGAAAATAAAATAAATTTAAATAATTTTATTATCAGAGAGTTTGTATTACTATCAGTGTCTGTATGTATTTATATATCTATTTATTTGAATCACTGAAAATTAGTACTATTTATGACATTATATATAGATATTTTGATTTTTTTTATATACACACATTAAAAAATATACTAAAAAATAAACATTTAAAGGTGTCATTCGATCTCCAGCTATACAAAAACCGTTTCCGTTATATCTATACACGCAGTATACAAAATCCCTTCGTTTAGAAATAAAATAAGTTTTTGAATGGGTATGGTTAATTTTAAAGGAAAAAGGTTTTTCTAGAGTTAAAAAATTTCTTTTAAAAACATCTAATATGTTTGACAAGATTGTTAAGGTAATCAAATGTTATTATTTGAACTAAAAGATGTTACTTCTAATTTTATAAATTTGGACTATAAACAATTTTAGTTCTTAAGTTTTATTCGAGCCAAATAAGGATGTGTTTAATTAAATAAGTTAATTAATTATTTGTTTAATTATTGAACTCTTGTAATATGAAAACTTATGTCAAATAAGATTTATTAGAATAATTAAAATAGGTTCATTGACGTACTTCACTAAAAAATTAATTATAGGTCCTATTTTCAAAATTAAGGAAATATGGTCATGTTGCTAACTTTCTTTCATCTAAAACTCATCGCAAGTTATTATTATTTTTTTATAAATATTTAAGATTTATGTTGAATCTGGGACATGATATAATTATTTTAAAAGTTAGACAATTAATGAAAAAATTATTTTATAAGATTAGAGTTTGAATAGTGAATTTATAGATTCTTTTACAAAAAATTCAATGAAGTATGATGTTTTTGTGGGCTAGATTTGGATAATTTTTTTTAAGAAAAGTCAATTTAATTTGCGAATATTTTGTATAAAATTGAATGTTTCAGGTTTAACAAACTTATTCACAAAATTAAATTAAATTCATTTTAAAATAGGACATATTGTAAAAAAAAAAAAAAGACATAATTGACTAAAATACAATACTAAAACCAGACTTAAAAAATTAAAAGTATTATTACACCAAAAGTTTTATATAAAATTTTAAAAAATAATGTTTAAAATGTTATATAAAAATATTACTTACCTTTAATATACCACTAACGCAGTAGCACCAGTTTAAGCCACTCAAGAGAACATATACAATGTGTAACACCTTAAATTTAATTTCAATTTAATAAGAATTTCACAAATTCAAATAACTAATTTTTATAAAATACTTCAAAATAAGAGAAATGTTACAAATTAATATCAAATGACTGTTACAAGACTAGTTTAGTTACAACAAATTTTAAAATAAAAGTTAAGTCCTATAACAGTCCATCCATCCTTTCACTGAGTCCGGTATTGATCGTCTTGATTACCTGAAAAATGAATGTAAGGGTGAGTGCTTTACACCACCCAAAATACACAGTCAACATAGAGTCTCACTTCTAGAACCTTCCCAATACATTCAACAAACACAATCACAAACAGCACAATTCACATCCATAAGTACAAAACACAAATCCACGCATACGCATATCAGCCACACTCACTATAGTACTATAATCACAGATTTATACCATGAATGATCGTCGGTTACCCTCGCCTCAGGATACCATGCGGGCAGTTACGGGTCGCTTAGCAAGGATAGTGGTCAAAGGTTTAGTCAGGAAGAGAGTGTATGGCCTGAGGTGCACTCGTTCCTCAGTCAATGTCATCATCACTCTCTCCTCCCCAAGGTATTTCTACTGTCCTCATCTTCCACACCCCTAGTGTATCGCTGAACCATTCACAGCACATCACAACGGCACTAATACGCTCATTCACACATATATTTCATTCACGCATGCAATGATCATGCTTACACATGGCACACGGCCCACATTGCATTCAAATACATGACACATAGCCAATATTCATCTATCATGCAACATTTACATACAATCCACATCCATCAAGTTCGGGTCAACACACATAATGTTCACATCATGGCCCACATTACATTTTTCAACACTTTTCTACCCCCTAACTCAGTCACAACACAATATTAAGCAAAATAACAACAATTTATTGCATAAAAGAGTAGGATAGAGTCCTCTCTTACCTTGGATTGATGTCCCACGCGCTAAATTCACTAAGAAGTACTTCCCCTCACCGATTTCGTCCTAAACACATGAAGAAACTCTATGAGAACCCAGGGGAACCACAAAAACAGAGAAAGGGGATGAAAAACCGAAACCCTAACCAGTAAAACTTATCTCCAAGCGTTCTCCACACGAATTCAACCTTCAACCAAGCTCCTGAACGGCTTTGGAGGCAATTAATCGGTGGAATAAGGCTTTAGAAACGAGACGATCAAAGGAATTTCGAAGGGAGAGGGAGAAATAACTTTCCATGAACTCTAACCCCCTTTAAATCCTTTTCTGGTCGCGACACTCTTGCTACAGCGAGATATTCTCGCTGCAGCGACACGCCCTTTCGCTACAACGAAAAAACTAGAGAAAACTGTACTCTGATTTCTGCAGTATCTCACTACAGCAAGACCCTCTCGCTACAGCGAGACTGCACCCAAAACTGTCACTTTCTCGCTACAGCAAGAAGGTGACAGTTTCAGTCATTTCTCCTAGGGCGTTCTCGCTACAGCGAGAACAACCCAGTATCACCCCCTGCACTTAGGCATTTAGCCCATTTCAGCCCTATCCAGTCATGCATACACGTATATACATATACACATATACACATCCCCAACATACATATATGCATATATATTCATACTCATTACACACAAAACATCATCATTACACATCTAAGGTAAATTCATAACATTCATTTACACTTGTACACACATATATGCATTTAGATTTATATAAATAATAATAATTAATATTACAAAATTAGGAGCGTTACACAATGTATACATCATACACGTCTATTACATAGAAACAATGATATTCGGGGTACACTACACCTGTACCCTTTTAGTTATTTACCAAATAATATAGAAAATGTTAAAATAATATTAAAAAAATGTTGTTATATGTTAGTATTCGTTATTTCATTAAATTGCATTAATTTCCAAATGGTTACACCACAAGCTAAGTACCTTCGTATTCCAGCTTCATTACCGCACTTGCCATCTCATTTCAACACTACGTTCTTCGTTGCCAGCTGCCACTTGCCATCACAATAAACTCATCCCCAACATCCTCAAGAATGAACATTCTTGGAACTTCTTTTTGGCATAGACTTCATCACCGATAAGCGTGACCATATTTAAAAAGCAAATCAACAGCATGTGTTTTATATATATATATATATATATATATATATATATATATATATATTTATTTATTTATTTTTCTTGAAACAAATAAAGAATCATGGAACATTCCTCGTTCTTTATAAATAAACAATTATACTTATGAAAAATAGTAAAAAAAAACAAACAAAGAAAGAAGACACGTCACCCCTCATGTGCATGCATGCTAAATTTCCGTAAAGAAAAAAGAAAGGAAAACTATATATATGAGTATATGACGCTAAAAGTACCTCGCACCCACCTACACCTACGCGCAAGGAACGCCTGGGAAAGAAAACGCAAGGGCATTGCATTTGCTTCCCTTCTCAGTTGAGACAAAAAATCATTTGGTGCTCTGAGCAAATTAACTCAAAGCCTGTCCAGGCATAGGGGGAGCCAAGAAAGAGGAAGGATTCCATTTTTCTCAAAAGGATTCCTCTCCTTCTTTCTTGATCTTTTCCTTGTTAATTTATATTATTTTTTGTTAAGAATCTCCTATAGGTAATTGGGTACCTAATATTTATTATTAATTCCTTCCAAAACCATGAGGAAGTTGTGTCCTAATTTTGACAAGGAAGATGGGTTGGAGACCGTCCTTGAAGTGCCTATTCCTGAGGAGATGTTGAACGGCATGGGCACCAATGGGTTCAATCGTTGGCAGAACCTACGAACTCTAATGAATGCTCAATTTCTTGATAAGTCTTCGACACCCTTAAACAATGAATTCATTGTGTTGCTCAAGCTTGTTGGTGCTCCCCTTATTCCTCTTCAGGTCCCATCAGACCATACTTTTACTCGCCCCCTCAAAGATTGTTCCATCGTAAGCATTATATATCAATCAACCTTCTATTTCCTTATTCCTCGGAGAGAAACAAATATTTTTTTAATAAACATAAACATAGGCGTTAGGGCACCACCAATATGTCCTCCAATTACAACATTCTGTTTGATCGTTTTGCTTTTGCTCCCGAATAATTTACATTTAATCTATTCAATTTTCTATGGTAATAGAATGCATAAATCGTTTCATATATTATAATTTATCATGCATAGTTTATAGCTGCCAAGCCCCTTATAGTTCGTGCTCCTCACCCGAGAATCACTCACTGGATTAGTAAAGTAAGGAGTCTTTTCTATGCTTGTGTAATTTTTAATCTGATGGAGGTTCATCATGTATAATAGCATATCGATATCACGTGGTTCTATTTGCGCCTCGGTTAATTTCGCTTAGGGCTGTAATTTTCTCCGTTTTCTACGAACCTTGTGCGTATACCACAAAATGGGGGAAAAAGTTAAAATATTTTAACATTGATAACGAATGGCCATTCACCGTCGCAAAGAGCCTTAGATTAGATGTGATTGTTGGCTCATATTCATTAATGCGTAGAAGTAGAATTAACATAAAATTGTTATTTTTAATAACTTAGAATTGATTATAGTTGAATGTAGTGAGACATCCACATGGTAATTTATATATAGCAAGTTAGAATATACATCAATAACACCTTTGCTTCGTTTTTCCCTGATATTTTTTGTCGCATTGCTTACTAACCATTATTCTTCTCTGTCAAGTTCTTGAATTAATAAGAGTTTGATTAAATGGGCAGAAAGATTCGACTGCTAAGTACATAGTTCAGCAGTACGTGGCGGCCACTGGAGGACTAGCTGCATTGAATTCATTAGGAAGTATGTATGCAATGGGACAAGTAAGAATATATGGGTGGGAGGTGCGTCAAGGTGATGATAGCTTTCAATCAAGAGGCAGAGCTGAAGCAGGAGGCTTTGTGCTATGGCAAAAGAACCCAGATCTATGGTGCTTGGAATTGGTGGTTTCCGGTTACAAGGTTAGTGCAGGCAGTAACGGCAAGGTAGCTTGGAACCAGTCTTCTTCTCAACCTTTTCATGCAAACAAAGGCCCTCCTAGACCCCTTCGCCGCTTCTTCCAGGTAAATTACATACGTAGCTAATAGCTTAGTTACTCAAATAATTCATGCATAAATATGTCTTAAATTTTACACTAATTTATAAACACTGCCCTTTAATATCTCTTCTATCTCACTCTTATTATTGCATCACCTTACTAATTTGTATATTCAATGATATTAATAAAAAAATATAATTTTTTTTAACAATTAATATATTTTAAATCTATCATTTATTTCTTATAATAAAAATTAAAAAAATATTTAAAAAAGAGCGCATGAAGTATATTTATTATTATTTTTTGTTTCTCTCCTTATCACTCCTCAGGATTATACTTTCAATGTGATATTCATGAAATATTTTCCTAAATCATGAAGGCAAAAAAATCACATAATTGTGACATAGTTCTATATAATTTTGTTTTCATCTCATTTTTTTTATCTTTTTCTTCTTGTCACATCGTATATTATTTATTACATCTTTTATTTTTTTTTTCTCTTCTAATTATGTATAGACACTTTAAATTTTTAATTCAATAAAAAAATTAAAAAAAATAGAAAAATGATTTTAATTAAATAAAAAATAGAAAAGAGAGAACATTTTAATTTTTCATTTTTAAAAACAATTGTAATTTATTTCCTCTGGTTGAAGTAAAAGTGATTTGATGATTATCAAATTTGAAAAACAAATGATCAATCACATGTGCTTTTTATTATCAGGGGCTGGACCCAAGGTGTACAGCAAACTTGTTCCAAGATGCTGAATGTGTAGGAGAGAACACCATTAACGACGAAGTTTGTTTCATGCTCAAGTTACAAACGGAACAACAGATTCTGCAAGCACAAAGCACGTCCAATACTGAAATAATAATGCATACAATATTGGGGTACTTTAGCCAACGAACGGGGCTACTAATAAAATTCGAGGACACAAAGTTAGTAAGAATGAAGCCGGCTAAAGGAAAAGAGTCAGTGTTTTGGGAAACAAGCATCGAGACTACGATTGATGATTATAGATACATAGATGGCATTAACATAGCGCACGGTGGGACAACGGTTGCGACGCTTAATAGGTACAGTGCCTCGCATAATCACAAGCGTATGATTGAGGAAACATGGACGATTGAAGAGGTTGATTTTAACATTTTTGGGTTATCCATGGATTGCTTTCTGCCTCCCTCTGATATTGAGAAAGAACACGAAAATGGGGAGCAAAAGCAGTGGGAATGACTTAGCATTAACTTTGCTTCACTCTCAACGATAGAAACTGTAAATACAACATAGACAAGTATACGTGAATGGATATCTATAAATCTATCCTGTACTTGGAAGGTCAGTCATACATTTTTGGGAGACATATATGCAGTTCAATTCGTTTCAAAAATGCTCGACTCAATTCACAAATTTCACTTTCAGATACACGTGTAACAAAAAAGTTCCTTTCAAAAGAAAGAAAGTTCTTGACTTATTTGATTGAATAAATTATAAAAATTATAAGCATATACTTCTTTTGCTTTATTTTGTATAAATGTGATGAAATGCATCTAAAAATGGCAAAACTAAATTTTTATAATTATTTAAAAGAATTCTTAACCAAACGAAAATGATGTATACTTTATTTCTGTCTCGATTTAAATCTTATATATGAAAAAATTAGAAGAGTTATTCAAGTTATAACGATCCTAAAGTTAATAAAACGGCAGTGACAGGTAAACCCCAAAGTCGTTGACCGATTCTCATTCCATTGATGCATAATGTGTGTCTAACAGCTGAGCAGCGACAGACAGGTTTTCTCTGTAAACATTATTTTCGTTTAAAACCTTAAAGTGCTTTATTCATTCTCTTTGCAATGATTCATGTTTCTAAAATTATTTAGAGATTTTGTTCAATTTCATGAAACCTGAGCCATTTTCTGTCTCCGTTTTTTATCTTCACTCGCACTTGTATTGCGCCGTTATGAACTTATGAGGATTTGTTTATCCTCTCAAGGCTCGAGCTGTGATAAATTAGAATGTAGCCCAAATTCTTTTGTTCAAGCCAAGACTATGCCAACAGTGATAAAAATGATGTTAAATTCTCTATCCTTATGAACTGAATTCTGTGAAGACTGGATGATTGTATGCCTTCCCTCTCTATAGTTTCAGTTTTCAAGTTTAGCATAACAATGTGTTGATTGTATGCCATTTCCTGGAATGGAATTTGATCATTAGGCTGCTATTCAGTGATTTCTCGTGACTAGTCCCTGTTACTACTTTTTGTATCCTTTGGATGGAATTTGCACGTTCTTTGCAATATCATTTGTCCTTAAGCTTTCTTCGCATATTCTTGAACTCGTATTACGTACGTCTTCATGGCATCTTTTTACTCAATACAAAATAAGAAGTGAAAAACTTGCTTCTTGTTCTTACCGGTCTCGATTTGAACAGCATTAGATTTCTTCTATGATAAAATATTAAATACGAAAGTCTCAAAATTGTTTATTTAACAAGGTACTAATAAAAATGGAATTTAGTTCTTGATGTGAGTGTTTATTAGTACAAAGATTAGACTTAGAATCTACGATCATGCACCCGAATTTTCACTCTAGTGACCTGATTTTCTCATATTATCATTTCCAGACTTCCAGTAAATGTATTCTTACGAAATAATGTAGGACTTGATGTTTTATTGTCTATTAAATATGTAAGACTCTTAGTGCCTGTTGTTTTGTTCCTATGACGTTTTTCTGAGCTGTATTTGTTTGTCATCTTTTTAATGCACTACCATTTTCTGGAGTCAATCCTTGGTGTGAAATATCTAGCGAAAAATAGAAAGAGAAAAGAAAATGCAGTTGCTTTAAAAAAATTTGCACTTCCTTGCTCGTTTTGATATATTAGACAACTTTGTTTTATTTAATCTCAAGTCTCTTGTCTTTATGTTGCTCCAAAATTGTCTTGAGCGCCCTTAATTGTCAACTTGAACAATGTGCTTTGACTGTTGACTTCTGACATTCACGAGTACAGATGCAGATCTATTGCTATTTCATGTCAATGCATTATCTTGCGACGTTGAATCTTGAGGGGAAAATATACACATAGACGTGAAAAAATTGTTATATATATAGCTAATGCAAAAATACCTTACCTCCCTCGTGGTTTTCGTCCATACACGATTCTATTCATTATTTTTATTTGGTTATCCATCCAAATAACTGGTTCAGTAAATTTCGTATATTATTCGTAGAGACTATCAAGAAGCCTTTTACCAATTAAGTACAGTAATCATGCTTTTTTCATTATGCAATCAATAATAATGCTTAGAACTTAAAAAAATTATGATTTCTTTTTTGTTGTATCACTATTTATATTTTTTTATAATTAGAATTAAAAAATCCTATATTGTTTCTTATAAAAAGATCCATCACGAGTAGTAGTTAGTTCCTTTCGATTTCTGGGTCAACCATGATGGTTGCTTACCCCAATATACTAACAGTCAAATGGGGAAGGGAAGATAAAGCCACTCCTCCATGCTCCATGTCTGACTTGCGAGTTCCCATCAGCATTTGGGATGTCAAGTGCCAACCCCACTAGGCCACTAACCTATTCCAACTATGACTTGGCTAATGGCTACTATACAGTCAGAACTTATGAGTAGTAAGTGAAAGAGACATGCAATTATTATTTCACCTGTGCGATACCATCAATACCTTACCTACCTGTACTCTAATCGTTTTTTGTGCCTAATTGTGTTTGTGCGAAAGCCACTTCCCAAAGACGAAAGAAATATATAAAATAAAGTATCCACTCCACCGATCATTGCTTTAACAAAACCAAAACCATGGCCATGACAAAAAGAGAGAGCCATTCCAATGCTGCTGATTCTGGAATCGCCCACCGCAAGAGGCATTACAAGTTATGGATCTTGGCTGCGATAATCCTCGTAGCTCTTTGGACCATGTTCACTGGCTCCGTCACCCTCAAATGGTCTGCAACCAACAACCAAGACTTCGATTCTATGATTCTCCAAGATCACGACGTCCTGGTACCCGACAAAACACAAATTTTAAATCGAGTTTTTTAATGTATGCTGAATGTTATTCAATAAAATTTAAGTTTAAAATTTGTAAAATCTAAAAATTAATAATATTAAATATTTTAATAAAATTTTACTAGGAAAAAACAATTTTGAATGGTGTAATGCGTAACTATAACTAATAAATTTCATTTTTGGTTGTGTTGTGGTTTTGGTTTGGTATGAATTGGGAAATAGGAAGTGGAGGAGAGAGAGAAAGTGGTGAGGCACATGTGGGATGTGTACAGCCACAGCAACTCGGTTCGATTACCCAAGTTTTGGTCTGAAGCTTTCGAAGCTGCTTACGAGGAATTGATGAGTGATATTGGTGGCGTCCGAGACGCAGCCGTTTCAGAAATTGCCAAGATGTCACTGTGCTCTCTTCCTCTTCTTCTTCAATCACAATCGGTAACCTAACCCTAAGCCTTATTTGTTACTTAGTAATTATATATGGTTAAAAAAAAAACTATGACTTTCTTTAAAAATTGGCTCTCACCTAAATTGTTAGCTGCCTCCAAAGATTTTAAGTGTCCAACCAGTTAGACGGTTCTAAAGTTACTTCTTCCATTGTTTTTCATCTGAAATTTGAGATTATAATATAAAAATCAAGTTGCTTCTATATTTTAAACTTTTTGTTTTAGCTTCTAAATTTCTTTTTGGTTCTTTTCTTGACCTAACTAATTAAGAGGCCATGTTATTATATTTTGGGTTGTCTCCTTCAGAAAAGAGACAAAAATTAAAAACTAAAAAAAAAATTGCAAACATTCGACACATTTAAGTTTCTTTTTTATAATAATAATTTAAATATTTAAAATGACAGATAAATATTTTTTTGAAAAAATAATATATATGAAAAAGAAGAGTAGTATTTCTCTTATAATTTGAAATGTTTTGAAACAATAATCCGTAGTTTTAGCCTACACCACACACGGCTTATGTTAATAGCATGTTTGATTACTCTTAAAATTTTTATTGCAGGAAAAAGATTTCTTGTTGGTTGGAACATGGCAAATTATTTTAAGGGTTTGTTTGTTGTGTAACCATAAATATATAATATAGAAATATGAAATGTATTTTGTTAAATATTTTAAATTTCTTAAAATAGCAAATGTCAAACAAATTTTATATTTTTATGTAATGAATAATTTCTTCTTTTAATAGTTTTTTATTTTGAATTCTTGTAATGTGTTCATCGATACAAAAGTATACAATATCTTATTTTAATTGTCAAAATTATTTTTTCAGTAAGAAAAGTTTTTGGTAGATTGAGTAAAATTAGTTTTTTAAAAACTTAAAATATTAACTTTTAATTGAACAAGATTAATTCTAAGCATAATACTTATTTATACCATAAAAGTGACTCGTTTTCCTGTCAAATTATTTTTTAAAATATTGTAATACAAACTTTATATTTGCAAGCACAATTATTTCAAAACTCCTTCAATATACATTTTACTTAAATTAAATATTGATGAAATCATACTAAGTGAGTTATATTATTCGTACACATTTTTAGAACTCATTGTTTACTTTTATCTTTTTTCACCACACTATCTATTCTATTTTAAAAAGTGAAAAATCTCTAAGTTCATCCCCTGAACATTTAAATGGTATCTAATTCTTGATCTAGACCCTTGTAATTTTATGAAAACCATCTGCCATCAGTCTCTGACTTTAAACATATTACTGCCTTTTCTTCTCCTGGCATGAACGATGAAAGTAATCCAATATCTTACTTATTCCTGTGAGCTCACCCTTTCATTATTAACGTCTCCCTTTGGAATGACATGAGTAGCCAAATGCACACTTGCTAAGTTATAAAAGAATAGTTACATTTTCACTTTTCATGATCGACATGTGCAGACCATAACGGGATCAAGAAAAATTAAGCAAGCGAAGAGTAACATGAACAGTACAGTCAACAGTGACCAATAACAAGAATCCTTCATTATGCTTGTAAGCATGAACTTAACCGGTATGGCGTGGGGCAGGTCTCAACGGAATGAATGAACGTGTCTTTGGATTTGGTTAAATCCCCTCAAATATTGATCTACTTTAACATTATAATTTTTATGTTAAAACATGAGTTAACATTATTTTGATCAATTTCTAAACACACATGGAATTATATAGGTTTTAGATTTGAAGTTGAAGTACTTGCCTCATTCTTTTTACCATTCTAGTGCGGCTGTTGATTGTATACTTTTGTGTGTGTATAGCATTGGCATTGTTATGCATTTATTATGCTTACTCGTCACATAAGCGAACGTCTGTATCAATACACTGAAACCTAAGAGAAGACGCAGATTTAAGGGGTCTACAAGATCCGATCTGTCCCACTAACCTGTCCTAGTCTTAAGTTGATTTAAACGAGTATGAATTTTCAAAATTTGATTCAGTATATTCTGAGGACGGGTTTGAATTATAATTCAAATTGTCCTAACTCGGTCAATTATTATTTTTTCTTTCAAAAGTTATGCTTTTTAAAATAATATTGTATTAATAATAGGACTAATGATAGATAACATTTTATATATCATGATATCATGTTTATGTTGATATTATTCATTTTAAAATGTGGTAAAATATTTTCTACAAATCTTAAAAACGAATAAAAGTAGTTCAACTTGATTATGTTTCCGCAAATTGCACCGCCCTTCACCCTCAATGTTATTAAGGCAATTGCTGTAATCCCAACCATTACGTTAGAAATATAAGAAAAGGCAAAGTTAGCATCCACTGCTAAATTTTCAATCTACAGTTACTGAAATTGAAATCACCAAAATATTACATACTACACATACTCTGCCCACGAATCAGTTTGCTTCCTCACAAAGATACAAATGAATCAAAAAGTAAAATAATTGAATCATGTTAAGGCTGACAAGATTAAGATGACAAAATTGCTTGAGCAGATCCGTTTGGTGCTGCTACTGTTGGTGTGTTAGAAAAGAAAACAAAAAAACAAAAAAACAAAAAAACAAAACTTTCATTTACAGAATACAAAGCATGGTCAAAACATATTTACACGTTCCGCTACAACCTGTGTTAATATTAGTCTTCTACGGACTGGATCTCTCCCATCATTATCCGGTTACTTACGACATTGAATCCCAAAACTGAAGAGCTAACCTTTTTACCTTTCTTACCCTTCTTCTTTCCGCCTCTAGAGGAGGATCCTTCAGTGTGGCCTAGATCCTGTACATCTATATTTCCAGATATCATGCCTCCAGCAACTTTCTGATCATTCACAGTTTGAAAAGCTAGTTCTAACACATCTGAAGGAAGGAAGTCCATGTAATTGAGGAATTTATCAATGAATTCATGATCAGGGTCAAATGATCCAAGATTTTCTATGAGAAACATCTCTGCTTCGGATCTAGATTGTTTCAAGCAAAATTCAAGGAAACTTGTATCTGCCACCCAAAAAATTCTAGTTAAAATGACATTCGATAAAAATTAAGATACTGTGACCAGCTAAATTCATGATTATGACGTTCAGACAAGTATTTAACTAGGGGACCAACAAATTTGGTGAAACAGATTTGTCAGGTAACATTCTTAAGTCAATATAAATCTGGATTCATAAAAACAGTACAACAAATATGAAATGACACAGTACCTTTTGTCCCAATAAGCCTAACACATTCATTCTCACACCATACTCTGAAGTCCATGGCTTCTGAAATTTACAAAAGAATTAGTTCACTATTTCTAAACATCATCAATGACTAAATCAAAAGGGAGTACATATATATGAACAGATCAATTAACAATGTTGAAATATAGAATGAGCAAATATTTTACCAGAATTCTTAGTCATGGCATCTTTTTTCAGTTTCAGCAGTGATTGAGAAGAGGCAAGTGATGATGACAGAGATCGCTCAGTCAGTTTGCCATTCCCAGATTTTTGTCGACTTAATGATGCAGGTGAATTACCTTTCATGGAAGAATTTTTAGAACCCAAGCTCCCCTGACTGGCAAGCTGAGGAAAATTTGATCTGCTTACAAATAATAAAACCTTGAGTAATCTTATCCATCAACACTGGATTTTCAAGGAAACAAGACAGCCACCTACTGTTGCATGTTATCTCTAAATATAAGTGCTTTAATACAGAGGTAATGTCGAAGGCAGTCTGGGACTAATAAGTATTCCTAGACGTTCCCAAGTCTTCAAATCAGCCTTAATTATGAATCAATCAGCGTCATGTTTTTCAGTAATGTCTATGATGTCCTAGTACTATTTAATGCTCTAATGTTATAAAGACAGAAATTTCACTGTCCAGTTACGAAAAACATTTCCTTTCTCACACCCATTTTTATATACTTCACTAGTAGGTTGTGATATAGAACAAAATCTGATAGCTTACACACTAAACATGCATGATAAACAGATGCCAAAAAACTAACAACTTCGGTAAAGTTATATATCTTAGAAAGTAAGAATAATCAAGCCTACATATTAAAGGGTACAACCATAGTGTGCATGCATACAGCAAACAGTAATGGAACAATGAGGAGACAGAAGTCATACTGCTTAGTTTCTTGCTTAGATTGCTCAATTGGACCCCAGAACAAGTCATCATCCCCTTTGTATTTTGACAGAGAAGCTTGGGCTTTTATCTGGCTAGATGGTGCAGTTTTTGACGGAGATGAAGCTGAAACGGGCCATGGTGAACCATTACTTCGAGAAACTTGGGTAGGCTGTGATTTCTGAGGGGTAGGCAATGGGTTTGGGGGAACTGCAGAAGATTTTTTCTCCTGCTCCTTTTGAATGTCCCTTAATGATGCTGCTGGTTTAGGAACCCTACCAGAATCAGAAGTCCATGCTGGAGAAGGAGATGGACTTGTTGGCTCTCCTTTCCAAAGAACAAAATCTCCCAAAGAGGGTCCTGAAGGGATGGCCGGTAGTTGTTCTTTCTCCTGTGGAACAGAGCGGGAACTTTTCCCCTTTTCATTGGGAATTGAACTTAGAGGCACTTCACTAGAAGCAACTGGCAATGAAATCTTAGCCCCTGCACTCTTTGATTTTGAAGATTTTTTCCGGCTTCTTTTGGCGTCTTTAGCTTCAATAAAGTTCCCATCATCTATTGGTTCTAAATTTTGTGAGGGCAGCATAATGTCTGGAACCTTGCCATCTATTTCACTAGATTTTTTTACGTCTTCTGTCAATAGATCATGTAATGGGCTTTTCTTGCTCTTGCCATTTTGATGACTTCCACATTTAGATAGATATTCAGTATTGTCTGCTTCTCTGAGTCTGTCACTAGACACCTTGATAGAGTCTGGATTAGCCACAACTCCAACCCAAGGAGTAGTCAAACTCATGGAACTCACAGGAGTAGCAACCTCAGATACAAATATTTCTGTCTGTACCTTTTTTTGTTCTTCCTGTTGAATTTCTAAGAACGACTTTGCCTTGAAACCAGGAGCAGGTTTCCAAGCTCTCGCTGAAGGTAATTCAGTATTCTTTGTGCCAAGAGCATTGACTGCCTTCAACTCATTCTCAACAATTGTTTCAGTGATGCCTCCTGAAATATTAGTAAGTAGACCACTAACTTCTCGATTGTCATCTGCCTCTGCAGTTGAAATTCCAGACTGGTTGCTCTTACCTTTTGTTTGTTGAAGATATGTTTCATGAGTTGGTTCCTTGGCTTCCCCCAAATTTTCTTCACTATAAATTGGCTTCTCAGTTTCTGGTTTCCTTGACTGATGCAAAGTCACATTTTTTACAAATCCCTTTGCTTGTTCAGAAGACTGAGACTTGGAAGATTTTTGCTTCTTAGATTTCTTCTCATTAGTCTTTTTGGGTTCACGTGCTTCAACATTTCTTGCATCCACCACAGAAGGCTCCATACTTGAGCTGTCTCTTCCAGCTTGGTGCTGTTCAGGACTATCTGATTTAATCTCCACATCCTTACTAAGTTGACCTGTTAGTGGTAACTCGATCCCACAAGATCCAGATGAAGTCATAGCATCACACTGTACAGGTTGAGAATTCTCACCAGAATCAAAAGTTGCCTTCTCAAGGATACCATCAGCTCTACAACTATCATCTGGCATCTGCACCACAGATTTAGCAGTACAATCAGGAAAAGAAAGAGGTTTCTGCACAATGGTAGTTTCTTCTTTGGCTCTGTTCTGCCCATGCAATAGGGATCTTTCAACGGAACCTGATGCGGGCAATGTTTCCTTCTGGTACTTTTCATTAATTTGCACAGGAAGTGTAGGATCCCAACTCTTCTGATGACTAATATTCCCAATTATTTGGTGAGGCAGCTGCACAGAAGATTCACTGCTTATGTTATAGCTATGGTCCGGAGTTACTCGCAGAGGTAAATCCAAAGAATTAGTAGTAAGCTCATCATGCACAGTGGTAATAGGTGCCTGTGAGCTCATGGGAAAAATCTCTTTCGGAGGTTGAATTTGAGAAATATCCACATGCAAATTCTCCATTGGTATTCCACCTCCCTGCAACTGTTTAAAAGAAAATTCACCAAACGGATGGTGAGACTGGTGCTCCTGCAGCACTTGAGAACACAGCTGCTGTTGATGGCGTAATAATAGCTGTTTCTCCTCCTGCTGCTTCAGCAATAGGAATTTATCTAACAAAGGCATCTGCTGTGAAGGAGCAGCCTGAGAATGCAACTGCAGTAAGTATTGTTGTTGCAACATATTCAACATGTGGGGATCTTGGGATAAACCAGAAGAAAGTAACTTATCTGCTGTCAAAATACTAGATGGGTTATCTGAAGTTTGAGCTATTAAGTTATTTAAAGACAATTGGCTTGGTGTCTGCAACCTTTGTTGTTGAATTCCAAATGGCATTTGAAGAAAATTCTGATCATGATGCAAGTCAATCTTATTCTGAAGGGGATCCAATCCACTTTGTGAGGGACAATTTGGCCATCCAGCAATACCATTATTTAAGCCTGTGGATGACCGGTCGGATAACCCTTGGATTATTGAGATCAACTCAGGATTTTGGGACTGAAGCTGATGAGAATTGTTATTCACTGGAGACAAGAAATTTGACTGCTGTACTACATCTGGAAAAATGTCAGATTTTGGTGGAAGGGGTGCTACATCTCTCCCTGGCCAGTATGGATAAGGATTGGGCAAGGACTGCTGCCTTTCAAGTGCCATCCTCTTGGCTAGTAAGTAAAGGTTGTTTCCACCATCTACTCCTGATGGGCCCAAATTACCAGAATTGTTACCAAGAAACCCTTGCAAACCTAAAAGTACACATCAAAATTATAGTAAAATCAGAGCATTTCAAAACAACATCAATATATTATACAAATGATATTATGGAGAAAAAAGATAAATCATGGAGTTCATTTATAGTTAAAACAAAAAAACAAAACAGTAGTAATAACCTTCTGAAAATGCAAGACTATCTATTGGGGGACTGCTCTTGCTACCAGACATGAGTGACTCCAAAAATCTATTTTCAGCTTCAGTAGTAGAATTCCTATGCATAGAATCATTTCTCAACATCTCCACATCACTTAAACCAGTATGTATGTTCCCAAATGTATTGGAATTTTGCCGACAAGGTGCCTCTGCACAGTCCAGTTTTGCTGCAGAAAACCCAGGTGGTGGTCGGGCTTTAGCTCGTAAATGGGGCATGGCATCACCAAGTTGTAACCAAGGGGAGTCAGGTGCTGCATGTTCCAGGCGAACAGGTAAATCTATACCAAAATATCCAGCCTCAAACCAACCAATAATATCAATTCCTTTGAACGGGCCCTGAACTTGACCCTGAGGATCTTTATAAAAAAGGGATAAGTCCTCTGGACATGTCTGTGGAACTCTCCTGGTTTCAAGTTCACTGTCCAAAATGCCAGTTAGCTGCCTCTTAATAATGGGATCTCCATTAGACTGCCACTTAGCCATATCTCTGGCTTCAGATAAATAATCCAAATTACCATCCCACTGAGTATGAGGATCTTTTGGCTGGTGTGACCAGCTCACATCTGAGTTCCTTGACTTAATATCACTAGACACATCTCTGCTATCATGCATGATTGTGCCTGCATGTTCACCCAGTGGCATGACATGCCATGCAGCACCAGGATGAACCGAATTATTTTCTTCAAATGCTGATCCTCTATTATTAAATGCCTCATCAGCAACTCTGTAAGAACCACCATCTTCACCTCTATCTGTAAAGAGAACATATTAGAAAAACTCCTAGAGACGGGGAATATTTATCTTCATATTCGTTACATGTGGCAAGGAATAGTGCATTTAATTAGCGAGAAAATTGTTCTAGTTACACAATGTAGTAAAACTTGGAGGACAAAAGAAAACGAGTGAACAAGAACAATTAATAAAGAGAGTTCAACCATGAACATACAGGCATATCAGACCCATCAATATTAATATTAAAAACAAAGCATTCTAGGCTCAACAATTTACACTATAAGGCAAAATAAAGATCACCTCCAAAATCCAGATAGAAATAAAACTGACAACGCAAAGTGTACTGTAAGTTACAAATGGTCAGAAGCAAGCAGCCAAAGCAATCTTGTTCTAACAGAAGCTAACCTGCATCCACACAATCCATAAGCTAATTTTCCTAATGTACCTTGGAAAGGTGCATCTGAAAGCTTCATTCGTCTTGAATGTGTAAATTCTGCTGAGTTCCGCCCATCTTTTGGCACCTGAGGTGCACTGCTACTAATTATTTCCCCGTTGTCAATATCCTTTAATACTGACTGTTCAAATAGAAGAGCAACCCAATAAACCACTAGAAATGATGGAGCATCCAGAAAAGAAAGATACAGAGACATCAATTTACCAGTTCCTCAGACTTCAGTTCACAAAGAGCTAGAGGCTCCAATGGATCATCCTGTGTAAGAGAAGGTACCTGCACAAAATCACCGACTACTTTTCTATTTGTACGCATATCAGTCATTCTGTACACATCCAGCAAATTTGTCCTACTGTATCTAAAGGGACAGCCTTCTCCATGCTGACTTTCCATTTTATCCAATACAATTCCAGGATATAGAGTATGCATATATGTGCTATTCATAGAGCTACCACCAGATCCAAGCCGAGCATGTCCAAGAGTAATCACTGGAGGTGTATCCTCACCACGGCCACGCCCATATGAAAATGCAGGCACTTGCTTGTTTGGTGTCACATTCTGGAGATGGGGAGGCTCTACCCTTCCACGACTTTGTGAGGAGTTAGGTCTCCATGGACGGTAATGATCCCCTTCCTTCTCATCCTTACTAGGATTGGAAATGTTAGCCAAACCTTTCTCAATGTGCAGATCACCATCTTTACCTGGGTTGCTCCATTTTTCACGAAGACCTTCTGGCTCCTTATCATCAGGACCCCAGCGTGTGTTCCACTTACTCTCACGCCGCTGGTCAAAGCTAGTGTCTCTATGACCTGAATCATTCCATCTATCAGATGTGCTGCGACGTGCTTCTCCAAAGTGCCTCGTGGATGAATTTTCAGTCCATCGATCCACTCTACGGGGATCAGTTAGGTCTTTGTCTGCAGCCCTCCAACGATCCTTGCGTATGGAGGACTTAGTATCTCTCTCTTCATCTCGCCAACGGTCGCGACGTCCACTTCCAGAGTCAAGCATGGATGGCCAAAAGACATCCTTCCTTTTATGGCCATCATTCACATCATCTCCATTTCCAGATGTCTTAACAGTCTCTGGGCGATTGCCATATGGTGGAGTTGACATCACATGGTTTTCCTGAGCAATGAGAAATAAGAAGTGGACCTTAACGCAATTATAAAGTACTTAAAGCGGTTTGTGCGAAAAAATTCTATTTGCACATACACATTTTACAAGAGTGCAAAACGATAAAAATGAAAATCAAGTAGTAAGTAGTCATTACACACCACAGATCCTATTCCAGGTTTACTCTCCCCTGGCTTTGGCAGAAGCCACTGTGGCGAAAGAGGAATAGGGTTGTCAGAGCCATGGAAATCTGCACAAGTGTGAAAACACTCAAGTTACTTAAATAGGAATTGAAAATGTTAACCAATGCCAAAAATTTCCCAAAGCAGAATACAGGAGCAGTGAAATTATTGATGTAAGTCTTATAACGGACATGGACAGCACATTTGATAGAAGAAAAAGGTAATATCCCTTCGGCCGGTTAAGAAATAAACACAAATTGTCATACCCCTTCGTTCCAAAAATAGTAAAAAATTAGTGGCATTTGGCATAAGCAATTAAGTGTTTTTCCATCGCCTCTTATTTTCAATTGAAAATTAAATAGTAAAGAGCACATGCAGACTGAGAAAAAAAAACAGAGAAGCAAGAGAAAATTATCAGGACAATTTTCTTTTTTTTTTTTAATAAATGTATTGACCAATAAGAGGGTAGTGAAAAAAAAAAAAATATATCAAAAGAAGACCTCTTCCAAAACTTTTTTTAATATGCAATTCTAATTGAAGGGACAAATCCATCGGATGTTGACTACATTAACAGTTATTGCTTGAAGAAAATGCCAAGGTATACCAGTATAAATAAAAGATAAATTAGGAAAGATAGAGATGGGAAAGGGCACAGAGATAAGGATACAGAAATTTGCAAATAAACAACATGATGAATCCAAAATCAATGTCAGGACTCAGAAATTAAACATAGCTAGTCTACAACCTAAAAGTTATGAGTATGTTAACTTATGTCCAATAGTCTGCAGAACACTTTATATTATAAAACCAAAAAATGTCCAGATAAAATTTCAATTGGTGACCAAAAATAAAGTGGGGCAACTCTATACATCAGTATATATCCAATCAAATATAGAAGAATCACGAGGCAGCACCCTAATATAAAGCAACTTAAAAGTATTTGTTTAAAGTAACTACTAAGTATTTTTATTTTATTTTTTACCAAATTAGGTGTAACACTAAGGCCCAACATTTTCAAATTTCAAACATCATGAAACCAAAGTCTCTCCCGGATAAACCCAGAAAACTACAAACATAAAAAAAAACAACTTCAATTTCAAAACGCAACGACGCCTAACGCAGTACGAAGACATAAATTGCTAGTTCTCTAGTTCACGAAGAAATCCAAATAAAGAAACAATAAAATTCAATAACACAGGCAAAGAATTTGTTTTTTTTTAAGGAAAAAAAAAGTCAATGCGCTAGCCACTAGCAGGTAGTTCAAACACAGAAGGAAATAGCGTGAAATGAACGAATTACAGACCAAATCGTCAATGCAATCTTCGAATTCTTAATCGAGACTTAAAATTAACAGAAAAGAGTCTTGAAAGGGAAAGCACTCGAGAGACGAAGCCAAAACCTAAACTCAAGCATAGAAAAGAAGTGGTTGGAATAACCAAATAAATGAAAATGGCAAAAGTTGGGAAAGGCGGTAGCTAGGGTTTAGAGGGATGGGAAGAGAATTGAAAAAGAGAAAAAAAAATAACCTTTGGAGATCTGAAAAGGAGGTGCAGCGGAGATGTGGAGGGGCGTGGCGGAGGTGCGGTCAGCCATGGTTGATCAGCGAAAGGGGTTTTGATGATTGCGATTGAACGAACCAACGGGGTGAGAGTTGCAGGGAACCGAACGAAAACGCGAGAGGTGTGAATGTAGGTTAAGCCTCACTTGGATGATAAATGTTGGGGCACACGTTAGGACCCTATCCCCCATAGGCTCACATTAGCGGAGGGATTCCCTTCCTGGTTTCAGTTCCTCACTTGTGAGTTTGGGACATAAGTATTTACGCACAGTTCCTGCGCGTGACTATCACGTTTGTGATTCTTGCTACACGTGTTGTTCACGCGAATTGGTCCCGAAGGATTTTTGCTGTTTCAACCTTTTTACCTCGTATTTTTCAGTTTTCATGCCTCGTCAGTGACCGAAACGTTATTCCCTGAGTCGTTTTGTCGATATGTCAATGTTATTGTAAAATAAATCGGAATTGGTTAAATTCAATTTTAATTTAATTAAAAAGTAAATTTATGATAAGTTATTTATATTTAATAGTTATTTTCTAAAAATAATCTTAGTATAATAAACAATATTAATCTAAGTTAAATTTTTAAAGTAATTTAAAAAAAAAAACTTTTTCTTTTTAAAATTAAGAAAATTTGTCAGATTTAACTAACATTTACAAAAATTTATATTTTTTATTTTTAATAAATAATTAAATATAAATTTAGTTATAATTATATTATATTCTATATTATTATGAGTTATTGTCAAATAAAATAAATTACAATGTTATTTTATTTTATGGGTTTGCTCAAAAACATTTAAGAATTTTCTTAACCTCTTGTTTAAATTTGAGTTTTTTTCGGTTACATTTAAAATTGAGTTTAATTATTTATAAATATAGTTTTTTTATTATTAATTATTCATTCTGTTAACATTTTTCAACATTTAAATCGCAAGATTAACTTTCTTGGACGCACAACTGAAGAATTACCCATGTTGTGCATGGTCTTTCATCCTTACATTCTTTAATATATGAAATATGTTGGTGACCCAACATAAAATGCATGAAATATGTCGGTGTAAGCTCATTATTTGTTTTTCTGAATGAATAATTTCGTTAATGTAGATTGAATTTTAGAATAAAAAATATTTTAAACAATAAAACGTGGTGAGAATGGTTTATAGTATTTCAAATTGTTGAGATGAGAATGGAGTGTGCCATTAGCGTAGGGAGGGTGAATGAGCATGATGTGATAAAACACACCTCCTATAAATTTAAATTAAGTAAATGATAACACTGGGGAGTAACGTATCTCCACTTGAAGTTCATTTTGATTTTGATAATAGCATTGGTAGTTTCTGGGACTGTCCTTGCAACAACATATTGGAATCTCCTTGGGTCATCATCTGAGGGCTGAGCCTAATAAAGTTGAGGCAATGGGCCTCTGTTTAGCCTTGAAATTGTTTAGCTTTGCCCAAGCTTGGTCCTCAAATAACATTCCTAATTTTTACTCTGGGCTCCTTGTGTCCTATGCTAAGTAGTTTGGTTCTTGCTTTCAACAAACAAGCCTTTCCCTTATACCTAGGAAGGCTAATGTATTTGCATTTCAAAAAATAAGTAATTTCACCAAAACATTTATATTTAAATTATTATGGTAGTTAATAAATAAGAATTACTCTTAAATTTGACAACAAATGGTTTTAACAAATTAAAATATTGTTAAAAAATTACAATTAATTAATTTTTTTACTTCTTAAAGTAACAAATAATATGAGACAGAAAAAATATACAATTACTAAATAGTGTATTAAAATTGTATTAAAAAACTAAAACACTTATATAATAATATAATATTTACTTAATATTAGTTCACCCACATATTTTTTATTCATTTTCCTCTCTCATGTGTGTGCACTCCAAATGGCAATGGGATTGTTATCATAAGCCATGCAAATTACATATGATGTTAGGTGAGGCCACGAACGTTGACGAACGACAATGGACATGGCTTTACCCGAAGGCAACAAGCATAATTTTGTTCTCCCATAATATGCATTGGCGCGCACATTGATTAATGAAGAAAGAAGAGTAGTTTACGAAAGAATCAACGGTCAAAAAAGATGCAGAGACAGAAGGAGCAGTGTAGGTACACTTGTATGATGACCCCAACAATTAAAAGCTCAAGAGTGAGAACGCGAAACCCGGGAAGCGACACAAGTGCTCAGACTGTAACACTGAATCTGACTAGTACAATTCACCAAACCTCTTTGGTCCACGCTCCTAACCATGGTTACTTACTGCTACTTTCATTTTCTACTTCCACGCTCTCTCTTCTAGCTAACTAATAACTACTTACACAACACATGCATTTTCTTTTTATTTGCAGGGGAGAAAATAACAATCATAATAATAATAAAGAGAAGGAAGTATATAAATGTGTGTGTTGCAATGGAATGGCACAAGATTGGACATAAAGAAAGCGGAAGATCGATTAATCATTTATGAATTGTTTTTTTGTTTTTTTAATTTATTGGTAGCCGAATGAAGAACCGTAGTTATTAATTTTTTATTCCATTATATAGTTACGAAGGGTGTTTGCTTGGTTTTGCAATGTTTCCAGAATCTTGATTCTACCCTGGTCAAAGATATTGATCTTCTTGCTTTTAATATATTAGAAAGAAGCAGGAATCAAGGGAGGGATTAAAGATTTGATTTTATATTTTTATGATCTATGAAAAATGGGGATGTAGAAAAACAGAAATAGTGGGTATATTATTGGTGATAGAGTGGAGGTTGTTGTTATTGTTATTAATATTGATTGATCGAGAAGTATTTAATTTATGGGGAAAAAGAAGCGACAAAAAACGAAGGAACTTTCGGTAGCGATAGCTGAGGCTTCTTCATCCAAAGGTGAGCAACAAGAAACCCAACAACCTCAGCCTCCTCGAAAAAGAGGAAGGCCTCGTAAGGTGGTTGTGGAAACCGTAAGCAAACAGAAAAAAGTAGAACCAATAGAGGAATCAGCACCTTCTACAGCAACGCAAGGCACAGAGAGCTTAACGAAGAAACAAGGACAAGAAGGTTCATCACCAGCATCAGCATGCACAAGAGTTACAAAGGAAGAACAAGTGTTCCAAAAGATTCAAGTCCCCAAAGGGGAACCCTCGAGAAGCAGGGCTAGGCGAAAAAGCAAGCCCAGAAAAAGCACTTAAAATTTGTTCCTTTTTTTTGTTCTCTCCTCTCTTTACATAATTTTTTTCCTTTTTTTTCTTCTCCAGAACAAAGATATAGAAAGAAAATTCTTGGGTTCTTGGGCTGGTCATCTTTTATATGGATTGGTATTGAAATCCTGGGAAGCACAAGCATCCAAAAAGCTCTTTCTTCATGTTCTTAGCTTACCTAATCCCTATGTTGATAGGGTTTACATATGGTCCACGAGAGAACTTGAACACAATGTTTCGTTGACATGCAGAGAAAAAAAAAAGTTTAGATAGGCCTTAATCAATTATGAAGGCTTTTCTGTATGTATTGCTTAAATTAAATGTGTTGTGATTTTGTGAATGAATATGATCATGATATGGAGTGATTTTCTTGATTTCCAGAGTTTGCTTTGTTCCTTCTCTTCCATGATCCCTACTATTATGATCAATTTGATGAGTAATCTAATTATTGGATTTTCTTCCGTTGCTACTGTATATCGTTGTCTCTTAATGATGAAAATATTGCCTCATTGTTTCTTTCTCCCCTCACTACATTTCTTAGCTGTGGCTCACCCACTTTGTTTTATCACAACCTTTGTATTAGAAAATGAAAATGATATATATAACGTTTCTTGCTGGTCTTCGTGTGAATGCGCGGAGAGGAAGATAGAAATGGGGACGATACTTGACTAGGAAACAGGGAAATGGATATTCTCGTATATGTGAAAATTTAGTTTTTTTAATATAAATATTAAATAGATATTAATTGTCTATATGCCTATGACTTGAAATAATTTATTTGTACTATTCAACTCACCTTTAGTTTTGAAGTACAAGTTATGGAGATACGTTTATCTTTATATTTTGTTTAAAATTTCCAACAAAAAATGACTGGTCACAGGCATGAATATAATTTAACATACTATATAAAATGAAAAAATATTTATTTTAATTAAACATCATAAAATAAACCGTATAATAGGAAGAAATACATTAATCAAAATAGATTTATAAAAAGAATTGGAACATGAAACTTATAGTACATAACGTGTCAAGTCATGCAAAAATTTGATATTCAATATTCATTCCGTAGAAGAGAGAGAAAGAACTGGTGGCAGTAGTAAACAGAAGCTCTGCTTTGTTATCAACGCTGTCTCTGTGTTGTTACAAAGGGAAAAGGACGGAGAAGAAGAAGAGCAAGTTGCGCGGTGCTTGGGCGCGTGAAAGGCACGTACCAGTGAAGAAAGTGGTAGCCGCCTCATAGCACCAATAGGCATTGGGCGTGAAGTGAAGGTAATGTTATTGGTCACATTCATGTCTACGAAGTCGAAATGAAAGGACATTCATCGCTTCTTTTGCAACTGTAGTGCCTCTGTTTCTGTGGGCCTTCTGTTATTATCATCATAAACATATTCGCCCCAATTATTTTAGCTTACAACTTATATTTATGATTTTTATAACTATTTAATTAAATTATAAAAATACCATAAATTTTTTTAAATGATATTATTAATTATTTGAATTTAATTTTAAAATTTATGTGATATTATATGTGAAAAATAATTTTCTTATACTAATATCAATTTAATAGATAGTAAAATAATAAATTATAATTTGTTAAATATAAATTAAATAAAAATTTTAAATTTAATGTAAGAGTTTTAAGATTTATATAAGTGTAAAAAAATCATGTTTTATTATATATAAATATATATTAGTTTACTTTTTTTTTAAGACCAATTTTTTAGTTAAAAAATGCAAAACATTTAAATATAAGAACTCTGATAAAGGGACATTAAAGTCAATCACTCTATTCAAAAACATATTCGCCTAAATTATTATATGGACAATGTTTATTCAAAAAATGACATTTGTAGACCAAAAATTTACTTCATATAAAATATTAATGTAGTTTATAACAAAAAAATATTTTATATAAGTTAATATTATTTATCTTTAAATGTGCACTAAAATATTGTTTTAATATATGTTTAAAAACGTGTTAAAAAATCTATAAATATAAATATAATATAAAGGCTACAATTAGTAACATTGATGCTTGGCAGTGACACATTTATCGTGGTCGTTGTATTCGTGCATGGCGATGGTGAAAGGTTTTGTCTAAGCGACTTGTTCAAAGATTACCAAACTGAATAAACACAAACAACTTTAAGCATTTTGTTGAATTTTGATAAAGTAATCAGCTCCCCATTTAAATGGAAAGCAGCATATTTTTCAAATTGCTCCTTTTTGTTTTATTTATATTTTGGGGAGCTAGAGAAGAATGGGACATCTCAGTTAGATAAATATACTTCAGAGTTAAACTATTTTCCCCCTAATCAGTTACTTGCTTAAAATTTTCGAACATTTGTGCATAATATATTCAGAAAGTTCTAGCAACCTTTTTGTGTTTGCAAAATGTGTTATATTGGTGTATTTTTTTTAATTTGCTTTAACCGTCTTTTTTGGGCATTCTTCAAATAGAGTCGTAATTTTAGCTCAAATTGTTGGGAGTTTTATTTTCTAAGATTTTTCTTGGCTATTATCTCGTGCATAGAACTATTAACGATATAAAAATTAATAACATTTTTGGTTGGGTTTTTGTCTGGGAAGAAATAATTAAAATTAAAACTATGTTACAAAAATCTATGTTCGGAAACGCTCGTGAAGAGACTCTCTTATCAGTTATCATTCCCTATGTAGATCTATCAAGATCAAGATAGGAGTGCTAAGAAAAAATTCTCTAACAAACTTTGTAACATTTTCTATCATTAGATGAACTTAACTAGAACTAAAAAACATCGAATCACGCTTTTTATTTAATAAATTATATCATAATTTCATGAATCATAATGAATTTCATCCAATTATGTATTAAAAGGAATACTTTAAAAGTGCTACTAACGTTTTTCAATTACTGTACTTCGGCCTTGCTGGATTTGGTACAATAACAGTACACAATCCCTTTGGGATATAAAGCGACATGAATATTTAGCATTCAAATATAAATATAGTCAGCACTCGAAAGACTTAAGGTATGTTTGTTTTCTATTTTTAAAAAAAATTTCAATTTTTATACTATATTTAGAAAAAAATATTAAAAACTCTTTAAAAGAGAAATCAAACATATTCTTAGACAAATTCTGTTTTTATGTTTAGAACATTTTAAAAATAAAAAAGAACTAGATCAGATATTAGAAGTGGTATATTTTGATTCCACTTTCATTGAAGGTTTTCCAAAATGAACAGAACAAAACGGAATAATTCCATTCTGTTTGGTTTTGTGAGCCAAGCGCTATCGGAATGTTCCCTTCTCTATATTAACATAATATCATACAGGGAGTTTTTTTACAAGAAACTATATACTGCTCTTCGTTTTCAACACAAACCTATGTTATTATCTTATTCTAAATGAACTATTGATTTCTGAGTGACTCACTTTCAGAGATTTGATCAATTGTGGTAGGCGAGCCTGTTACAGAAGTTGCTGTAGAAATTGAATTAGTTGGTGTGTGTCCTTGAACTGCTAGAGAAGGCTGTAACAGTTTTGCATCAGGAGCCTTCTCCCTAGAAGCATTCATGTTAACTTTTATCCTGCATTTGCAAGAATTCAATCAATTTCATATGCTTCATACTATAAGCTAACAAAGTTCTATTGCTGCCGAACAACACTAAACCAAATACCAAGAGACATTTTGTCAATTTGCAACAAGGTTATCCAATAAACTGGTGGGGCTTCAGATTAAAGTTAAGAGGGAACAATTTTAAACTTACTTGTTATGGATGTTGACATATTCATCAGTTTCATCAAGTATCTCCTCCTGAAATGCACAAAGATTTAATGAATATGTAAAAGGCAATGGAAGCATGCATGCAACCTGTAATTGTGTTCATAACAACAATAATATATGAAGTAATGAAACTATATGCTCTAGCAACAAAACAACCCATTCTAGCAATTTGAAACATCTACACGCAACAGGAAAGTAATCCTGCAGAAGTCAAATTAAGTAGTTCTTTCCTCAATACACTAAAAAAAATAGCACTTAAGCATCTGTACTGGGTGCACGTATGGCAGGAATATTGGAGGGGGGATTATCTGCAACTGCATCAATAACAAATGGTGCACACAAGGAAGAAAAACAAAGGGGATATTTCATCGTTGCATCAGTTATAGATAGAGTTGCATCATCAGCACTTAAAATAAGGTATCAAACAAACAACAGGACTAAATAATGTGGATCCCAAACCACCACTACTACCTAGAGTTCAGTAAAGCATCTAACCTGAAGAAGCTCTTCAATGACATCCTCCATTGTAATAACACCAACAACCACTTCATTGGGTGGAAACAGTGGTAGGGGAGCATTTTCAATGTCCAGGATGCAATATGAACAACCCTTATGTCGCTTTTTGAAAGCAGGAGTTGCTGGTGGACTTTTCTTTGTTTGTGGAGCACCATCAATCTTAGCATCGGTGATCAAAGTATTGCGTGACTCCAATTTAGCACCTATATATGCAGTCAACAGTCAGGTCAAAAAGGATAATCACTAAGAATTCCACCGAGTAGGTCAACCACAAAGGATCATGATACTAAAGAATGCGACTGAGGCATATGTCTAAAGATACAGAAAGAAAATCACAAACATATGAAGTAAAACCACATGGTGCTGAAAATGACCATACAAGAGCTTCGAAATAATCAGCAAGGTCAGAAAACAAGAAGAACAATGACACTTTTGAGGGAACTAAAGAACAATTTAGTATATCCTGCTTTACGAGTTTAATGCTAACCAAATACGATATTTCAAAAGCATGCACCGAGCAAATGAAGTTTATTTCACTTTTATTTAAATCTCACCTTTATCCAAGGGTGTGTTTTCTCCTTTATTCTTAACACTGTCCTCGAGATCAAGTTGTTCCCCATCTTTAACCTTTTCGGGGGCTTCGTTTTTATTGTTTAGATCCCTATATACAACTGCAATATGACTGTGACCCTTCTGAAATTCATTCAGTATATCATACAGAGGCATGTTCTCTGAAACGCTGCAGAATGAAGAGGAAATCATGAGGACAACCTTCTAATACCGGCATTTCAACAACAATACACAAATAGACAAAAATGCTAATACATATATGAACAAGTTCATAGGTAAGGATAATGTATCTCATCTTATGTATGAAAAAGAATTACCGAGGAATTTTTCTGATGGTCATTTTTCGTAGAGGTACTGCAGCCTTTGAATCAACCATAAAGAGATTTTTAACCTGCACACAAACAAGCCAACAAACCATTAAATTAGAATGAATGAGTGATATCTGTATCAGATATCACACAACAAATCTATTGTATTTCACAGCAACTTGATACTAATATTCTATCACATTACATTTCAGGTATATCCTTCTCACCATATCAGATCCACAATCTATGACAAGGTATATCATAAGCAACAACAATAATCAGGATGAGATTAATGGTTTCAAGCCTGACATTGATCCTCATAAACATTTTCCCTCATCTGAGCTTTAATATTTCTGCATAAAGATCATATTTATATATTTTATGCATTTCATCTGAACAGCAGTTATAACAGTAGACCAAAAAACCAATCCTTGCATTAATTCTCACAAATATTATTCACTACATATAATAGCAACATATCATGTCAAAACTTTGCATCTCATAGTGTAGGATTACTCATTAGAGTAAATTGGTGTAAAAAATAAAAGAGATAATCTTCAACAAGTGAAGGGGAAAGAAGGACTAAACGATCATGTTATAATCTGTTATAGCCGTTGAGCCATCCAATATAATTACAAGAATAATAACAGAACATCAATAATGGAAATTATCATTGACAGGTGAGACCAGCAATCTACAATCCTGAGCATTCACTTACAAAATCTCAGATGGAAGAAAGATTACCAGAACAAGTCCAATAATATTTGTTTTCTCTCCGGCATAAACTGGAACTCTACTATGACCCATTGTCATTATTGAATTCAGTGTCTCCCTTCAGTTCAGGCAGAGGACAAGATTAGAGAAAAAAAGAAGACATAAGCACAGCCGAGGGAATGATAAAGAATTCACAAACCCACAAATTTAGAGTTGCATCCAGATCAAGGGAAAATGCCTTTGATATGGGAGTCATGGCATCTTTTGCAGTCTTCTCAGTCAATTCAAGCGCACCAGTTATGATGGTTGTCTCATCATGAGTTAAATCCCCTCCTTTTCCAGCCTACACAAGAAAACAAAGCCATGCCACGTCAGAGCACAAAGCAAAGCCATATTGAATGAAGTGCAACATAATTTCAATCAAAAGTATATCTTAAAATCATTCAAATCAATATAAATATAAAAAGCAGCCGTTTTATTAATTCGTTCCTAACATGGAATTTCGAATCATACGATATACCTCATTCCCGTGAAAATTCACAAAAGTTTTGAGCTCTGCCCTCTTTAAAAGGGCAGCATGTCCTTTACCCAACATCCAATCAAGAACCTGAAAACATCACAATCTTCATCAGATTTTTTTTGTTACTTTACAATATCATTCACATATTCAGACTGTAAGCATTAACATACCTTGCTGATGGGATAAGAGACGGGGAAGAAAACTACAAGAAGAACACGAACAAACGGGGCTAGTGTTGCCCCAACCGTTAATCCATATCTTGTACAAATTGCTTGCGGCAATATCTGCACCAGTTAGGGAAGAAGGAACCTTGAAAATAAGTCCCAATTCCAGTTTGATTACATATTGTTATTAATCATCACAAGAATAAAAATTTACCTCGCCAAACATGAGAATAAGGGTGACCGAAATCAAGATTGCTGCGGCAGGATGCACGAGTGCATCAAGAAAAATGGGAAGAGCCTAATCAAATTAAGCAAGGTCAAAATAGTCAACTCCATTTCCCCAAACAAGTAAAAAATAATAATTAAATCACTAAATTGACGGCGTAGCAATAACAGCACCTCCATGGCTAAGGAGTTTCCAATTAAAAGCGTGCAAAGCAAAAGGTGCTGGTTCTTAACCACTGGATAAATTTTCGCTGCCAAATAAAAAAAAAAAAAAAAAAAAAAAAAAAAAGAGTGATTGGAGAAATTGGAAAATTAGAATTGTTAGGAAGAAAAAAGGGTATAGAGTAGAAACCCGCATGGATGCGATCCTGAGGACGACCAGATTTCATGAGAACTTCGAGGTCGACGATGCCCAAAGACATGAGTCCCAAAGTGAGACCAGCCATAAGGCCAGCAAAACACACCAACCCTATTATCACCAACACGTACAGTGAAAACTTTGTTCCACAGCACGGCACTTCCGCCGCCATCTCTCTCTTGACACACTCACTCAGAGGTTGTTCACTTTGTTCTGTTTTCCTAAGGTCTGAGTTTAGGTGGTTACACTGACGAGGCTTTTTCCTCACGTTGGGATGTCATCCTCTTTCTTACGTAAAAATGAGTTTCAAACATACATATATTAAATAATAATATCGTTGAAAAGGAAGAACCTAATTCTTTTCTTCTTTTAATTTTTACGGTGCTGGTTGAATCAGTTTTCCCAATTGGGAGGCTGACTAGTCATTTTTATCCTTCTTTTACTTCGTCTTCTGCTGCTAAGATTGTGTGACAGAAAATTGTATTTAGTTCAATAATAATATAAAATAACATGGTTGTTGATCAGAGTTGTAAATAGCGCCACTGATTTGGTGACTATTGCTCTTCCCACGTGTAAAGCACGTGAATAATGCAATTTTTTTTATGGATGAAGATAGACTCATAAACCGGTAGTTAACTAAAGAAGAAAACTAATAGCTAAGAAAATATTAAATTGAAAATATAAATAGTGAGTAGGAAATTTGGTTGATTATTGTGATGACATATTTTGAAGTTTAAAAAAAATGCTTATAAAAATATTTATAAATCACTTACTAACAAAATTTTTATATCTACAGTAAATATTGAACATGCATCTCGTCAGATACGAATCCAATCTTGATTGCATATTAACCTTCCTCTTGAGTAAAGAACGTTTTAGATGCATAAATGGGATAATATTCCACCAAAGCGGATCCACGGGACAAGTATTTCTTGGCTTCTGCGTCATCTTGCTTACATTAAATATTTGGATTAGATGGAAGGACGGCTTGCATATCTGTTTGTTCTTGTGTCTTTTAACCAAGTTGAAAATTTGGAATCCGTAATGGTTTTGGTATCACAATCTATATGTGGCTGTGATAAATGTCAATTAGCATTATAAAAGACCTAGTTAATAAATTAAAAGTTATTTTAAAAATAATAATATATTTATCTAACACAGGTATTTTGAAGTGTGGGTTAGATAGTGAACATATTCTGTAACTTACAGGTACTTATCAAAGTGGGTTAGATCAGTGAATAGACGCAACAAGACAGGTGACACTTAACACGGATACCTGCTGCCGCAGCTGAAAATGAAGGTTGTATAGTATGAAGAGGTTCACGGTGATTAAAAGGATTTTCCTTCTATAGGGCGGTTTAGCATGCATAAGATTACATGTTCTAGTTACCAAAAGAAGAATTGTTGGGTTAGCATTCATTCTAGATCGAGTTCAAAGCGTGGGATGTTTTTGTCCTTTTCAATTATTTTAGTTAATGTTTATTAAGCATTAATGAGTTTGGATCACTAATGATTCTTTGAAGATTAAGTTGGTACAAGACTCACTTTTTTAGGGACTAATCATATGATAAAAATTAAAGAAAATGACAGAAAAATTGAACTATTTATGATTCTAAAAGATTAAAAGCATGTTTCTTTCCATTTTTAAAAAGAATTTGTTTATAAATAAAAAATAATTTTTTTTATTTTTTATTTTTTATTTTTTAACTGAAAACAATCATGTTTTAAATTTTTTCTTTTATTTTTCCAAAAAATAAGCGTCCCTGTATATTTTTTTTTCCAAAGATCGGCTTGGGCCTTCCGTTATTTAAAAAAAAGCGAGGGTAAACAGTAAATAACCCATTGCAAAGTGCAAACCTCGGACTTCTACCGATATATTGGTGCTGATATAAAATAAAACTATGCAAAATTATATATTTCTCTCCGTAAACTTTTTAAAGCGAGTTTGTTAATACAGTGTTTAAATAAGGGTATACTTATCTTTGATATAATTTTAAAAATAAGTTCAAGCCTTTAAAAAAAAATTATAGTACTTGCAAGTTGCAAATTCCCACGGTCCTAGGTATTTTTGGAAATAGAAAAAAAAAAAAGAAGAAAAGAAAAAGATGGTGTCATCGTACGGGTGCCTGTATCCACCACCTGTCCACCTGTTGATGGCTTGAAAGTTAGGTTGTACAATAATTTATTAGATATTTAATTAATTGTAAAAACTACTCAACATAAAACAAAGAAACTGCAAGACATCACTATATGATCGCTCGTTAAGGCGTTTGACAGCACGACATAAAAAATGGCAAACATTTTTTACTTTGTAATTCAACAATTTATATGAGTAAGATTATCTGATTAATATTGATTAGTAAGCATAAAAATACACATAAATCTAAACAATTGTTGATCTAATTATTTATGGTCTAGGTTTTAAAAACTTGAACCGAAATTAAATCAGTGATAATGAAATCATCGATCAATTAGTTCAACTAACCAAATTAGAGTTTCAATCGGATTGAAACGGATAAAATAAAATAATAAATTATTAAGTCAGAAATATAGCTGTTTCACAGCATATTAGATATTTTTTACTTTTTTTTTATAAGAAACAAAAGACTAAATCACTAAAATTAAGAAAAATAATTAAATATATTATATTTTTATAAATATAAATTTTATTTTAAAAATATTTAAGATATTAAATAATAAAATTAGTAATTTATATATTTAATGATACTAATAAAAAATATAAAAAAATTTAATAATTAATGTATCTTTGATTTATCATTTGTTTTTTAATAATAAAAATTAAAAAAAATTATTTTATTTCTTATGAAAACGAGTCGAAAGAGTAATTGATCTTTGCTCAGCAAGCAAAACCAACCCTAGGAGTACTTGTATCGTAGCTTATAATCATGTACTGGATTGTTATCCAAGTTGAGGCACCCACAGCAAGCAATAGTAATTAGCAGTGGGAACCACAGAATGTCACTTTTGTACTTAAAAAAGGACAGCAAAGACAAGGAGAGGTTGGGTCATGCAATTGTGGTAGTCGTGGACTACATTGTTACCTTGCCTTTCACTAAGCCAAGAAGCTGGATACGATTTAGGCACCCCTCAAGCGTTGATTGTGTGTGGTTCTCTTTTCCTTATCCAAAGGCCAAATCTTTTAAACTCCTCTATATCTAAATAGCATACATTATCTTCTTTAGAAACCTCTTAATCCCCTATTTTGCGTTACAAACAAGCATGTCAGATAAAGTAAATGGCTTGCCTGAAGACCAAGCATGGCAGGAGTTAAAGCTTCCAGAGTTGTTGACGAGTGGGGCTGTTAGAGAAATTCATGCAACTATTGAGAAAGAATGGGATTTCCTTCAAAGGTCAGCTTGCCAAACGGCTGCGGGAAGGGCTCTGTGGAAGCATGTGGTCCATGATCCACTCGCTGACTTACTGGCAGGGGAGACTTACTTGAGAAACCTCCATGAAAAGATTATAAAAGATCGTCTCAACAATGCCCGTGAAATTTCTGGGGTCATTCTTGCTGTTCGAACCCTTTGGGTAGATTCTAGACTACAAGATGCTCTCAATTCCCCATATGGCAGAGAAGCACAGGTTGTTCTCCTTGGTGCAGGTTTGTGAACACTTGGCTAGATATGAATTTCATTATGTCCAAACAGCTTTGACATTTTCCTTTTTAATAGTCATATTGCCAATTAATCAGCTAGCTAAGCTAATTAACCATTTTTTTGGGGGTGTAAGTCAGCCAAGTTAATCAGAATACTTAATTATTTAAGTCAATGCGGCTGCTTGATTCTGTTTCTTCAGAAAATAGCAGTAGAAAAAAAAAATTTGAGGGCGTTTGGGTGAATTACACCTTCCAGATCGTGTTACAACACATTTGAAGGACAGCTTCAGGATTTTTACAAACCATTTCTTATATCATCACTGGTCACTTTTAGACCACAGCAATCCATAACGACATGCCAACCTAGTGCATATATCCCCATTTTTTAGTTTTTTGGTAACACGCCTCTTCCCAGATAATTCGCAACGCAAATTCCTCTCAGAACCCCTATAAAATGAGGGCGGAAGGGGCGTATAAAGAGAGTACAGAATCTGAAATACCCATACCGAAAGGATTGAAGTGACCCGAGAGTAAAGCCAGTAAAGAATCTGAAATACCCAGCTAATTCCACACATTCGTAAACTTGCCGGACAAAAATAAAATATATCTGATGGACTTGCAACTTTTAATGTAGGAATGGACACGAGAGCATATCGTTTGAGTTGCTTGCAGGACAGTGATGTCTTTGAGGTTGACTTTTCAGACGTATTGGAGGTAAAAACCACTATTTTACAAGCGGCTAAGGACTCCGCATACGACCCCCAGCTTATTATGTCCAAAGCCAAATCCTTAACCAGAGTAGCAGCTGACATAAGAGAAAGTGACTGGATGGAAAAGCTTCAGATTGCAGGTTACTTGCCTCAGAAGAGCACTGTTTGGATTCTAGAAGGTATCCTCTACTACCTCACCCAATCCCAAGCCATGCAAGTGCTTAGGATTTTAGCTAACAAATGCGCCCTAACCCACACGGTCCTCTTAGCGGACTTCATGAATAAGTCATCAACCACGCTATCCAATTCAGCCTTCAAATTTTACAGCGACTGGCCAGATCATCTCTTGCCATCCATTGGCTTCACTCATGTAAAGCTTTCACAAATTGGAGACCCAGATGCCCATTTTGGTCTCTTGAATGATCCGTTAAATCTCTTCAACAAGCTTCGCAGCTTGCCTAGATCATTACAAACCAATCCAGACGATGGAACGCCGTGCTGTCGATTGTACTTGGTGGAAGCTTCTGGTTCACCGGAACAAAGTGCTGGGCATAAAGGGCCTATTAGTCAGTCCTGATACGTACATATATTTGCCACCAATTCATGTCTACTCATAATCTTGTCTTAGTTGTCTGGATACAGCCTCATTGATTGTATCGAACAATTGCACATGGAAAGTGAACATCATATATAATGGCAAAATCGTGCAATGGATGTTACCCCATGACCCATGTGATGTTGCTCGTCCAATTTCTACCCCCATGGCCAAGTGCTAGAGGGGGCTTGATGGAAGACTAAAACTTTTTTCTGTTACATGTGGAAAAAATATGCTATGTACAAAAATAATGCATTTAGTAATATCCTTAAATAATAGTATTTCTTATTTCTTAACCCGCGGACCTTTCGCCAATCCATACGCCAGCCCTTAACTGAAACTTCTGTCTGACAAAATCCACATGGTTTCTTCAAATCAAAGCGACCCGTTTAACAAAACTAAGTAATAAACAAAAAAACAGTACAATTTATTCAATATATTCGATCCATAAAAATGAATCAACAATTTAATAAATGTTTAGAATTCTTTCTTGAAAAGATTTTTAATTTTTTTAAGTGCGTTTTTTAATATTATAAACTTATGAATCTTATTTCTAACATGAAACTTTAATGTTATTATATTACCTGATTATATTCTAAATAATAAAATTGATCAGAAGTAAAAACAGATCCCCATTTTAAAATCACTTGTTACTTTTCTCCCACGTACAATTTGAAACTACAACAAAATCTTCAGATCCTGCCATTCGCTGAAAATTGCTAGCTAGTACCAACTACTCACATGAAAAATAAATATATCAAAATCCATCATTAATTTTAATCAAACTTCCTATTTTTTAATATATTTAATTTAATATTTGTTCAATCAAATGCAAATGGGTGAATTTGTGGAATTTTTTTTGCGGCAACTGTTTCGAACTAAGCAGTTTCCTCAGCTAACTTTTAGTGACTGAAAAGAGGGAATAAAAAACAAAAACCGAGAACAGAACGCAATGGAACAAAATCCTGTAATTTGTACTGTGTTTGATAAAAAAAATAGAAAAAAAAAAAAAACCAACGATATATTCCATCTTTAACACACTAAAACATAGAATGAAACCTTGATATCTTGTTCTGTCCTGTTCTCATCTGTCTACAAAATGAACCTAGTTTTTTTAATCAAGTATATGCAATTATGGAACCAAAACCTCCTAGCTCATCAAAATAGTTGTCTCTCCCAACAATGCAAACAAAAATATGGGAACTTGTACATCTATAATCTGATGATAAAAGCATCAACAAAAATGAAAAAGAAAAAGACACAACTTAACAAGGTGTATCAACAAAAATGTCCAGTAAAAATCACAATATATCATAAAATATCGTGAGAAGTTCAGAATATAAATTAGAAATTATTTTTTTTATGTATGTCCAAGAACACACAACAAAAACCTACACATACTAAGTTTTTATTGAAAATAAAAAGATATAACAAGATCCAACACATTGATAGTATTAATTACTATAATTTTCAATAGAAAGTTTCTATTTATTGATTTCTTAACATGTTCTCTCAGGCTCACATTAGAAAAACTGAATTAGACAAGCAATAGTATGCATTTGATCCCTTTTGTTGACAACCCGGACATTCTTCACACAGTCCAAACAAGCAAAAGCAAATTAGGAAAAACATAAAATTTACATATCTTTTGGCTGATTTTAAGAAAGTGATTTCAGAACTTTCTAGCATATACCCTTATTAAAGAAATGACTAGAATTTATTACATTATCAGTAATTGAAATTATGACAATACTCATTAATATAGAAAGCATAAAGCTGTAAAAAACGTGTTTCCTCTACAAAACGAATCAGATGAATTAATGCATCAAAAAGCATAGCAGATATGTATTGAAAGAGTGCTTACAGATTTTAGATTGAGAGAACTAGTAAGTAGCTTAACTAGGGCAAAAAAAATATTGTTATTTTCAGCAGTCAGCACACAGATGATGGCAGAAAACTGATGCTTGCACCAATAGTTTTCCTGAAGAACAAGTGAAAGTATTAGCAAACAAATAATGCGCAAACCCCAGTTCATAGTGTGAGGTTGCTAACAGTTTGGGGGTAAGAACAAGATTCAAGTATTTGTTAATTATGAAGCATATACTCTAACACAAACACCCAACATGACATGAACGTTCCAACACAGCTAACGCCCAAAATATAAGACATTGGAACATCACATAAACACACACACACACCCCACAAATAGAGAGAGAGAGAGAGACTCAAATGAAATACATGCAACATAATAAAAGATCAAAATTAATAGTGTGTATATTCTTCTATATTCACCTTTTTCTTATGATAATGATGCTTAAAAAACATTATTAAGAGACACTATTTTACAATGTACGCACTAAATCTCTTTACAAAAAATCCCAAAACATGATAATGAAATTATATCTTTCAAGAGAGGTGTATTCACCTTCTCAATCTAAGTTTTACATTTTTCCCCTATAATAATGTGTCTCACAGAAAAAGGTGAGACATAAATTTTTAATATATTATATTATATTTCAAGTTGAGTTTTCTAATAGTATAGAAAATGATGATGATGATAATAATAATAATAATAATAATAATAATAATAATAATAATAATGTTAGTAAGTGTTCATTCACAAGGAGATGTCAACTTGAGTGTCGATGTTGTTTGGAGGTATCCATTCAAGTGCCCAAGCAGACCAAAAACATATTTTTAATAGTGCCCAATATGTGTCAGATAGGGGTTAAGGAGGTAACACTGGCAGTTTCAGAAATGTACCCAACATTATGACACTTTAAATAGAAGAAATGTCTGTGCATACAGTATACACTAAAATGTTTGCAATTGCAATTTATTAATGACATTTAAGACTGGATACAGATAATATTGACAGCAATTAAAAAATATAAAAAATCAAAGGAAAGCAGCCATAATAAAACCCTGAATTCAAAATATATAGACAGAGGCACATTCTTACACGATTTTAACTTTCCCCATTAAAAAGTAGGAGGCTATCCTTTACAATCAGATTTCAAGGCAGTCCCTGATTCCCTGCTCAAATTTGTCAAGAGAAGATATGGTATCCGATACAGCATTGGCCATCTTTCTTCTGAGGGAAACAAAAAGAGTGATTTCAAAGGCAAGCCATCAAATCAATAATCTAGAATGCACCCCAGAACAATATGTATAAGCATCCTGAATTATAACATACAGCAATATGATAAAAATTAAGGTCATTTACAATTTAGAAAGGGAGAAACAAAACAGCACCAAGACAGGCAATTCAATCAAGACCAAAAATAAAAATAAAAATACATAACCCATATCTGTGTTTTGACTTAAGATGGGACAAACATTAAAATGGTCTCCATATTTAAAGGGTAGCTACAGTTCTATAAGTGAATCCATTAATAGTAAATACTATCATTTTTTGAGTGAGGATGCATACTTTTTCAAATAATAGCATAAAGAATTTTCTTAGAACAAAAAAAAAAGGTCTTCTTCGATATTCCTGTAAGGCATTATCAAAGAGATACCTATCTGATGCAAGTTGAATGTTGGTTTCGCTTGCCAGCCCACTGATAGAGGTGAAAGATCTGCATGATAGGAAGCAACATGGGAAACAAGCATTCACTGTCAGATGTCATCAAATTAGGTAACTTGCTTTAGGTATACTATTGGATGAAGATAGCATGTAAAAAATTTAAGGAAAAAAAGAAGATACTGTTTGAGCATCAAAACTACAAGATAGAATAGAAACTATGGAATTTATTCTCAACTGATAAGGATTAGCTCTCCTGAAGGCTTAAGGGTACGCTTGGGTGTAAGGTTTTGAAGGGACACATAAAGGAGGGAAAATTTCTTATTTTTAGATTAAGAGAGATATATTTTTCTGTTGATAAATAATATTTTATACAATAATCAAAATATTAGAATATTAAATTTATGCTAATATATCATTTTATTTCATTTTAAAAAATTATCAAATCAGATAATTTTTTTAGAAATAAAAATTTGGCCCTCCCTACTATTTCCTTCAAAAACCTTATTCTCAAACATATCCTAAAGAGATAGGTAAAAGCTCAAGAACAAGAATAACTTCATCACAATTTTACCATGCCCCCATCACAGAAGAGCCACTTGGGCTTCAAGTGTACGCAGCATAAAGGCCCACTGCTCACTTCAACCTTATAAAACTGAATTGGAGTGGCAAGGATCAAACTCTTGACCGTTTGGCCTTTATAGGCTCTAAGACATCGAATTAAGAACTAACTCTCCTAGTAGCTAAAGTGAAAAGGTGAACGCTCATGAATGACTTTGTTATATTCTATCAATTACCATGACACAAGAAAAACCCTTGAATAATATTAGTAGCAGAAAATAGGAATTTCATCTCCATTTACACATAGCAAGCCCTTTGTAGGTACTAGATAGGATATAACTAGATTGGCAAGTAAACAATCTGCTAGAAATTTTGTGATCTAACTACTATCAATCTGCTGGGAAGAAAATAAGTAGTCATGGGGAGTTTCTGACATATAATGAAACAAGCTAAAATGCTGGGTATAAGGTTCCCTCACACATAAAGAATTAGATGTTGAAAACAATATATAATAGTAAATCATGCATAGGAATGAAGTAATTTTGCCACTAAATTGCACTTCAAACTGTTCATTTCATTACAAAGAAATACCAAAGCAGCATGGACACCTAAACTTAAATAGAAATACAATCATAATATTGCAAAATAGAACCAAAAGCAATTCTTTTAAGGATCAGCTAGTTTCTCTATATCTGAATTCTGAACAAAAAAAAAAACTATCGAGTTAAATCAACCATTTTGCTAATATACGTGAAGTAGATAAACATTACTCTCAAATAAAGAAGCTGCTTCCGATATTTTTTCACTAATTGGAATCATTCGGACTCAAAAAATTAAATATTCAATGTAAAGAAAGGATAAGAGGACCACCAGATGGTGTAGTAGGCCAAAAGCACACATGCTAGCAAATCGATACCTTATAAGATTATCTAGCAAAGCTTCCGCTTTCAACTTTACAGGATCCTTATTTCCAAGCAAGGAGGCTGCATTCTTCACAATCAACCGAAACGTGCACACCTGTTAGTATAAAAGATAGCGAAGCCAAATTATGTGCAAATCTGAATGTTTTTTGCACTTGAGCTAGAATGCTTTTAGGGGAAAGGGACATGAAAAAGAATAAAGCAATAGCATCCACCTTTACACTTGAGCTAGCGTGTTGAACACGAGACCTATCTATCAGTCGTCATTTGATACCCCAAAAGCATAAATCCATTCAGTCCAATAATAATAAAAGTTGAGTTATCGGTATTTACTAGCAAACATTTGATAATTGACAGTCCATAACCATCGTCGTTTTCTATTTTCCAATTATGCCATCCAAACCCTAATCATTAAACACATTCAAATTATGCATGGCATTAGAGGACCAACAAACCTCTACTCCGGTTTTGGCTTGGAAAGTGACGAAAGAATTTCTATCCTGTGGGACGCAATCCCTGGCAGCAGATCTAAAGAGCTGCTGAAATCTCTGCAAATCCTCATCCGTATAAGCAGCGTCGGGTTCCGCTGCAAAAAGGAACCGAATCAAACCCTAACTAAGATAACAAGCCACGCGAGCGTGAATGTAGCAGAAAAGAGGGAAAAGACATACTGAGTGAGAGATAAGCAGAACGAAGGGTTTCGCGAGAGGCATCGACGGGGGCCAATAGGAACTTGGATGCTTTCTTCTTTTGCTCTTTCAGCCAATTCTTCGGTCCTGCTGCGCACAAATTTCAGGAATTAGGGTTTTCATTAATACAACGTGTAACAGACAGTGAAGAAGAAGAGTGGCACATACAGATGCCAATGTCAATGGCGGAGGCGGAGGCAGGTGCAGAGAGAGAGAGGAAGGAAAGCAGAGCAATGTCCCTGCGAGAGAGAATCGAAAAAGCAGAGACGTTGCGTTTTGGCGGGAGTGAAGAGCGCGCAGTAACGGTGGATAAAAAGATGCCCGAGAAAGAAGAAAAAGGCGAAACGGTTGTTGGCAACGGCATTGTTATTGTTTGCTTTTGCTCGCCACGCCTACGTTACCTTGCGCGATTTGTTCCCGTGTTGTTTTTTCGGGTCGTAGTGTTGCACATAACATTTTTCAGTTTCGCAACACTACGGAGGAAAATTAACATTACACGTTATTTGACAACTTTTTTATTTATATCAATTCATTGAATAATTTCAATGTGTTTTTCATTATTAAAGTTAATGTTAATTTTTAACGGATTGTAAAAATACTTAACAAATCAAATAATATAGTATTAATACTTCTCATAAACCAAATGCGAAAATATTTAAAAGCTTCTGTATTCAATTTTTTATATAATCGTCTTTTATAAAAAAAAATATCGTCTGTTTCAATTATTTTTATATAAATATATAAAGGGGCCTAAACCAAAAAAACAAAACGAAATGCATTAGAATCACTTGGGAATAGTAACATCAAAACTCGGGAGTGTTCATACACTACTCGACCTAAAGCCTGATCAGAAGCTACATTGACTAATATTATCTGCAGTTTTATGGCCTCTCCTCTTTGTGTAATCTTTTTAAATTGTTTGTATGAGAAGAAAGAAAGAAGGAGGGAGAAAAGGGAGGTCGAATTGTTTTATCACCGGAGAAGCTTTTGAGTGGGATTCACATTTAAGAAAACAAAAAACTCAGGTTAGGGAGAAGTAAGAGAAATTTTAGTCGTTGGGTTTTTTAAATTAAAATATTAAATAACAAATATATGACAAAAAGATATAAAAATATTTTAATAAAAAATCCTTCAATTTAATTAATTTTTTATAATTATTTGTAATGTTGTTTAACTTTTGTATTATGTTTTTACGCGTTCAAGCAATAAGAGAAATTATTAAAATTAAAAAAATTCCGTCAACTCGTCTAAATAACATTTTTTTATTGTATTTCTTCTCATTTTAGTGTTTTTCTTTTGTTCATTTCTCATCTAAATGTATAACCAATATTTCTTAATTTTGTCCAACAACTTTTCAAATGTGTTGAATTGACAATCATGTTGATGTTATCAAGATTGCTACAGTGATCCCCTAATAAGCCATCAAAGAAACAAACTGTACTTATGAACTGTTGATTCTCTAATAAGCCCAGTAAAATCTAAAGAATAATTACTACAACATTGGCATCTGTGTGATATTGATGGTGGCAAAGGGTGAGGAATATGAAAAGACGTTATAACATTAAAGTTAATAAGAGTAATGTTAGCAAAATTCTTTAATTATTTCTTTATAACACATCACTAATTAATAATTAAAATTTATTTAAAATTATAAATATCATGAGGGTTATATTTTTTCCATTCATAAATTAATATTAATTTCTTATATTTTTTAATATTTAATAGATTTTAATAACAAGTAGTGTGTTGTTAATATTTCTCAAATTAATAATAGTAGGGATAGGCACATGTATCCGTTTAGTGACATATTTTAGTTATATAGTACTTTAATGTGGATGATACACTCTTAAAATATAAGAGTGATGTTGTATGATGGAGTGGCATAAATATGAAATATTATGGTTGCTCAATAAATATAAGTGTGATCCTTGACCTTGTTTCTTTGCGGTAAACATGTATAAATCATTAATAACCCTAAACATGTTTAATTGACAGCAAAGTAGACTTTTAACCTATGTTACAAAGTGGACCAACAATAGCCTTAAAATGCTTAGAAGTTGTTTTTTCACCTTTTTCAGTTTTTTTTATTATTATGTTTTTCACTCAAATGTACTACGTTAATTAAAAATCACTGGTTCATTTATTTTAATCGTTTTCAAATGTAGTCTAATTCAAAAAATTAAATTTCAAAAACTTGTATGAAAATTGCTTTTGGAAAGTTAATTATGAAAATATACATAAAAATGGTTAATTCCAAGACTGTAAAACTTGATCATGGAAATGTATTTCCAGACAAAGTTAATAATTTGATAAATTGATCATAAGAATATATGAAAATATTATTTTTTAAAATAATTTTCAGAAATTTAAAAATTTGATTCGAAAAATTAATTTTAAAAATGGAGAATTCCAATTTTAAAAACTTATTTTTAGAAATATTGAATAACTATAAAAATTATTTTAAGAAGTGTAAAAACTTAAATTTGTAAATTAATTTCCAGAAATGTAAATTATTAATTTTAAAAGCTTTTCTAAACGTAAAATCATAGTCACAAAATTTTATATTTTTAAAAGCATGACAACTTAATTTTAAAAATAATTTATAAAAATATAAAATGTTAATTTTACAAACTTACAACAAAAGCAAGATGTTGCATCACGCAGTGCATGAAATTACTCCATTTTCAAATTTGTAAAATAAATTTTCATATTTTTTAAAGTAAAAATTTACAATTAATTATATAAAAATCAATTAACTGTACTCTAGGTGCCGTCAATCCTTTCCCTTGAAGGGTCTACTAAGAATTTGTCCTAACAAGAAACATGATAACGTTAATACTTATTTAATTAAAAGAAATATAAGTAATGATAGGTTATCCAGCGTGACATTCACGTGGGATAAAGCGAATTGACAGCGGGGAAGAAAGAAAAAAGAAAGGATGAGAAAAAAAGGGGAAGGCATAATGTGATTCCGATTCTGATCGTATAGTATTGACTTATTGAATATGGGAACCCAACCCAAAAAATTGTGGCCGGGCGCTACTTATCCGCGCAAGAACCAGAAATGAGCAGAAAAATGCAAAAGCGACCATCAGCACAAGTACGGCTTCCTCCACGTGGCACTCCGTCATAATCTCAATTCACTTCCACTAACGTCTCGCATTCCCCATTTTCGTTTCTTCCTATTATTCTTTCTAATATCATTCCTGTGCGAGGCAATCAAAGGGGAATTAATTCCTTCCCCAACATGAATTGTTAAATACCATATTGTATCCAAATTCCAGGATACGAATAATCGGTTTCCAAGACATGTTAATTAGGCAAAAGTGGTAAATGCCGGTGAAGCTGCATTTCCAACTCCTAATTGCGTTTCCTCAGACGCTAACTTTGCAGTGGCAGCATCTGATTCCCTCCCATTTGCACCTCGTTCATCCTCCACCATGTCTACGCCTATTTAATCGCTGCACGATGCGAATTCCCAAGAGGCCCCTCTTGTTTTCTCTCTCTAACTTCTCTCCTCAGTTCTCACCTCTTTTCTCTCCTCGCCTTCTCTTTGCTTCTGGAATCTGTTCCAAGCGTTCTCGCTCCCTCGCCAACGCCACGTCACCAGGTTCGCTTTCTTTTCCCTTCTCTTGTGCTTTCGCTTCAACAGGGTTTCTTGTGCTCTAAGCTTTTTGAATTATCACGTGTTTCTTATTTGCCTTGTGCATATCTTTAAGTCATTCATTTTGTTCAGTCATCATTTGTCGTAGATACAGATAGTTTTTGGCGCAGATACGGGATACGGATTTGGAGGGAAATATATTGGATACTTGGAAAAGAGGTTGCTCTTCATAATTCGGAAGTTGAATTTTTATATGTTTATTGGAGCCTTCATTTGGAAATCCTTAGAGTTGGAACGTAGCCGTGCATTGTACGCTTTAAGTCTTTAACAAATCACAACCGAGGCGAAATGTTTGACTTTTTTATTTTCTAGGAAAGGCTTATAGTTACACACTTCGCCCCCTCTTCTCCTTCGTTTATTCAGTTCTTTTTCAGTTTTCGTTTAAATATTCTTCTCATAATATTTATTCGTTGTGGATTGGATGGTGAGAGTATTTTGTCTGTGTTGAATCATCAAATGGCTCTCCACTTTATTGGTCAGAAAGATCAAACTAGCTTCGATTATCTGTATGAATGTATATGCACAATTAACGTGTAGCAGTATGACTGCAGTTCAACCCCTGATTGTTCCCTTTTTTGTTCTGGATATCTATTTTTCAATGGGCTACATTCACTTAAGCGTGTCCAATGTTGAGAAAACCAGGAATTGAATGCATTCCTTTGTCTAGATTTCGGAAGGGTGTTGAATTGTCCTGTCTTTCAGTCAAATTTTACTGAAAATAGGCTTATAGGCTGCACACTAGGTTCATTTTTACTTTGTGTTGTTACCTGTACCAAAGTTATTCCTAACTACTTCCATTTTATTATCCTTTCTCAAGAATTAAAACTCTCAGGAGCTAATCAGTTGCATGCTCAATATTCAATGGATGAGAATCATGAACTTGGCGTACATGACTTAAGATCGGTGGATTTGCCCAGAAGTGATGGCGGCAGACAGCCATGTGTATGGTCACTAGCTCCTGAACATGGATATAAAACTGAAATAAGCAAGCAGATATTTTGTAACCGGTCACTGAATATGAAGAACATTGTTGCTGTGGGATTTGACATGGATTATACTCTTGCACAATACAAGCCTGAAACTTTTGAATCTCTTGCTTACCAAGGCACGATTAAAAAGCTGGTTTATGACTTGGGATACCCTCGTGAGGTTTGTCCGACCAACCTTATAGCACTTTTTACCAGGTGTGGTTAATTTGTCTTCTTTTTCATGCATTAATTATGATGGGAGTACTGTTGTGACGTGTTTTTTCATAGCTTTACTAGCTTCCTCCTGGTTCACTTTGTTAAAGGATTTTTTATTTACTTACATATTCTTTGCAAGTAAAACAAATCTTACATTCTGTTGTCTTTTGGCTAAAAACCTTTATATATTCTGCAGTTACTAAATTGGTCTTTTAACTCGAAGTACATGGTCAGGGGCTTGGTTCTCGACAAAAAGAGAGGCAACATATTAAAGGTTTAGACTGGATAAATGTTTTCTTTCCATCACTTTCACTGTTGAAAAAATATAGTAGCAGTTTGCATGGGAATCTTTTTATTTCTACTTTCTCTGTTTGATCGTTGGATTGCGGCTGTTCGTATTTAGATGGATCGCCACAAGTACGTGAAAGTAGCCTATCATGGATTCAAAGAGTTATCAAAAGAAGATAAAGTTGGGACTTACGGAAATACTTTAGTACGTGATTCTTTTGATGAACCAGACTATGCTCTCATTGATACACTCTTTTCACTCGCGGAAGCCTACTTGTTTGCTCAACTGGTTGATTTCAAAGATTGCAACCCTGGAAGAATTCAAGAGGGTGTTGAGTGAGTCTTATTCTTGCGTGCATGAATTTCCTTTTTGAAGATCTTAAATTGTTTTTGTTTTTAAATCATCCAAATGCTAGGACTTAAACCTTTAAAAGTGAGGTAGTCTTAGATTTTTTTTAAAGGGATTTAGTATGCTATCGTTTATCCTTTCAAGCATATTTGGGTTCTTTATGTGTATGAACGTACCTAGAACACTATAAATAATAATGTTGATTTCAGCTTCATCCCTCTAGGGCTTAAATGTTTAAGGTAGCTTGCTGCTAATAAAACAATAATTTCAGCAACGATGGGCAGATACATGAATAGTAAGGCTGGTAAACTAAATGCATAGTGCTATAATTAAGACCATTCGCTTTTTTTTTTTTGGAAAATCATAATAGACTGTAAAAGAGAAATAAAAACGAGCATTATATATATTTGTAGAGAAACCACCAGACAGCCTGTTTACAGCTCACGTGAACACCATGATATATATCCTTTATATATCGTTCTTCCAGTTATGCTCGCATGTACAAAGATGTTCGAGCTGCAGTTGATTTGTGTCACCGTGATGGAACGTTGAAGCAGATGGTTGCTAGCGATCCAAAAAGGTATGGATATAAAATCACTAACCCAGTAATCTATCCAAGTGAGAAAGAGCGAACAATTTGTTAGCAATGAGATATCAGACTCTAGAATGATGTATCTATTAGCTGTTTCCTTTTGAAAGCGTGTTCTTAACTTTATAAATCATTCATGACTTAATGAAATTATTCTGACTTGCTCATTTTTTGGTTGAGTTTTATCTATCAGATATATTAATGAAGACAAGTCAATAGTGCCCATGCTTGAAATGCTCCGAGAATCTGGACGTGCAACATTTTTAGTGACAAATAGGTAGTTATGAGTTTACCTAATCATATGGAAACAAGTTAACTGTATTAGTTAAACTTTCCTGTGGTTTTTAATGATTGATGGAACAATCAAATATTTATGTGTATAAGACATTTTAAAATTTGTTTTTCCTAAACTAACACTTAGTGCGAAGCAGGAATCTGTGAGATATACGACAGTGATACTTAATGTACAAAAGTAGTGGGGAATAATGAGTTGCCGTGTGTTGATAGATTATAGGATAAATATTTTATAATTTATAGTGAATTGATTCGATAGAAAATATTGTAATGGTTTTTCTTTAAAAAAATAGAAACTTGTTGGTTTACTTCTCCACTCTTATTTTAACTAAACATTTTTCATACTTTCATATCTGATTTGCAGTTTATGGGACTATACAAACATTGTCATGAATTTCCTCTGTGGATCCAGTATGGCAGATAGCAGTAACAATTTTGGCTGGCTTCAATACTTTGATGTTGTTATCACTGGCAGGTCATGTTCTTCTTCTAGCATCTATACCTAGATATATTTGTTTGGCTTCATTATTTTGCTTTGATGGGAATTTTCCCCTATATTGGATTTGCATAATTAAAAAATAGTATGTTACAAGGAATTAAGGAGCTTGCCAACTTTACTCTGGGCCTTGTGCTGTTCAAATAATTGCATTTGGAAATTTGTTTTTGCCAGACTATACAATACATGTCTTTCTCCCTTATATTAACACATCATGTATCACTCATTTTATGAACTTGATAATTTATAAGAAACATCCAATTTCAGACTTATTTGTGATTCAGTTTTGCAGTGTGATCTCAATAGTGAAAATTAACTTTTGAGTTTCTTACAGCATGCAATTATATTTGTATTTATTTACATGCTAACCTGTTCAAGTTCACTATCCTACAGTGCAAAGCCAGGATTTTTTCATGAGGAAAATCGTGCCAACCTATTTCAGGTTGTGCCTGTGACTGGAATGCTACTAAATACAGATAATGGCTCTCCAATGCCCCAGGTTAGTACAGTTGCGCATTATTTTATTCATTGGTTTTAAGTCTTGTATAAGAATGTGTTTTTGTTTTTTTGAAAGGTGGGTAATATCTCCGCAAGGTTATTCATCGAAGTGAAGAATCATGCTTGTCCAGTTTTCCAGGTATAACTATTATCTAACATATACTCAGTATGTATCCATAAAATGTTTGACAATCAGCATTTCAGTATTATGTGGTGATTACTCACATCTGTTGCAGGGAGGCAATGTTGCTCATCTGCATAAACTGCTGTCCATTGAATCAAGTTCACAGGTAATTCTTTTCTTTATGACTAACGTATTTGTTACTTTCACAAATAGTAGTAATAAGTTCCATCATGGTGTTTTCTGGTCTGAAGAGCTGATAATTTTATGGTAGCGGTAGATTAAGGATTGTTGGTAAACTGAAGCTTCCTCTAAAAGTCTGAATGCTTTATATGTAGGTTCTATATGTTGGGGATCACATCTATGGAGATATACTACGCAGCAAAAAGGTTCTTGGTATATCATTAATCCTTATCACTATTCTATTAAATATATTTTGCATTCTATTTGATAACCAGTTAAATTGGTGATACCTGTGGTTATGATCATACGAGGGGCATCAATAACTGTGAATGTAATAGAGAAAATGAGATATTGGTGGAATCTTTAATGAGTTTGGATGATGCAAGTTCGTGTGTAGTGTGTTTTTCTCATGTTCCTTTCAAAATTTACGTATACTTGAGGATTCTGCTTTAAGTTAAATTTGATCGTGATGTGATGTGCTATGTGAGCAGGATGGAGAACAATGCTTGTAGTCCCAGAGCTTGAGAAGGAGGTTAAACTCCTCTGGGAATCAAGGGATACCCGCAAGGTGCTTACTGAGTTTATTGCCTCTGATTAGGTTTAATTTTTATGATGAGCTTTACTTCATAAAAAATAAAATTAGAGGAAATTACTGGTTTAAGTCATGCATAAAATATTTTATATGGACTTCTAGTATTTAAAATGAGTTCTATTTTTAAGTTCTTTCTTCCTTTCAATCACCTGACAAGCTAATATACACATAGGAAGATGTTTACATGAATAGTCTTGTGCAGGAACTTCAATTCTTGAGGAGTGAGCGTGATCGTATTGAGGATGAAATACATCATCTGAAGTGGTCTCTAAAGTTAGTTTAACTCTAGACCTCCCGTATAAGTCCTGCTTATTGTCAGTATGCTTTCTTATAGAGCAGTGCATTATTTTTCAGATTCAAGAATCCAAATGCTGATGCCAAGCAGAAGTTATCTTCAGAACTTGATAAATTGGAGGTTTGAACCTTATGAACATTCGCATTTCATGCATGAAAGTCCAATTTCAGACATTTGATAAGCGGCTGTATTTTTGGCAGCTTGAAAGAGAGAGAGTGCGATTAAATCATCAAGAGGCTCAGAGAAAATTGCACCAAAGGGTAGAAAGTTCACCTGTAGTTTTTTTCAATATATTTTGCTGCTCTCTTTTCTTCCAATAATCTGGTACAGCTACAATATATTCAATTTAGTCTGTATACACAATGTTGACCGTTTGTGTGCAGTTTCACGAGCCATGGGGACAGCTTATGAAAACGGGTTATCAGAATTCTCGCTTTGCTCATCAGGTAAAATGTGACTTTCTTTAGCAGTTTAGGTATATGGTCCATTCTCAAGTACAACACTAATTTGTATTTATAACTTTCTAATTGGAGTGTAGATCTCAGTGAATAATATTTCTTTTGATGAACTTATGTGCATGATGCAGGTTGAGAGATTTGCTTGCCTTTATACTAGCCAAGTATCCAACCTGGGCTTGTACTCTCCGGACAAGTATTACAGACCCACCGAAGATTTTATGCAGCATGAATTTGGCATTCTGGCTTGTGAGACGCCAAAAATCTGAGTTGTGGAATTTGGGGCAACATTCATTTGAATTTTGTATAGCTGAATTCTAATTTGCCCCTTGTTCCGTGTTCTGGGTCTCATCTTCCTGGTCTGTTACGTTGGACTTAAGCTCATTAGATTAATTAGAAGTGCCATATGATTTTGACCCAAAAAACAAAAAGTTTTATGAGGGCAAAAAAAGAGACTAGATTTTAGCGCTGTATAGTTTCTTCGAGCATTTTCAGAATGTAAGTAGTGCTATGCTACTACGTTGTAGCAATTACAGATTTGTTTCTTCGCACATTTTAATACAAGTTGATAAAAGTATCAGATTAAGAGCAAAATTAGTTTGAGCCATGTGTAAACGAGTCTTGCGCTTACATCGACTAATATTTTGATCCGTATTTATTTATTGTTATTTCATTAATTACAATCATATTATATTAGTGAATATTAGTGTAAAATTTTATTCTGCATAATATTATCAATTAATTTATAATTTTAAGCTAAGCCTCGTGGGTTTGCAGTTTAATGTAACTTTGTTTGGGAGAGGAAAGCTATTCCAACCGAATGAATTGGCTTTTATATTTTGATAATTAGAGAACTAATCCAAATTCCTAAATGAATTGAAATTTCACTTTACTTTTTTTTTCTTTATGCATTAATCAATTAATAATAAATTTGCCTATAATTGTTTATAAGAAATTATAATTGAATTCAATTACTTAGCAGTATTTTAATTATAAAATAAATTTACAAAATAATTTAAACTTCAAATGCAATGGGTCATTAACTCTCTTTCTCACGCGCTCTCACTCCGGCAGCCTACCGTGTTCAATTCATTTTTAATACTCTGAAAATTACAGCTGATCCACGAAATAAGTAATGATCAAATGACTCCACAAATAAGTAATTGAAATATCACAACTGTGAATACACGCTGACAATTCGCTTTATGAAATTAATAAAGTAAATTCAAAATTTACTAAACAAATAAGGAAGCAAATAAGTGAAAATAGGCAAATAACGAGTTCAATTAGTGCAATCAATTCAACATCAATAAATGAGTAAAAGTAATGTGAGTACAATAACTTTTAGGACTAATTCCGTGCAAGTTCAGATGGTGCTAAAAAGAACTACTCACTCATGATTTTTCCAAATATGTTATTTGTGAATGAAACACTGTGTGCTCCAAAAATCTGTGGTGTGCAAACAATAAAGTAAACGTAAGCATATAGCCTAAAAGCATTAGTTTGTTGAAAAATATAAAACTTAATGATTTTTATGTTTTTAAAAACATATTGGTTTTTGACTGTTGAGAATACCAAATGGGAGTAATTTATTACTATCCATTTTTTAAATAATCGTAATTTTTTAATATATCATATGATTTTAAAAAATCAGTAATTTAAATTTTAAATTTATTTTTTTATGTTCATTTTAGAAATAATACAAGTTACTACATAAGTGTAAAAGCCCAAATCCTCTCTCGTATCCTTATCAGCAAGCCCAATCCCAAGTGCTATATCTCATAAGAAATTAAGTGCTAATGAGCAAAAATATCAAGAAATTAAGTGCTGAAACAAGAGTGAGAACATGAAAAAGAGAGAGGGAGAGAGTTACCATATTTATTTCGGGATAAAATTACGATCCAAAGTTCATCATACCATTATTATCAAGTTTTTACTCACACAAATTTAATAAAAAATAATATATTTTATTTTTTAAAAAGACGTTGACATGCTTCTTTTTGAGTTTTAAATTTTTTTTATTATTTTACTCATACAATTCAAATTCAAAACCTTACTTAAGTGATAACGAGTCACTTATCATTTAGACCAATTTTTATTAGTAACTCTTCACATATTTTAATTATAAGTTGATAAATAATTATATTTTTTTACAATAATTTTATATAATTTTTTACAATTATCAAAAAAATTTAAAATATGTAACAAGATAAAAATTACAACAAAAAAATTAAATATTAATTGCTAAAAAATATCATAAAATATATTTAAATATTATATATAGTATTTTTTATTAAAAATTGCTTATTTTAAAATATATATTATTTAAAAGTTACAGAATTTAATTAAAATGTATTACTTATTATTATTATTATTTATTATTTATTTTTGTTGTATAGCCACATATGCATATTAAAAAACCATAAGAGATAGTTATTTCAAAAAGAATAGTCTACAAATATCCTTTATTAGAAACAAACTTATTTGAATTGAGTAGAACTATTGTATATAAATAAAACTCTTAGATCGAGTATTTAACAAAATCATATTCATGTATTTATTTTAAGTTATATTTATATTTTAATTAAAAAAAATCATTTGCTTGCAAATTAAAAAATTAAAATATCATTTAAAAAAATAAAAAATAAGATAAAAAATAAAATAATCAATCCAATTTAAATGATAAAAATTAGTTTGAATTTATTCGATTATTTTCAAATCAATCTAAACAAAAAAAAAATATACAATACAATTTCATAGAAAGGAGCTACAAAACATTCCTAAATTACTTACACCTTAACATATTTAAAATGGCTTAAATTGTACACTATTGGCAAAAAATTTCCCCCTTTAGCAGAGCCTTTTTTGGTCCTCTCTCTCTTTCTAAATGCACTGGGTTGGATAACATAATCAGAAGGAACAAAAACCTTATGTGATCCATGGCATGACTTGTCATTTGACAGGAATATATAACAAAAATGACATCCAATAAAATAGGTGCTAGAATCATAGAATTTATCTCATCTCATGTAACTCAATCTTTTTCAGGAAATTTCAAGTGTCAAACTATCACCACAAACTAGAATACAACAGCCTGGCAGAATTATGTGATCTCAACCCAGAAAAAAGAAAAAAAAAACCCACTGCATGGCGACATTTATTTAGACCCTGTTAATTAGCCTCTAAATTACTATTTTAGAAATCATAAAAATAATATTTTTATTAAAATTATATATAATATATTAATCATATTTTTAATTTCTTATTTAGTGCTTCAAACTACTTGTTAGCATTCTCCCTTTATTTAAACAACCAAATTTGATTGAAGGCATATTCTATTCCTGACGACATTCTATCTCAATTATTGGTTCCTCACATTTTGAGCTTACATTTCGAATAAAACCATTTACATCATTGATTTGATTTGTAAATAGAAAAACAAAACATTATAAAGTTTTTAAATTGGAATTGATTCTATTTTTTGTTTTTAGTTTATATTTGGAATAAAAACATTTACGTCGTTGATTGGATTTGAATAATTTTGATTTAGTTCTAGTCTCCACGGCTGAAAATTTTATTACTTTCGACATTTAAATTACTTTAAGTAGTGATAATAATAACAAAAGCTTTTCTAAACCTTAATTTTTAGGGTTGAACTAAAAAATTTAAAAGCATTAAATTTTTATTAAAAAATATTTATTATATCTTTATATTTCTAATGTAAAAGAATATTCCATTTTTAATTGAATTCTTAATGAGTGAGATTAACAAATCTATGTTTTTATGGCAATATTTGTACAACATTTTTAATTCAATTTTGTTAATACGTTTCTATTGAATTTGTCTTGTCATTTCTGTGTCAAAAGTCTATACAGTTACATTTGTCTTTAATAAGATTTTATAGTTAATTTATACCATTTTATTTATAACTTTTATAAGCTTTTTAATTTACAAGTGTTGTCCACATAACCTTGAGAATGAGGGTCGAAACAAACAATCATGGTTTTTATTGCTCATTGGTCCAAACGATGTATCATTATCATACAAGTAATTAATATTTTATAGAGTTCGTTTGCAGGTGAAATACCATAAGGTCAAAAGAGCATAGTTTTCATAATTGCCTTCAAAATACGAGGAATGTTACCACAAAATAGTTTTCACACGGAACAAGTATTAAATAATTTTATGTTTTTAATATATTAAAAATAAAAGTTTTAAAGAGGAAAAAAAGGAAAATATATTTTTTAATCTTAAATTAATAATTATATATCACTTATAATGATAAATATATAATTAATATATTAAATTTATGTCAATATATTAAGTTATATCTTTTATTATAAATAAATATTAATTTAAAATATAAAATTTGTCTTCTCCTTCAAAATCCTCATTCCCAAACAACTCTTTAAATTATTTTTAATTGAATCTTTGATCACATTTCTATCAAGGTTCTGTTAAATGCAAAGGCTTATTTATAAAATTTCAAATGCCTCAAAAAAATTATTAAATAATTAAACTTATGATCTAGTAATTCCTAAATTATTTTAAAAAAATTAATTAGATCTATACAGCCAGAGACTTAATTAAAAATGACTTAAAAATTAGGACATATATACAAAAATATTAAATACAAAGATGTATTTGTAATTTTATAAAGAGTCGAGGGATCAATGCAGTAATTTAACATCTTTTAATAAAATTTACTACTTTTATGTTTTAATTAATGTTGTACGGTTAACCTTGTCTTTTTTATTTTACTAAGTACTTGAATGGTATATTCTTACTGAAGCCATGCTCATTTGCATAATTCCTGATCCATTAATATCATAGCTCTCAACCCTGTAAATACAAATACCAAAAGGTTTTACCAGAAGTATATTATGATCTATTTGGAATTTTTTTTTTAAAAATTATAGAAGAAAAATATATAGTATAAAAAATATTAAAACTTATTATAAATTAGAAATAAATATTTTTATTTTGAGAAATTCTAAAAAAAAAATCACTTAACTTTTATAAAATAAGCAGAGAAATTTTTTTAAAACTCATAAAAAATTATTAATTTTTTTTAATTTTATAAAAACTTCTCAAAAAATTTATCCAAACTAAGCTTAAGAATTAATTTATTTCGGACTTTATATTCGTTTTGGGCTGAAGACTATCATTGTCAATGTCACACGGGTGGACTAGCTGATTGGAGCGAAGTTATCTAATGCAAATAAAGGGTAACCATTCCAAACATGAAAAATTGACATTTAAAAAAGCTAAACAAGCTCAAACACAGCATCGGAGAATTAATGGGTCAGCGTGGAATTTTTCTTGTGTTTTTTACGTTATGGCTAATATTCCTCCAAAAACGTTGTGACTGAACAACTAATTGATTGGAGTAGCAATGCGGGCGTAACATCTATAATAAGATGAAGGGTATCCAGAATAGACATGCTCAACTTGTGAGGAAGGGACCTCACCAAGAAAACAGAGCACTAGTTTGTGAAGATATTGTGAAAGAACATTTGAACACCCCGGTGATTGATTGGTTTATAGTGGAAAAAAAACATGGATGATAAGGATTCCAAGTTTATACAACCGATATTCTCTAAGGATATATCCTCCTCCTACATGCCCAAGTTGATGGGTCTGTTTCAGCAAATGATCAGTACTTGAAAGGCATATTGAAATGTAAAGCATGGATTCAAGATAGCAGACAACAGTCTCTTCCTTGTCTGCTTACATGAGAGTTTAAAGAACTATATTCTTAGTTCTCACTCATATATGACAAGGGAAGTGATATCTAATGCACTGTGTTTTAGCATAAACGATAGGATGTAATCATGCAATGTGGAAACTTTTGATTTCTAGTTAATAACTATTTACTTACTGCTAGTTATGTCTGTAGAATACTAGCACACACTTTTAATGTAATTTAAGAAAAATGTTAATTTTAGTTCCTAGGGACAAAGATAAACAATTAAAAGTAATAATTTTTTTATTAAAAAAAGTATTTATCACTTTGAGAATATAATAGTATAATAAATGTTTTTTAATTAACAGAAATACTATTTTTAAATGTTTAAATTTAGTGCTAACGAAATTGGTAATTTAACTAGTCTAGTTTGACTAAATAAATAAATTTTGGCTTTTATTTTCTCATAAGATGACCCACGGGCTACGTGGAAGTGGAACTATTCTGAGCACTTTTAGAGGGTGAGTGGCTTTGACTACTCCTTTCAAAGCATCTATGTTTTGGAATCCAAGCATGGATACCGATCCGTGGTTGGTTAGAAATCAATGCAGTGGCCATCAATGCCAACTTGAATGGGTAGTGGAGTGACCATAAAGCTTTTGAAACAGAAAGGGAGAGTCTTCAGAGATAAATTCGGCTCAGGATATGCGAGAATGATAAGGATTCTGAATGTATCAGCATCACCTCACCCCTTGCTATGGATCAAATAAAGTAGAAATGTTTCTTTTGGGATTTCCTCTGTGTGTTGTTATTTTGAATAATGTCAATTGTCATGTTCACTATTTCATTAAAGTGACTAATCTACTTTAAATTAATCTTTAACGAACATTGATGGCTCAAAGGATAAAAATTCAGTAACCAATTTAAGTTATATATGTGGTTACTATTATGTTTAAGCATGCATATCCATCCTTGTTGGAGAAATGAGAAAGTAGATACAAATATTCTATTCCAGACCACAGAGCTTTCCCCCCTTTGTTTTTTCCTGTCGCTTTCATTAAACCAAATATTACGGAGGCACTTTCGGTTGGTCCCCCTTGTAAGATATTAGATTTGAGACTACATTATGTAAATGTAAAACAGATGGAAAGCGCCCTATGTCCAATCTCTCTCAGGTTCACTTTGCTATGCCTATTGCCTAGCCTTTTTGTAAGTCTTGGATAATTTTCCTCCCTTAAACTAGCTTTTGAGAATAAATTAGGCTTCATCTATTTTTAATACTATCTCCAATATACATTTAACTTAAATGAAATTCAGTGATGTAGAAGATAAAAATGTAGTGTTGCAAACCACACAAATACAGAGAGGAAACAGCTGAAAAGATAAAAAGCACTTTAGCTTGTTTTCTCTCTGATCCATACACAGCTTGATGGCACTCTTAGCGTGAAATTTTCTACATGGACACAAGGTACCTGCGCCCGTGAACGTTTTGTTTTAAGTGTACAGCTACTGGTTCTGGACTTGTAACCTGGACCCACCTGTCCTTTGTACCGTACAAGCTCAGATCTCCACAACCATCCCAAATCAGAATGTAGCACAAAAAATGCATGTTTTTATTCATATTTTTATATCATTGTGCAGCATAAACGTTACCAGTGATAATTTATACGTTAAATTTATGCTACAAGTTTCAACGTATTTCCAAAGATTATAGCCTACAACCTTGGTTAAAATGCAACCTTGAATGCTAGTAAGTAATAACCGTAGTCAAGTAGGTGTTAGTTACAAATGGCAACTAAGCTGCCTACGTTTGTGTATTTTGATGTTCTAATTTGGAAATTTGAGTAATATCTTCATGAATAAATGAACACTAGTATGTGGCTATCGCAACTAGTAATTGGTTTTGCTTGCGTAGTTTAAGGCTATCCATGCCGAGACAAGGGTGAGGGTGGGGTGAGGGAACTGACAGCATTAACACCAATGCAATTCCCATGAGGACAACCTGCGTCTGATAGCAACAGTCACTTTAGTCCAAATGGCACCTATAGTAACGGAGTTAAGCACGTGATGTGACAAGGAATTCAAAAAAACGAGTGAAATTCACAGGAGGCAAAACTTTCTCGGTTAAGGGAAAGTCGGCGTGATGTTTGCTTTCATTTTAGATCTTAATTAAGCCTTAAACCAATTCGAAAAAAACCATGTAAAAGTTAAAGAAAACCACGTCCGTATCTAGGAATTTCAGAATCTGTCCCACAGTTTTGTTCGGAAAGCAACAGCTAGCATTAGAGCATCAAGTACACACAACCTATACAACTCACACACTTTCTTCCTCAGCACTTCCACTGCTATATAAAGGGTAGCAATGGGAGGTTCCTTATCACCATAGCTCAGTTGTAAAAAACTGATTTTTCATCACCATTTTTGCCCTTCTATCTGTTGTTACAATGGCATCAAGCTCGGGTTGGACAGCGAAGCAGAACAAGAGATTTGAGAATGCCTTGGCCATCTTCGACAAGGACACCCCAGACAAGTGGCACAACCTGGCCACAGCCGTTGGAGGGAAGACGGTGGACGAAGTGAAAAGGCATTATGAGAAGCTGGTTGAAGATGTGAAGCAGATAGAGGAAGGTCACGTGCCCCTCCCCAATTACAGAAATGTTGCAACAGTGGGAAGCACCGTCAGAGGTTACAATTACATAGATGAAGAGAAAAGGTAATTTATCTGTTATTTTGAATAAATTTATCTTTTTTTCACTCGTAATTTAATATATAACATTCTTTGTGATTGTTAATAAATTTTAGTTAATAATCATTAATCAAAGAGTGACTAAGAGAATGCGACGTTCCTCTATAATCAATCACTGTTAGGCCATGCTTAAAGTCCAATTTTTCTAATGAGGAGAAATCTGCATTAAGTCGACTCTTTCCTTGTTTACCATTTATCGGTTCACACCCTTTAATTTGCAAATTCCCGGCTTGAATCTAATTGTATTTATCACAATGCAGGATGAAGGCTCTGAGTCTCCAGTGAAGTGTGACTCACCAATAATATGCTGGATTGGTGCCATAAAATATTTTATTTGCTATTTCGTTTTTTCTTTCTATTTATGCGAAGCATCAGTACCTTGTGCTTCTTTCTCTCTAAATGTAAAGATGAAATTATCCAAAGACGTGCCAACTGGTTAATTGTGAAACATAACAATTGGATGTCACTTCGAAGGTAAAAAAAGGGTTTGTATGAGTTATTTGTTGAGTAAATAAATTTATTTCAAATGAATTATTTATATGACTTTTAATATAATATTTTAATTTCATTAACTCACTTACAAAAAAGAGTTGTTTACTTTGTGTGATAACGTAAATAAGTCCAAAAAACGAGAAAAGAGAAGAAAAATGAATAAAAGTACGTGAACACAATTTCATACAAAATCGGTATTCGAAATCAGAAAAACGTTATAAATCTGTTTGTATACCATTTTTTAAACTCAGTTTCACACTTTGCAAAGTAAGTTATGTGAGAATATTTTAATTTTTGAATTCTTTAGTAACGGAGTTGTCAGTTGTCCTTCCTATTCAAACTGGTCAGAAAGGAGTTTGGCAACTTTGGAATGCTGACAAGTTTCTGAATGGAGGGGTTGATACCAATTTTCAGTTCATAAACTCTTCGCGTTTTTTAAATTATAAATGAATTTTGCTAAAATATTAAATAATTTAACTTATTAACACATTTGAAATTAATTATGATATAATTAATCTTTTAATATGAGCTTATGTGAAATAGAAACATACTAAGAAGTTATTTTTCAATAATCCTAGTCAAAATGAGTTAAAATTATTAACTTTTAAATTGTAGTATGATTTTAAATTCAAATTTTGTGATAATAATAATAATAATAAATGTTAAAAGAACTTAACCACTCAAGTGACTTTTAAATAGCACGAGGTTCGTGTATAAAACGTACTTATTTTTCCTATCAGAATAGGATATTATGATTAAAAAAAAAAAGGTATACTGATTTGTATCTCTACATTCATTTATATGGTCAATATGTTACGCATTGAAGTTACACCGTGATAAAATTTTAATATTATTTAATTTAGTGTGTGATGTTATATAAAACTTTGTTGTATCATATTAAAAATATTTTGTGTGTAATACTAAATTATATTTAGTGATGTATCGTATAGAATATATATTAACGTTTTCTTTCAATATCATTTATGTTAAAAATTTTAATTCAAAAAAACACGGACGTCAGTAATTTTTAAAAGAATAATAATATTTTTATGTTTTTCTATGCCTATTATTTTTCTATCATATTATTTAGCATATCTCAATTTTCTTCGTTCCTTTTTATCTCTGTTTCCTGCATGTATTTCATACCCCATGAATTTTAACCTTCGTTAAATAACGATTCAGACTCTATCATAGCCAATGATGAAAACAATAATTAAAAAGAAGAATTGATCATCGCCCAAAGTTGATGACTCAATAAAAATAAATAAAAATTCTCAACCCCAATCCCCAAAAATATACCTTTAAAAAGGGGGGGACATGTTTTTCATGCTTTCTATTGTAATTTTACAGCTACTTGTACATCATTCGATTTGTTTCATTTCTAAGGACCTGTCATTTTGATTTATTTATTTATAGTCAACAGTGATAAATATTCAAGTTTCAAAATCAGCCCAACAATATCTCTAAGAAATTAATTCTACAATGCTTCAATAATAAATAAGTATTACAGACATAATGTATCTACTAAAAAACAAAACGAAAATTTAATAAAAATAAGCAGAAAAACCAAGCGAGAGGCCTTGGAAGGAAAATCCAAGAAAAAGAAGCCCAACAATGGTGGACTCGTTCTAACAATTGGGCTTTCCTGAAGGCCCAATTAAAACTGGGCGAACAACAAGGTAGAAGTTCACGTGCGGCACGCATAGCGAGATGGCGTGTGAGAAAAGAGAAAAGAGAAACGAAACGAAACGAAACGAAGGGAAGTGGATGATTTGAAGACCAAGACGAAGAAGACCAGGGAATCGAGGATGAAGAAAATCCGTACATCAAGTGTGGTTAAAGCAGAGTGAGTTTGGATTCATCACATTGCGCTGCATTGCATTGATTGAGCCATAAAATCTCCGAATTCCATCTTCCCCCACACTCTCAAAAATTCAATTATCTCTCGTCCATCTTTCATAACAACGCTGCAACTGCCACCGCCACCGCCACCATCACAACCACCCTTCTCACCCAACATATCGCATTAACTTTATCCAATCTTCAATTCAACCAACAGCACACTTATGGGCGAACACACGCGAGGTCAAGCACAATCCCTAATTGAACCGCAACCCAACCCTCACCCTCAACCGCCTTCCTCCGCCGCCGCCACCACCGTTCTTGACTCCTTGCCGGCGGACCCCGAACTCAGCAATGCTCCTCCTCCAACAAACTCCCCCGCCTCCAAAATCCCCCTCCGTCCCCGTAAGATCCGTAAGGTCTCGCCGGACCCGTCCACCTCCGAATCTCAAACCGAAACGCCGAAAGGCTTGTCCACCGGTGGGAAGAGTAATGCCCGCAACAACAAAATTGTTCAGCCACAACGAGCCTTGGTGGTTCCGAGAATGGTTGCTAGGTCACTGTCGTGTGAAGGCGAGGTGGAGATCGCACTGCGATACCTTCGCAACGCTGACCCACTCCTCTGCTCTCTAATCGGCATTCACCAACCTCCTACCTTCGACAATTTCCACACTCCATTCCTTGCCCTAACTCGTAGCATCTTGTACCAGCAACTGGCTTATAAAGCGGGTACCTCAATCTATACTCGCTTCATCTCTCTCTGCGGTGGGGAACCCGGTGTGGTTCCCGAAACCGTTCTTGCCCTAACTCCCCAACAGCTTCGCCAAATTGGGGTTTCGGGGAGAAAGGCGAGTTATCTTCACGATTTGGCGAGGAAGTACCAGAATGGAATACTATCTGATTCGGCCATTGTGAATATGGATGATAAATCGCTCTTCACTATGCTCACCATGGTCAATGGAATTGGTTCTTGGTCTGTTCACATGTTTATGATCTTCTCCCTCCATAGACCCGATGTTCTTCCTATTAACGATCTTGGTGTTCGCAAAGGGGTTCAGCTTCTTTACAATCTTGATGACTTGCCTCGTCCCTCTCAGATGGACCAGTTGTGTGAGAAGTGGAGGCCTTATCGCTCTGTTGCTTCTTGGTATTTGTGGAGATTTGTTGAAGCCAAGGGAACTCCTTCTAGTGCTGTGGCTGTTGCTACTGGTGCCAGCTTGCAGCAGCACCAGCAGGAGCAGCAACAGCAGCAGCAGCAGCAGCAGCACCCTCCGCAGCCACAGCTTCTGGATCCCATAAATAGCATGTTTAATCTTGGGTAAGATGCAGTACAGTCAATGAAATACTTGATTTTAGGTTTTATGTATTGGTTTGTTCCCCTTGTAGATGATATCTTCACTTAGATTAGATGCAAATATTGGTATAGTTGCATTTGGACTTTTCATTTAACTTGTGACTCTGCAATTCCCTTTTTACTTCAGTTTAAATGAAATGGATTGTTTCTGAAATTACATCAAAAGCTTTTTTTTCAAGCTTGCATATGTTGCTGCTAATGAGTAATGACTATTTATATTGGCGATTAAATATTTCAAGACTGCCTTAGAACTTTCCGGTGTTTGTCTTCCTTTTAGAAAATGTGGGAACATGGCTTGGAAAAATGATCTGATCCTGAAATGAGCTAATATAGTATTTGCAAGTATATTTTTTTAATTCTTGCTAGATGTATTTCTTTCATTTAGTGGAGGCAGACTTTCCCTTAGTTATCTTAATTACGCTTGTTGAGTGGTTATTCTCATCAAGATATGCACTCTCATCTTATGGAGGCATGTTAGATTCATTCTTTCTCAGATTAGGTAAGGCCTTCTTCATACCTGCTGGTCACATATCATGATTTTTATGTTTTGTTATTGTTCTATTTCTGGTAAGTTGTCAGGCAGCTGGACAGGGTAAGTCCTTAAGATTTTTTTTTTGGATTTTCTCTTTCTGCTAGTGAATTATTAAAATCAAAGGAATACCTTATACCTTCTTGTCCATCCTTTGGCAAGAGGAAGCACGGTAAAGAATCCCTAACTGCTCTTTCCTCTTTGCGGTTTTTGAAAAGTATTGTTTCAAAATTCGGAATGCCTTTGGCTGATGGCACTTCTTAAAAATATAAGGTGATGTGGAATACCAGATAGCAGAGATGTCATATGAAATATAGCTATCTCTGTCTAATAAGGAATAAATTGATGCCTTGGTGATCTATGATGACAAGATAAGTCTTGTGATTAAAATATGTACTTGTTCTGATTCTCTTGTTAACTAGTTTTGTATGCACAGTTCTATATCTTTTAATCTTGTGATTATAGAACAATGGCAAAGTTAGAAATGGTTTTTCTTGCCTTTTGAATCATGGAAAAAACCTTGGACATCTCTTGATCTGTATCTTACATATTTTTATTATAAGAAGAAAACACTTGCTAGCAGTCTTTGCATTACTACTGCATGGATTTAAAAATTGAGGAAGCAAAAAATTGTATAGAAAATTCAAGACAGGAAGGTTAGGCAGCAAACAATCATAACAAAAGACATACTAAACATTTAAATAAAGAACTAATGTGGCCAAGACTTGAATTGGTGGATACAACTAGCACTTGTGATGTTGAGATTGAAAAGTTATGGGAATCAAGCTATCTCCCTTTTGAAGATTTATTGTTGAGGAGTTCATTGTTGCCGGATTCATGTTGAAAGGAATTAGTTGCACTTATTGTCATCATCGTGCAAAATAACATGATGATGGATATGTACAGTGTAATGTAGTTCATGTTAGGAAGCTTCCCAGGATGAACAGGGTTATGAGGATTTTGATTTATCAATTAAAATTTTAAATTCTGATGTTTTTATATTTAGGCTTCAAGTTGAATATAAGGAAAGACAGGTTTTTATATTTTGTCTGAATTGAAATGCTTGTTTTCTGTTAATAGAGGAAGCGGTGAAATTTTGGTTGAGAGTAATTGATGCATAAGCGATGTACAAGCCCTCCTGTTTCATTTTATTCTCCATTCAAGAGTAGTGGTTTGAATTTAAAGCTATTTGTTAATTATCCAATATATACTGTAGAACATCGTAAGATTTTTTTAATTTTAAATAAAATAGATGCCTTGGATGATTAGTAAGTGTCAAGAGGAACCAAGGTCACATTTTAAAATCTCGTCTTTGTTTTGCTTTATTAGGTCGGTGTAGCCTTTTTAAGTAGTTGATATGTTAGGTGCAGTTGCAGTGTATGGGTCATTCTTTTCATTAATTAATTGATTTGATTATTGGACCTTCATTGTGGGTATATTTTCGGATTTTTCATCAGTTATCGCCATATTTTGGAAATTTTCTTTTCTTCCCGTTAAAAAAGTATTTAGTTTGATAGTATGGTAATTGGTTAAATCTTGTGTCTATTTAGTTGACAGATACTGTTTCTCTAATGTGGTCCTTATTCTGAAGTTAGACCTTAAAACCTATATTAGAGATTCATTTGTTAGCAAAGGCCTTCTTCAGATACTGTTTCTCTAGTTCTTTCTTCCGTTGTTTGTTTTGATTTCTCACCCATGTAGCCTTGTATGTTTTTTAATAATTTATTGGTGAATACTTATCCATGCTATGCTTTGTCCGGTTTGTTTTGGATTATGTTTTATGGTGTGTTCGTGGTTGTAATGCATTTGTTTGTGCTTTGTTGGTGCCAAATGTTTAGTATTTCCTTATATATATATATACTTGTGTACTTTATAACTATGTGCAAAGTTCAGTTACTGGGAAGGAGAGGTATGTGAATTTCAAGGTATAAAATACGTGTCTTTCACTATACTTCCTTTCTGTTCTCCATCTGCTTGGAGGTTTGTAATTTAATTATACTGTCTAATCTAATAATGTAATTATCATTCAAGTCTCTCATATTTCCGTCGTATGCTATAGGGCCGCCTGTGCTTGGGGACAATGATCGCTCGTGAAATGTTGAAATTTGTAGGCAGCCGCTCACACGTGAAGTTGCAAAGGCACGCCGTGCTGTGTATTTAATGATAGATCTTAGTACTGAAGCTTGAACATTGGGATCATTGAAGGATTAGTGTATGATTGGCTTGTGTTTAATAAAACCAGTGCAAGATTAATAAAGGCCACTCCTTAATTTTGTTTTGTTAATCAGTAATTGTAGCTGTCGGAGGCCAATGTCAAGTTGTCAAGTCGTCTTTTAGTGAGACAAGACTGATTAGAGGCAGTGCTGCCTTTGCCGCATGGTAATGTGGTTTGGAATATGGACCTTGTAACTAATGTACCAGGCCTTATCTTGTGTCCTACTAGTGGATGGGCCCTTTGCCTTGACTAAAATTAGTATAATATACATACATACATACAAAAAAAAAACCGTTGGGTAATTCGTATGCTTAATAGATTTGTCATCTGTTTCTGATCCCTAATAGATTCGAGCGATGCCGTTTGCCTCCAATGTTTTTATTACGTGGTAATCACATACACTTGATATAATTTCATGTTTTTAAAAATTTGATAACAATAGCAATTATTACTACAGTGGTTTTAGAATGAAGTTTGATATTTTGTAAAAGGCAATTCTCTCTTGATTGGACAAGTACTTAATCAAGATAAAGCCAGAATAAGTTATACGCTACACGACGGCTAGGTAGGCAATCCGACTATAATATGAAAAAATTCTTGGCGGGACGGCGATGTTATTATAACGCATACACAAACTGGAACAACTACAAAGCGACGTTTTTTTTTTTCACAACTGAAGGATATTCTAACTGAATATCCCTTTATTCCATCTTCTTGTTTTCGTAATCTTCACTTTGGAATACCATCGACCGATCATGCGTATCAGCATATCTGTTTATTTTAAATAATACATTTTTTTAATCTGTTGCTAAAGCATACAATAAAATATTATGCATAATTTTTATTTAGTAAACGTAAGTGAAAGTAACTATTTGATTTGAAATATAATTATTTGTTAAAATTAATTGCATAACTATTTCAAACGTCTTAAATGAAACTTGAAAGATATTTACGTGAATATAAATTATTTAAAAATTCAAAAAACTAAATATTAGTTGAAGTAATTTTTCATAAGCTAACTTTCAATAAGGTCCCTTTATTTTTTATTTATCAAAAAAGTATATTAGCTTAGTAAAGAAAAAGTCACAAACTACTTTAAAAAGTATAAACTTCAACACTCATAATTTTTATAAATTTTTATTATATATTCTTATACCCACAATTACAAAAATGAACAATATAACTATAAATATAGAAGTGATAAAGCTACTAGTTTTTGCAAGCAACGAGAAACAGCTGAAAATGCAACAGAAGTACGAGAATTACGACCCCTCATTTCCCGACCAACCTGTGGTTGACGAATACTTGGCAATATGGAGTAGGTTACCAGCCTTTGGATCCAAGCCAGCCTTCATTTGGGCTGAAGACTCTCACACCTTCACTATCCTCACTTACCAACAACTCAACACCTCCGTTGACCTCATCTCCTCTAACCTTCTCCATCAACTCCAAGGAGGTGACTCCATCCTCCTTCTATGCTCCCCAGGACTCGACCTTGTTGAACTCATCTTCGCCTGTCAAAGGGTTGGCCTTTTGAGCGTACCCATCATCCCTCCCCACCCTTCTTTCGCCAACGAAAACTATCACCACCTTATAAGGGCCATTTCACAAACCAAGCCCAAAGCTGCCATAGCCCATTCCCACTACATATCAAGCATTCAACTCTACCTTTCCTCCTCCAATAAAAACAAAAAACTCGCCCACATGTTACAAAATCTCCACTGGATTTCCATAGACCACATCAAACATAGGAAAAACAACGTTACTATAAATAACCCTGAGTCCCTAACATACCGTGGTTGCAAAGCTGACGACGTTTATTTGGTTCAGTACACGTCTGGAGCCACTGGGATCCCAAAACCTGTGCTTGTCACAGCAGGTTCGGCTGCTCATAATGTTAGGACAGCGAGAAAAGCTTATGATCTTCATCCAAATTCCATTATCGTTTCGTGGCTTCCTCAGTACCATGATTGTGGCCTCGTCTTTCTGTTACTCACCATCGTATGCGGCGCCACGTGTGTTCTCACATCCCCAGCCTCGTTCATCAAACGCCCCAGGCTCTGGCTTGAACTCATGTCGGAATTCAAGGCCACCTGCACTCCCGTTCCCTCATTCACTTTGCCACTTGTGGTAAAACGCGGAGGGGTTGACAAAGGAACAACACCCATTAACCTATCAACTTTGAAGAACCTTATACTCATCAACGAACCCATCTACAGAGACTCGGTGGAAGAGTTTGTTCATATTTTTTCTCCATTTGGGTTAAACCCTTCCTCTATCTCTCCTTCTTACGGGTTAGCCGAGAATTGTACCTTTGTGTCCACTGCGTGGAGGAGAGGTAACACTGATAGTGATGCCTATTCCAGCTTCCACGATTTTCCAACTCACAACAAGCTTTTACCAGTTGCAAGGCTCAGAAACGAGGAACAAGAAGACGTGGAAATCATTGTTGTTCATGAAGAAACACACGAACCAGTCGAGGATGGTATTGAAGGAGAAATTTGGGTTTCTTCCCCAAGCAATGGCTCTGGCTACTTGGGCCACCCTAGTTTAACAAGAGAGGTATTTCATGCAAGACTGAGAAACACGGTTAGTAAGTGCTTTCTTCGAACTGGGGATAGAGGCATCGTGAAAGGAGAACGTAGGTTTCTCTTTGTCACTGGTCGTTGTCAAGATGTTATCAAACTCCAAAATGGTCAAAACATTCATCCCCATTACATAGAAACTGCAGCTTATAACAGTTGCACCAAGTTACTGAGAGGAGGGTGTCTTGCAGCTTTCGAAGTTTCGAAAACTGTTGCGGTTGTGGCAGAGATACAGAGAATTGAGAAAGCCATTGACACGGGGATGTTAAAGAGGGTTTGTGAGGGAATTAAAGAAAGTGTTTGGACGAAAGAGAAGGTTGAAGTTGGATGGTTGGTTTTGGTTAAGAGTGAATGCGTTCCCAAAACCACTTCCGGAAAATTGCAAAGGTGGAAGGCTAAGGAGAAGCTTCTTGGTGGTGAAATGATAGTTCTGATGGAGATGAGGTTTGGAGAAGATGTTAATGTTACTGAGAGGGCAGAAGAGGTAAGAGAAGTCGCTGGAAAAGAGAAGGGTAACATTACTCGTAGCTCGTTGATCTCACTTCTGTGAGATAGAGCACGAACGAGTGTAACATCTGAAAAAGATTTCTGAAAAAACAAATAAATAGATTTTTAAAAAAGTATACTATCTATGTGTGTTAATGTGAATGTAGTTGTGGATAATCAGATATTAAATTTCCTTATATTATAAATTTAAGGCACGTGAAAATATAACATAAATACACATTGTTGCCAAATAAAATAACATGCGCTTACTTGCATGATAACTTCAAAAATAAATATATCCTTCGAGATTAATTGTCAATATCATGATCCCAAATTGAAAGTTATTTTCTTTTTTGTACGTTTAAGCTAATTAGTATATTAAGGAGGTTTGTACAAAAAATAATTGTAGATGTGTGATCAGGACAGTGACTTAAACATTTTTCTCGTCTAAGGTTTTATTTTCATTTATTGACCCGTATATGTAACCATATAACGTGTGCAATACTTGAAAAATAAATCTTAATTACATGTATGCTTGAATTGATAGATTGTACATGTATTACAAAGTACAACTTTTTTTTCCCACAATTGTTATTAAACAAAAATTATCTATACACTTATTAACTACGAATAATAATTTTATACATCTGCAATTAAAACATTTATTGAAACTCCAAGATCTACACTTACTATTCTAACAACATAATAAAAAAAATTTTAAAATTCTAATTTATCATGTGCTTGCAAAATAAAAGTAATAATATAAGTATGAACATTATTAATTTTTTAATCTCTCAGTTTGTTATGGCTTATTAAAAAATGCTCTAGTCCTCCACCAACATTTATCAATTTCAATTTGTTATTTTTATTATAAAAATATTAATCATATATTATAAATACAACTTTTGCGTTTTAACTGAAGAAAATAAAACAAGTAATATGTAATAAAGATGAATGACTTAATTTGTTTAAAAGTTACTCGAATATTATAATTTTGATATTTAATTATACTATTACATTAAAAGAAGGCGTGGAAGAAAGTATCATTGATTTGATGTGGCATAAGACGAGAAGAAGAAGGAGTGAGTTTTGTTGAAGGGTGGAGAAATGACAGGTGTAGCATAGAACGTGAATGTCACCCTGCAAATGTAGTTTCAACTGAGAATGTTAATATAATTGAATATCTTATTCTGCTGCTTCGGAGTCATCCTCTTGAGGTGCCACTGTGGGTGCTTTTACTGTATCGTCTACGTCGTCATCTTCATCATCTGGTCCCCCTGTAGGTGCCTCACTTGGTGCCCCTTCAGGATCCTCTGGAGTTCCACTCGCTGGTATCGGTGCCCATTCACCTCCTTCCTCTCCTGTAGGTGCCTGCACGGGTGCATTTGTTGGTGCCGATGTGGGTGTTTTTGTTGGTGCCGATGTAGGTGTTTCTGTTGGTGCATAGGTCGATGGTGCTCCAAATGGTGCATTATTTGATGCTGGTGCTTCCAACGGTGCATTAGTTGCCGGTGCTCCCAATGGCGCATGGTTTGGTGCATTGTTTGCCGGTGCTCCTAATGGTGCATTGTTTGCCGGTGCTCTTAATGGTGCATTATTTGCCGGTGCTCCATTTGGTGCATTGTTTGTTGGTGCCTTCTGGGGTGAATTTTGTGGTGCCCCTACAGGGGAGGAGTAATCGGCTGGTGCTCCTACAGGTGAATCATCATACACGCCCTCTACGGGTAAATCATCATACACGCCCTCTACGGGTAAATCATCGGGTGCCCCAACGGGTGAATCTGGCGTTGACCCTGCCGGTGAAATTCCCGTGTCGGTGCTGGTATTGCTGATCACCCCACCAATTCACCACTCAAAATCAGTGTAAAGTTAAGCTAAGTTCCACGCTATTTTAGAATAATGTTAAATTTTCTAAGCACTATCTCCTTGTTAATTGTTGTTCTCATTTTTTAAAACTGATTTTAAGTATACAAAAATATAATATTTATATTTAAAAATTATATTTATTATACATGTATACTTTTTATATAATTTTTTTAAAATAAAATTTTATCATTTTCAACATTTAAATTCAATTTAAAAGATTGTTATTAACATACATTTTTTTCTTTTTAAAAAATATTCATATTTATCCATTCATTTAAAAATACAAGACTATTATTTATCATTTTTTAATTATACTTTATTTTATCTAATTCTTAAATATTTTATACACTTATTATAATTAATAAATAAATGAAAAATTATTATTATAATATTAATAATACACTTTACTAAAAATCAAGTAAAATTACTGAATTGAGTAAAGTAATAATATTATTTTAATAAAAAATTATTATTTAGTATATTTTTATTATGTATCTTTAGAGAAAATTATTTATAAAAAAATAAATAAAAAATAAATACATTTAATTTAACGTATCACGTGTCACGGATTCGGCCTACATGTCTTTGATCATCTTCCGACTGGGCGACAATGTGCTCTTCCAAGATTGTTACGAAAGGATAAAACTAATTGATTTTTTTAATTAAATAAAATATTACCTTCATATCTTTTTATCTGTCTACTTAAGAAGATAATATACATATTATATAAAATGTAATTATTATTCTCACCCGTGTTAAAATTATTTTTATCTGCTTAATAAGCGTATAATTATTTAATAATAATTAAAAATTTATTATACATCCTTCAATTAATGTTAAAAAAAATGGTGGTATAAAATATTATGATAATTATGAAGAGGAGGAGGAAATAACGTTAGAGAAGATTTAGATGATGAGAATTTACAAGTCTGAAGGTATTGATCTTACTTGTCTGTATCCAAAATGTCAGCCAAAGATGCACCTTCACCGCCATCGCCATCGCCATCGCCATCGTCATCAGAGCCACCAAACAAATCATTTGCAGAATCTTCGGAGGAACCACCAAAAGCCTTCCTGGCCGCGTCAAAACTATCTGGAGAGAAACTTCCCTGCCCAATCAGATCCTTCCATGGATTTTCCTCTTCCTGACCCAAAACTGAATGCAATGGCAGAGCCAACACCAATGAAAATACCAATACAAATAATGATGACGTCTTTGCCATTTTTCCTTATTCCCTTTCCCTGGAATCAAGGATTCAAATAAACGCCTTGACAATTTCTCAACCAAGGGTGGCAATCAAATGCAAATTTGTTTCATTACAATTTCCTTTTTTATATATACTGCAGCAACCTGTTTTAACGTTACGGGGTTACCCAATTGCCCTCGATCTTCCAGCTCCTACCACATAAAATAGGGTTCATATGGGTGTTAAGTACCCGAATCTCGCGTACCATTTTGTTATCTTTGGAAAATTAAATTTAACGGTTGGATTTTAGTTTCTCAACAGATCATCATCGCCTACCTGCTATTGCAAAATTCCTTTTGCAAAGCCCTCATTTGCGGCTTAACTAGTTATATATAGCCACTAGTTGGAGGTGTGTCATGCCCTCCATTTTATTTTTAGTGCAAAGTTTAAATAAAGCTACTCAAAAATTTCTAATATTTGGCAAAGTTACATTACATGATATTTCTTACAAATTACAATTGGGTGAATATAACAGGAGCAGAAATTGACAGCACACTGACATAAATTGCATACAATATGAGGTCATGTGTTGTGTACTATTGCACATGAATTCGTCCAAACTAGAGCAACTCCACACTGTCATTAGTCTTTGCTTTTGCTTCACTGGATATTTAGATTCCTCATTCGCCTGCTTAAGAAAATGGGATCATACGTGATAAGAGTGAGACAAATTCAGAAACCTGATGCGTGTAACATAAGTGGGCAAATGCATGTGCCAGAAGACTTAACTACATCCCAATCATTACAGGTGATTTGAAGAAGGGGTGAGAACAAATGGAGCTAATATATCCCCGGGGGAAAATGATAAACGTGGGTGCATGATCCAATGATTATCACCAATTGATCATGTACTTGATATTAATTAATAATATAAGCATTACGGTGGTCATTATCCTAACTAATTGATCATGTGCATCTGATCTGAAACTTGATGGATTGAATTTCACGTGGACTCTGTTTATAAATTCAAATAAAAAAAAATACATTCTTGGTTTCTTTGGTTTGCAATTTGAGCTAACAAGTAACCAGAAATAGCACTGTGATCATCGTTCGTAAAAGCTCTAAAACATGTAACGTGAAAATTATTAAAAACGGATTATCCCAGTAATGAAATTGGCAATGCAGATGTGGAGGACTATCCCAATATTAGAAGGTATATCTCTTTCAAAACACCCCTGAATGAGCTTTTGCATTTACAATAGAAAGGATTTCCTCTTCTAATGCATGTGGGGGAGTTATAGTCTAATAGATGATAACACGCACAATAGCTGGGACTTGGAATTGGAAGTTAATAGATTTTTTTCTATCTTTTGTTTGGATCAGGGTACATGACATACATTTAATAGGGGTTTATTGCTGTGTAGTACTAGTCATACATCCCTGAAACATAAAACCTCGTACAATGTAGTACTGCATGAATTTTTAAGGTGATGAAAGCGGTTAATCTTATTCAAAACCTCGGTGACATAGAAACAAAGGAAGCATTGAAATGATGCGATAGCAGTATTACCTTTGCTCATTTTCAATCTGTCTTGCGTTGATGGCAGCACCTCTATACCTGGGTAGTGGTATTTGATCACGCTCTATTCGAATGACATCCTCCTTGAGAATCTCGTAGTGCACTTTAACCTCTTCTACGGATTTTCCACCAACAGCGTTGGCCACATGTTGCCACCGATTTGGGTCGTCAGGGCCATGAACCGCAAGAGCATCCTCAAAACGCCTATTCTCTTCTCGTGTCCAACCCATGCTAGTGAGTGAGTGAGAGTAGTGACTTGTTAAAGTGGCTCAATCTTAAGGGCAAAGATTAAGGCTGTGGGTCCTTAAATAAGGGAGAGTCAAGTGGGGGGGTTGTGCAAGTTGGCAAATACTTTTTACGGATTCAACGAGATATGATTCGCTCACTTCATACCATTTCCCAATCTTGGGTATGTGTGGCGGGGTCAAGTGCCCTATGAGTCTATGACCTTTAGACCTGCTCCATTTCTTATTGTCAACATTCAGATATCAGAGTAGAATTTCTTCAGATTTTTACAGTCTTATGGCGGTGGGGATTAGATACCAATTCCCACTGCCATAGATATTGATATATTCGCTAACAAAATACAAGAAAGCAAGGCTAAGATATTCTACCTGTTTCTAGTGAAATAGATAGCCAGAATAATTATCTCGTCACTTATTTTGCAACTTGTAAGTAATATACTTTCTCCATTTCTCCATCACCATTAAATTAAATATAATTTACATATGAAATCGAGAATAATGTCCTGTCTGCGCCCTGCTCCTGTGTCAATTGCATTGCTTAGCGGAATTTGCTGATACAAAATAAAAATTAGTACTTGTAGAACAATATAAAAAATGGAGTTGAAGTTTTCTTCATGAATTTCTGCATTTTACTTGGATTACTTTATTTCCTACTTACGGATTGTTGGGAGATCCGAACTGCAAGACTTTGCGTGCCTAAGAGGGGAAGCCTGCTCTGGTTGAACAGGGAACAGGGTTTGCACTTGGGCCTGCCAACGCCATAACTCACATTTATATATTATTGTTTTCCAGTTCCAGAACATGTGCACACGAGATTTTTTTTTTCTAAAATAAATTAAATAAAGTATATATTATCTTCAAAATATAAAAAATAATAATTTATTTATTAATTAGAAAATTTTATGGGCACCCAAGATTAAAAAAATTGAATATTAAAAATGCTTGGTTATATGTTTTGAAAAGAGATGAAAGATAGCGGTTGCAAGAACAGTGAGATGGTGGGAAATCGAAGATGACTGGCTCATGAGACATGATATTCAGAATTCATATTTTGTAACAAATTTATCATTAATAAACTGAGATATATATGTGCGTTAGTTATTAATATTTATAGTATTATTAGGATATTAGTTAAAGAATAAAAATAAGTTTTTATTAAAAAAATATTATGATGTATTAGAAATTAGATGTTGAGCATACTATTATACTTTTGACAAAATTTTTATTTTTGATGTGTTAAGATTTTCTTTGAAAAATTAAATGGCAAAATATCTTAAAAACTTGTTATTATTTCCTTGTTTTGAAAATATAAAATGAAAATTTGTTTTAAATTTTTCAAATAAAATAACATTTATCGAACACTTTTTTTGTTTTTTTAAACTGTTTTTAAAAATAAAAATTTAATAAGCCTTTCTTTTTCTTGCACTTCAAAATTCTTTTATTTAAAGGTAGTGCCCTATGATGTTTTCTTTTACTTTCTATTTTAAAAAGAAACATGTTGAAATGTAAGAATTTTTCTTTATATAACATACACATACAATATAATCAAGCTTAAATATTTCCTCGGTAGATAAAAAAAAAAATGTTTTTTTAAATAATTTTTATTCAAATTTATTCCTTTTAGTCATTAAACAATATTAACAGTCGTGTATTCTATGGTAAGGGATTAAGTTTATATCTTTATAGCAAATGTATTCTTTAACTGATAAATGCTTAAGTGGCTCAAGTGTTGTGTTAGATGATTTAAGAGTTAGTATCGCACATGTAGCAGGGAATGGAAGATTAATTTAGGTTAGTAGCGCATATATAGAATCTGTTGGATGCCCATTGTCCAATGTCTCCCAATTGGAGGTGATGAGACAGCCACTATATATAATCACTCAGCGACTCTCTCCTGCAGTTTGGGGATACTGCCTCAATTGCTCATAAAACTCTTTAACAGAAAGGAATTGCTTTCCGTCACCAAATGGACCCCTCTAGATTATGATGATGATTATCACATATTTGTGCCAAAAAATGTGCTTCACTTCGTAGCATCACGAATCTATATCTTTTAGACAATTCTAGTTTAAGAATATTTATCTTTCAATTTCAAAACAGAATGCCCAAAAAGCTTCTCCAACCAACCGGGTGCACACAAATTTGGCCACCAGCAAACTATGCGAGTTTTATTCTTTTTACTCTTAAATTAATGTTTTTTTTCATAATTTTTAATAAATTTTAGACAATAATAAAAATGTGTTCGATAGAATGTGCGGAAAAATGTACTAGTAATATTCCTCCTCAATATTTATTATTATTACTTTTCCAAGGCTCAAACTCGTCCACTCACAAAATTCATCGTGGGCCTTCAGGCCTTTAGTTGTGCAGATTGTCTTTGGGTTGGTCAAAGAACATATATCACTAACAAATTTTATTCGGGCCTACAGTCCCAACGTGAATAATTTAGAAAAAGGAAAGTTTTATCGTGTGAGTGGAGATTATCAGATATATTATTACTTCTTGCAGAAAAGGTTTTTAAGTCTATTCTCTATAAAGATATTAATATTAAGAATTAATATATCTTATGCGAGTATAATTTGATCTTTCTTTATACATAAAATCATATTCATTCAATTTATTATAAAATGTAAAGGTGCATTCTGTTTTGTTACATTAATTTCGTATAAACAAATTCTTATTATCCATGCTTGAATTATTCTGCTAATAGTATTCTCCTTTGATGTAGTCATTTAGTCGCTTCAATTCTCCACTCTGCTGTTCCATGATTGCTCGCACCACATCTACAATGGAAATCATTCCAACTATTTTTCCATCTATAACCGGAACATGCCGGATATGATTTTCTGCAAGAAAAAAGATGATATCTGAATGACCCTTTAAGCTTTGTGTCAAACGGTTAAAAGCAGAATCACTTACCTGTCATGAGTCTCATTGCTTGAAGAATGTTGGTGTCAGAGGTCACAGTTATCAAGTTTTTCTGTTCACAGATAACCCATCATTCATATTGAAAATGCACTATTGGGCTGTTAAATATAGTGGAAATGAGAGAGCATAAAAGAACCTCATCAGTCATTATTTGACCAACTTGTGTGTGTGAGGGAGATCTTCCTTGTGCAACTATTTTTCTCAAGCAATCTACCAGCTCATGCATGCACCCAACAGAGAGATTGAATTAGTTCATTCGGTCCAAAAATCTATACATTTTGATTTGCAATGATAGTGAAGTAACTTTATATTTTACCTCTTTCTGTGACAATGCCTGCTATATGCTGGTTCTCTGGCTTTAGTACCACCAATGATCCTATATTATTTTCAGCCATCTGAAAACCTTATATATGATGTTAAGAAATGTAATGAGAGTTAATTTAAGTGAAAGCTTTTGAATAAATTGAATTGTCTTACGTTCTTCATTGCATTAATAACAGCATCATCAACTTGGCAGCAAAGCCATGAACCTATTTTTTCTTCCCCTTTTGTCATTAGTACCTCTGACACCGTGACATTCTCTAACCCTTTCTGCTGCATGTGTGGAGAAGATGTGGCACAACCAAAACCTGATGATATCTTGTTTTGGTTAAATATTCCATTCCCGTGGAATTGCTGAAATATTGCAGCCCTCGAAGGGTTTTGGCCACGTCGCAGAATCCGGTAAACTCCTAGCATTTGTTATTCTAGTTCTGTTCAATCAAAAACCGGATATTTTCTCAGCCCTATTAAAACCATTGGGATGGCTATTGGCTAATGATTTATTAAATTTTAATCTACAAAAGACATAAGTAAAAAAGTATTTTCATTTCATGTAAATTTTAGATGCTTTACCTTGCTGAGATATCTGAGGAGAGAAATTAAATAATAAAAAAAATTCAGAGTATTTTTTTTTTATTTTCAAATGTAGGATTCTACCTTTGATATACCCTGATGCAGCAGGTAGGAATACTTATAGTTGATTGCTAGTTGGTTCTGCTTTACCAGCGGTAAGGGTATATGGAACAAATCCCATCTTTGGCACTTCATGTTACAACAGAAATAGCTTGGTGTCATCTTTACTGTAAGACTAATTGTTGGAATTCTTTTCTTGAGGAAAAATATGAAGAAAGGAACTTCATGGTTGCTTTCACATGGAATTGCTTAACCTTTTCGACGTTGTTCTGGCATTCATTTGCTGAACATCAAACACTTCCGAACGATTATTTTAAGATTATTTCCATATAACTATTTCCCAACACGTGTATGAATGACTAAAACCGTGAACTCCGTAAGCTTCCAAGAGGCGAAGTATATGCTAGGAATTTCTTTCGTGAGAGGTGAAAGAAACTACTTTCCTTAGCCACAAGATAAGAATGGTTGGCAAATGTTTAATTAAAACATAAATCTTTAAGTCTAAGGAAAGCACAAATGTAGAACTTTTCAATGAAATCAGTGTGAAATGCTCAGCAATAAAAACAAGTGAGTCAAACCAAAACTCTAATGAAAGTCCTACAAAGCATCCAAGGTATAAATTCCTAGTTGTGTCGTTGTGTGTATATATAGTCATAGACCACACCGATGCAATCTGCGATAATTATGTTCAGCTAGAATACCCTGCATATCCTATAAAAAAACTCATTCTTTTGTAACACCAGATAACATATTAACCAATAACCATATTCATCATCCATGCCACGGAAAAAGCAGCAATGCGGTTTCAGGATCCCTTGGAGATCAGGTCCATCCACCAATGTACGCTTTCACCGACCACCATTTCGGCCTCCTGGAATAGCCTCTGCCCCATCACAACCTCCTCCAAGAACACAATCCCAACAACTGTCAAATTCTCTTCCATCACAATCACCACCATCTTCGGTGATCATTGACACCCCAGAGCCAAATATGAAAGAATTGGAGTTGGATAATGCTGCTACTGAGAATTCCAATTCCAATGCCCCTTTGGAAACACAAAGCAAGTCCAATAAATCCAAGTGTAAAGCCAACGACACAAAGCATAGAGAATCAGTTCCAAGGCAAAAGGCTGAACTTCACACAACAGCACCTACCTCACGAGCAGATAAGAAGCAGAAAGAGACACGAGAAACGGTGGAGGGAAAGATGATGTTTGCCACGTCAAATCCTGGCGGGAACGACATTAAAGTTGTGAACCCAGCTTCAACATCATCGGATCCAAATCCAGCAACCATGAATGTATCAACCATACCATTATCCAACGAGGAAAATCCCATTATGCAAAACAACAAAAAGGATGAAATTTTAACAGTGGCCATGGATGAGAAAGGAGTTAGCGTTGTAACTCTAGCAGGTGACAACAGAGGAGTAACAATGCACGTGGCAGGGTCAAGTAGGAGCAATCCGAAAACAGAGAAAGAGAAAGATGAAGCAGCGAAGGCATACGTGAACAGTAACATACAGAGTATAAACAATTCGATCATGTCTCACGGCACAATCCAGGGAAGAGACCCTGGCGTTCGTGTGGTTCTTCCACAACATCCTGAGCCTGATAATGAAGCGCGTTTGGAACCCCACAAGGGCGAAGTAAGCATTAACAGGGCAGAGAGGTTGCCTTACCAACCCGTGGTTCGAAGACGATGCCTGAGGGGTCTTTTCCTTGAACCCAGCGAGTCAGAGGGTGATAACCCTGACAAGCCTCGTCGTCATGGTTGCAAGTTCAGATGCGGAGAGAATAGTGCTAAGGATAAGGGATAGTCTGTAACAAAATAAACACTCTGACATGATATCGGTTTTTTTGTTTTGGTGTTTCATGTTAACAACATTCATCATCTGTGTTTTTTTTAATTTAAAATTATTAATTCACAGTGGAGACCATGGTAGATTAGTGAAAATTTGAAGGGAAGAACCATGCGGTGGTTTACTAAACAAGATCATAAGCTTGTTGCGTTGCCCCCTAAATTGACACGTTTCCTTTCTTACAGATTAAAAAAAAAAAAACAGAAAAGAAATGCATTTCAGGAAACCAACATCAGAGTTAAGATCACAAAGACAAGACCCTAACATTAGCCTTTAGGTTTCCAACGTTAGAACCCAAAAATAAATAAACCAAATAAGACGTGTGGACGTAGGTAATAAGAAAAGTTAAATTATTAAAAAAAAACTAATAATAATTAGATATATGTTTAAGTAATAAATTTATTTAATAATAGATTATATAATAATATTTTTTTTTTTTATAATTTATGACTTATTTTTTTATTAGTATAAATTTTTAGATACAATATTCATAAAAAATATTTGGAGTACCACGTCATACCCCATAAGAAAAATGGCCCAATCTCCCTCACAGCGGGTGCGCCAACATTCATGACAACAAATTGACGAGAGAAATTTATAGAAAAAGAATAATAGTTTATGATATGTAATGCAATACGATAGAAAGAAAAAATAGGGATAAATGACAGAGATTAAATAAATTTTAAAATTATTAAAGTTTTTATAATCAAATGTTATAAGATGGAAATCCGTCATGAAAACGGTCAAATCAAATGTTTTTTTAATTGGAAATTTTTACGTTTCAAAATAAGGTAATAAATGTAAATATCAAATTTTAAGACTGGTTTTAAACATAAAAAGTTAATAAACATTTTTAAAATAATATTAATTGCTATTTTTACTAGTATTTTTTATTCATATTAAATATTTATATTATTTAAATAGTTTAAGAGTAAAAAAATCACTAATAAAAGATAATAAAAATGAACAATTAATTTTAATAAAATAATTGAATTTTTATCTATATAATTTATCCTCTCTAAGTAAATAAATAAGAACAGAAATAATAAAAAAGTGTGATAAATAATTTTTAATACAAAACAATACAATTGATATATAATTAAAACCCACGCACATTAATAAAACTATGACCTTAAACATGCAATTAATCTGGGTATAAATATTTTAAATATATCATATAATTTACTTATGTTTTCTTAGCCAGTCTTAAAAATGATTAGCAAGACCCTGGGAAGAACTAAATGTATGTGTAAAAGGGCAGAGAAAATCTTAGAAGAACTAACACAAACTTCTAACAGTTATAAGTATTAAAAAATGGAAGGTACGAGGATGTAGCCGCCTTATTTCCTGAAGTCTGTGGGCAAACCTTAACCCAAAACCTCTAAAATATTCTACGAGCGGGGTCTCTGTCCTCATCAGCATTATCACTTAACACCCCAAGCTTTTGAATGTGACACATTGACCTTACCCATTCTGGACATTAAAAAATTCCCAAGAGATAAGAACAAAATAGATCAACTAATTGGAGCTTTGTCACTTATACTCCGCCACTCCGTTATATATATCTTATACAAATTTGTTGAAATTAAGAAATTGTTCATCCATTTAGTAAGACATTTAAGTGTGACTTTCTTATTAAGTTTACTACCACAAAGAAAGAAATTCAGCTGCAATGGGTTCTCTTATGGCAGGATGGGACTCTATCGCCCTGGATCCTGAATCAGGTACGAATAATTAGTACATGTCATGTTTTGCTTCACCTTTTTGTCGCGTTAAGATGAAAAAATTTTGTTTGGACGAGAGCCAAGTGGTTCTTCTGACCAATTATGTATATGAATTTTAGTTTATGAAAAGAAATTGATACCTGAGTGGTTAGGAGCGTATGATTCTGGATCACCGTATAATTACTAGAGATAGATCTGATGTGGGAAAAGCTTAATTTTTTTAACTGTTTCAGCGACACTTGAAAGGAATCGCTCGCTCACCAAAGAAGAAATTGATGCTTACTGGAGAACACGGAAGAATATAGAGGAAGAACACCTCAGAGCCATTTCCAATTTATCAGATACCATTCAGGTTTGACTTTGAAATTGACATATCTAGAAACCTTAGCTCTGTTTTTGTGTGGATTTAGTACTATATATATATATATATATATATATATATATATATATAGTAATATGTTTCGATATTTATGATGGATAATGGACAGGCCAAAAAGTATGAAGAATCAGACAGGTTTCATAAGTCAAGTCCCATGCCCTTGGCCCGCATAAAGGAGTCCCTAGGCATGGATGTTGACACAAAAAGTTTGGAGCAGCTTATCAAGAAAAATGGGTGGTAAATTAAATTACAGATTAATATTATAAATGCATAATTGGGTCAATTATCCTATATATAGATCCTTTTAATTTGGATGATATAAAATTGATACTAATTTGGGAAATGGTTGCAGGTGGACTAAGAGCAGCTGGGCATTTCTGAATGAACCTCCAGTGATAGAAGCTGCTTCCAACAACTATGTATCACAGTTTCACGTAGCCAACTTGGGATCATCCAAAATTAACCCCAGAGATGGAATTAGTGCTTGATTTGAGTCTTTCCCACTTCATCTTGTATATATCCACAAATATAGTTGGTCTCTCTGTATAAAGCCTTCTATTTCGCCACTGAATAACTTCTGCAGAATAACTGTATTTTCTTTTTCTTTTCCTGCTTGCTTGAAAAGCTCGCTGAAAACAATCCAAACAGATCTCTATGGTTAAGGAAGTGTGCTGTGTTTTATATCTACATTCTAATCCTCAGATGCTATTTACAGTTAGAATTGATCAATTCTTGTTATTTCTTTTGTACATTAATTATTGTAATATTTCTCGATTTATTGATTATTTATTTGACTATTTATAAATATATTTTTACTCATGAAACTTAAGAAAACAAAATATGACTTCTTTAACTAATTCTCAAAAAACAAGAATGACGTGTTTATCTTAAATGTGTTCATATTAGTGCAATTACTCTCTAGGTCAAAAATATAAAAATAGACAAAATGAATCAATATATAATTAAGTGCGTGAGCTATAATCTTCCATAAATTAGAAAAAAAAATTGTTTTATTTTTTAAATAAAATCAAATATTGGGCACACTGTACCAAAAATTAGTTATTGGTAAATATAAAATTAAACACCTGTCAAAATATTTTTATTAAATTTATCTCACTCCAGAACCACTTCCTTCTACTAATAGATTTGAAATGGTTGTAAGTTAATTATTTGGTAATTCTATGAATTTGTCATATAATTCATGATTTTAATTTAGAAAATACTTTCATATTTATTGCATAACCTGGAGAACGCAGTACATTATTTAAAAATGTTTATTTTTTGTCTGAAAAAAAAAACTGCATTATAAATGAACCGAATAAACTGGGCTTACGTTACTGTAATTATCCATTACGGTTATGTTTAAGCACATAATACTGGGTTCACCGTGTAAGCCTGTACTTTAGGCCTTTCTGAGCTTCTAGCCCATGGACCACGGTCCATTTTGTAGCGGATTATTTGAAACTGTTGAAATTAAATTTTGCTATTACACATAAAAGTATTAATTATTAAGATAAAAATAATTATTTATTACCAGTACAAAGTAACTACGTAACAACACAAATTAATCTGATTTTTGTTAAATTCACTAGATCAATGAAAAATCAAAAAATATGAAAATAACTTTTTATGATGTATATTGACTTTTTTTTAATGAATTACTAGAAATTTCATTTGAATGGTCAGTTTAAATAAAAAAAAAAATATTATTCTTACTTGACTAAAGAAAAAATTAATTATAAAAATAAAAATATTTTTTTTAATTTTTAATTTTAAAACTATTTCTCTGTTCAGATTCATTGAATGTAGACGTAACAAAAGGAGTGTCGATTCTAGAATGATGCTAAAACCAAATAGCAATTATTATTTTTTCATAAAAAAGTTACTTTTTTATTTTATACAAGTATGAGAAATTGGGGTGGGGGGCACTTCACATCATTGTTAAAGGAAAGTAGTAGATCCTTCCAAGAGGGGAAACCAAGTACGGTTGAAAACTATGGCTTCAATAAAATTTAGGTATATCTTAATATCGATTATTATGATTGATCTTAAATAAATAAAATTTATAATTTTTCATTAAAAACGTTATATAAAAATATAAAAGTTCATTATTTTAGTTATTTAAATTCAATTTATATTTATAAATATAAATAAAATTTGATATATTATTAATGAGTGATTTCATATGATATTAGCTAAAAAGTTTATAAATAAGTTTAGTTATTTAAATCACAATAAAAATACATTACAGACTAATTCGTCTATTTTTCATTTTTTTGCCATTTAAGGTTGTATTTATAGTATAGGCTTAAAAAAAATAGTTATTTAAGGTTGTTCAATTTTAAATTTATACTCTATCAATATTATTTACTCTTAATTATTTATTTTATTCATATATTCCTAAATGATTATATCATACATAAAATTCTTAGTAATATATATACAAGTTAAATTGCGCATAAAGATTAAACCAGTGGTTAATTATTTTGCGATATGGTAACACTTAATTAATAATAAATATAATATGTTATTCTATTTTGTTTACTTTTATTTTATTATTAAAATGTTTTTTTTAAGTTATAATGTATATATGACTTATTAACACATGTCACAAGCCATGTCCGATAGCGTTAATATAAAGAATAGAGCTTTTTTTTAAACTAAAACAAAAAAAAAGCCATCTTTTAGTTGATGTAGAATAAGTTATATACGATTATAGAATTAATATATAATATATTTTAATTTAAAACTAAAAAATTAAATATAATTTAATATATTAATAATTATTTTACGTACAATATTACTTAAAGTCAAGAGTAATTTAATTTAATTATTTTAGGATAAAAAAATCTTCAGTGTTTATTTTTTAAAAGATAAATTAAAAACGTGAGTCAATATCACAATTTATCTTAATTAAGTAATCAGTAATCAGTATAAATGTTATTTTTCCTAGTTTTTAAGAGATTTCTTACAGAGTTTTTAATATATTAATATTAGTTAATTATTATATTTGTTAATAAAAAAAATTATTAATTAAAAAGTGTAAAACAATGATCGCACGAAACTGAATACCTCGTGCGATTACTACATAATTCCTGATGATTCCAATCAACGACCACTCAACGTGTGTGTCTCTATCAGTTTGATCCTCGCAGAGTGTCGTACACTTCAACCTGGCCAATTCAAAGTATTCTGCGTCTGATCTATCGATCTCTTTGGTAAAAATATATTATAATGTAATGTTTTATTTAAAGATTTGGGGATGATAATTTTTTTATTAAAACTATTTTGTAACTTAATGATTTTTCAAAATAAAAAAATTAACATAATACCTTATTATACATTTAATGCCATGTTTTTTTTATTTAGTTTTATAAATATTTAATTTTTATTTAAAATATAAAATTGATTTTTTAAAAACTTCACTTACAAGCATTCAACTTAATGTTTGTGTGTGAGAGAACGATTCATTAGCCGTATAGGGTTAAAATTTGTTTTTTTTTTAAAAACTTTTTTCATTTTAAATGAGGTTAACCTAATAACCCAACTTGGATTATTTCATGTCCCTTTAAAATATTTTTTAAAACTAACCCAAACTAAACTAATTTATTTAATTAGTTTGAACTTGTCTTTTTTCTCAACCTAACCGAAATGGACTCGATTACGCCCTTAATTGATGAAATATTGAGAGTTAAGAAATGTGTGAATGAAAATTAAATGCAACAATTAATTGATTAAATGAGTTTAGATAATTTATCAAAGCAATCTGTGACCTGCTTAAACCAAAAATAACTTAAATCAAACATGTAGACAATTAGATTTTGTGTACACAATTATATATTGAAGAATAAGGACAATAAAATGTATTCCCTCCACCAACCACACGTTGGAAATGGAACTCAAAGCTCACCAACTCTTTTGCTTTGAAATGAAGATTCCCACTTCTGATAAACCACAAAAGAGTGAGAATGAAGAACCATCATTGATATCACATTTAACCCCAAAAGGAGCAGAATATCTAACACTTTTTTTTTGCCATGGAGGCAATCGATTAGAAAGAAATAACATAAAAGATATTTTTTATCCTTTTGTTATTTAGGTAGGGAAAAAAATTAATAAATGTTTTTTATTAAAAGAAATAAAAATTCTAACAAAATGTCATGTGACACTAGTCAAGGCTTAAAAAATATTTTATAAAAAACATAAAAATAAAGTTGATTTTTCATAAATTTTAATATATCTTGACGTAATTTTAACAAAAAATTATTATTTATTTATGTTTTAATATTCTTAAGACACTGACTAGTAAGATTTTTTTTTTTATTTTCATCGTTTTAATTAAAATTTTCTTTCTTTTTTATTTTAGTGAAAAGATAATACATTTTATTTGAGTTTTATTTTTTATTTTTCATAACTTAATAAGGAAATAATAAATATTACCTCTTATTCCGTCTCCAAATAATGTTTTTTTTTTCAAATAAAACAATGAGTACATACTATTCAATTTGTTTTATTTTAATTTTATGACTTTGCTAAAGTTAAAGCTTTACGATTAAATTTAACCATATACAATTAGTATTTTTATTATATAATATTAATTGCATACAAATATAATAAATATTTATTTAGAAAATATTATTTTTAGTTATTTAAAATCAGCTCTTAAAATTGATGTCAATATTTTCTATATTTTATAAAAAAAGGAATTAAAAAATAATATTTATAAAATATTTATATTTAAAAGCTGTTATTAAAAATAATTAAACTTTCTTTAAAATATAAATACTTTTTAAAAAAAATTATAAATCCTACATTCAAAATTAATTCAACTACAATTTATTAAAAACAATTGCTTCAAAACAAATTATACTCATCATGTAACTATTTTAAAATTCTTTTAAAAATGAAGTACACAATTACATTATTATCACTATGGATTATGGTAACCGCATACGTGGACACAAGGGTATTAATGTAATTCGAAAGGGAGGCCTTGCTGTTAAATGAAGGCATTGCGCGAGGCATGTCCGAGCACAGAGGAGCTTAATCCAAAGCGATTTGGAAATAGAAAAGAATCGAGTGAGAGCGAGAAGTGCGTTAATGGCTGAGAAAAGCAAGATTTTGGTAATCGGAGGCACCGGCTACATCGGTAAACATGTTGTGGAAGCAAGCGCCAAGGCTGGCCACCCTACTTTTGCTTTGGTCAGGGAATCTACACTCTCGGATCCCGCAAAGGCTTCCCTACTCCATAATTTCAAGACCTTGGGCGTTAATTTGGTTCCTGTAAGATATCATATGCTTCTCCTTCTGTTCTATTTCTTTTAATTTGCATGTATTTACACAACATGTATATATACGAGTACGTGTATAGGAAGAGTGAGTATATATATATATTAATTACGGTGGCAATGATAGGGGGATCTGTACGATCATGAGAATTTGGTGAAAGCCATCAAGCAGGTGGATGTGGTGATTTCAACGGTGGGTCACATGCAGCTTGCAGATCAGGTCAAGATCATAGCTGCCATTAAGGAGGCTGGTAATGTTAAGGTTGTCCTCTTCATTCTCTGCATTTCTAAATACCAACCTTTTGACTTCTTTGTTTACAGAGTACAGTACACATCGCCTTTGTTTCATTGCTTTTTTTTTTCTCTCCCTCTCTAAATGAATCATCACCACTGTGAATTAAAGAAAGAAAATAATTCGACCTAAACGGAATAGAAAGTTACGGTAATAGTAAGCTGCAACTGTGGATTGGTGCCATAGTGGGAGATCCAACCACTCTCACCCACCACTAGGACTTTCTTTGGACCAACTTTAGGAAATGAATAACTAGAGCATGTTTGTTTGATTTTTAAAAAGAACCATTTGTTATAATTTCGTACAAAGCTTCTTTGTGCTCCTTGCCTACTGAACAACCCTCTTATTTTTATAATTAAATAATTTTTTTTTATCACATTCAGTGTCACGTTTCTTCTTCTTCTTTACACTTTTCTTTTTATATTAATTTCTCTCCTCTTTACTCGCTTTTTACACTCAACAGATTTTGGATAAAAAAATTTGAAAGGACCGAAATATAATTTAACATATAAATTAAATATGTAATATTATATCGTATATTTAAAATTTAAAGTGCCATATTAACTTAAATTGACCATAAAAAATGTATTAAAATATCACACAGTGTGATATTTAATGCTTGGATATCAAACTCGATGTTGATATTCCTAGACATTAAAACGACAATCTTCTTGATACTTAGCCAATACTGTTATGGTTGTCTTCGTATTCAAATAAAATGAAGTTTTTCTAAAAAATTTGAAAATAAATAATTTTAACAGTAAATAAATAATTTTTTCTTAAATTAAATAAAGTATTTATGAATAATTTTAAGTAATAACCTTAACTAGACAAAATTATTTATGTAGTCAATTATTAATAATTATATTAAAAAATATATAGAAAAAATATGGAATAAAAAACAATTTAAAAAAAAAATTAACAATTAACAATTAAAAGTTAAAAACACTCGTAGCTTCCACAAACGCACGCCCAGACGCACATTCCAGAAAAGTTAGAGGAACCGTAGCTCCTCTAGCCTCCTACCGTGCAATCATGTTTGACCTGATTGAAGAAACTTTTCAACGATCTGGGCCCATCATAAATTAGTCCATCTATTATACCTAACTATTTTTCACTCAACAACTTTCCCAAGAATTAAAATGTTATTTAAACCTTCATTTTAAAATATAATTACTCACTTAATTTATCAATAATTAGATTTTAATAATTTTTTCAAGAAAAAATTTTAGACGTTACATTTTATTTAAGCTTTCTTTTATTTGTTTTATTTTATTCAAATAATGAAAGACTATTTTTATGTTTTAAAATTTATTTTATTTTATTTTATTATGTTTCATTTTATCTCACTTATAGAATATTTGTGATTTATTTTTATTAATGTCTTCTTATCAAATCTCTTACTTGTTTTCTATTTTGAAAAATTTAACACTGTAATATGAAAAATGATAAAACCTATTTCAACAATAAACGTAAAAGATGACACTGCATATCCTGGAAACATATTATCAACTGCAGAAGATCAAATTCGGTTCGAGTAATTAGCTGGAGTTGATAAGCATTCTGAAATAGGAATGATGTGTAATTTGGCAGAGGTTTTTCCCTTCTGAATTCGGGAACGACGTGGATCGCGTCCACGCAGTAGAGCCAGCAAAATCTGCATTCGCCATCAAAGCCCAAATTCGTCGTACCATTGAAGCCGAAGGCATACCCTATACATACGTTTCCAGCAATTGCTTCGCTGGCTATTTTCTGCCCACATTAGTGCAACCAGGAGTCATGGCTCCCCCTCCACCCAGAGACAAAGTCATCATCTTGGGTGATGGAAATCCTAAAGGTATAATAACTACACTTACTTTGCTAGCACCAACATCCAATATTATTTTACGTAATTTCCACTTTTCTCTTTAAATACTTGCAGCAATATTCAACAAAGAAGAGGACATTGGAACCTACACCATTAGAGCCGTGGATGACCCAAGAACATTGAACAAGATTCTCTACCTCAGGCCCCCTAAGAACATTTACTCATTCAACGACCTTGTGGCTTTGTGGGAGAAAAAGATCGGCAAGACCCTTGAAAAAATTTATGTACCAGAAGAGAAGATTCTCAAGGACATCCAAGGTCTTAAATATAAATATCCTTAGTCTCAGTGAACGCAGTTACTATAATGTTTTCTAATGTTTCAAAACTTGTACTTTAATATACAAAGCTGAATGCTGATTAATATTGATATCCCCTTTTTCTTGCAGAGGCACCAATTCCAATCAATGTGGTATTAGCAATTAACCACTCGGTGTTCGTGAAGGGTGACCACACCAACTTTGAGATTGAGCCCTCTTTTGGGGTCGAGGCTTCGGAGCTATACCCGGACGTCAAATACACCACCGTGGAAGAATACCTTGATCAGTTCGTTTGAGAATTGTAAAAGAAGGACGCACTTTACGCTTTTGTCATCTTCAAATTATTAAATAATTTGAATTGTTGATTTGAAGATTGACGCCGGAACTACTCTGCCTCTACTGCTTATTGCATCTTATTTGCTTTGTAAAACTGTTGATGTTTTAGCACCCCAACTCTTCAAAAAAAAAAAAAAAAAAAAAAGAAGAAGAAGAAGAACGTGTCTTGTGTCAAAAGGTCGCCGAGTGGTGTCACTTCTTCACGCTGTAGTATGTTTCCATACGACTTGCTGTAATAACTGAGTTTCTGCTTTTGTTCTTTCTGTGTTATACCTTCTGCTTCTTCTTTTTTCTTGTGAACGATCATATATTTTGTTGTTTTTATTCTCGTAACTAAATAAGACAATAATAAAAACTATTCTCTTATCTCCTCTCCAATTAAATTTTTATTTTTCTCAAATAAAAAAATGAACACATGAATGTTAAGGTTGTGTCCTCATTCTCAGCATTTCTAAATACTAACCTCTTTGTTTCCAGTTTACAGTTGCACATTGCCTTTGTTTCAATGCTTCCTTTTTTTTATTCTCTAAATGAATCATCATCCACAGTCAATTAAAGAAAGAAAAATCGATCTAAACGGAGTAGAAAGTTACGGGAGATAGTAAGCTGCATGGGCGAAACTGTGGAGTGGTGCCACAGAGATCCTACCATTATCACCACTGGGACCTTCTTTTTTTGGGTCCACTGCCGACTTTTGGGAATGATTAATTATTATTATTTTTATTCTTTTTTTTATATTTCTCTCCTCTTTTCTCACTTTACACTCAATAAAAAGAACAAAATAAAATTTAACATATAAATTAAATTGACCATAAAAAATATACCAGAGAATAATATAAACTTCTGTCACATAATATGATATTTAATGTTGTGATATCAAATTCTCGTATTGATATTTTTACAAAATTCTTAATCTCAAGTCTCAACACGTTAGAAAATGACAACCTTCTTGATGTTTAGCCATTGTTATAGTTGTCGTTGTAATCAAAGAAAATGAAGTTTTAACAATAAACTTTAAAATAAATAAATAGACAAAATTATTCTTAAATTAAAAAAATTATTCATGAATAATTTTAAGCAATAACTTTAAATAGAAAAAAAATGTATGTAGACAATTATTAATAAGTTATATGAAATTGCATTTATAGAAAATATATAGAATAAAAAACATGCGAAATTCGCTTTTCGCATCTCCCTATCTCCCTCCTCCTTCAATTCTCTCTCATCTCTCTTGCCCAACCCCTCTCCCAACTTTCCTCTTCTTCCATGCTCAACCCTCCTCTCCTTCCCATTTCCACCCAGCCCCCGTAGAGGATCCGTATCCATATCTCCTAGTCAATTGTGGTCATAGGTTGTCACTTGTCAGTACTCCCTATTTTACATCAAATGGGTATAATCGTAAATTTGTAGTTCCAATTGGGCCTTCTTAGTTCTTGCTGTTGCTGATAAATCAAGGTTCTTACTCCGAATAAAGTTTGGCAAGAAAATAATTGAGTGACAGTGTTTGTGTGTAGTAATGGCGTTGATGGGTGAGAAAAGCAAGATTTTGATAATTGGAGGGACGGGTTACATTGGCAAACACATAGTGGAAGCAAGTGCAAAGGCTGGACATCCCACTTTCGCTTTGGTCAGAGAATCCACAATCTCTAACCCCGCGAAGACTAAACTCCTTGACAATTTCAAGACTTTGGGCGTTAATTTGATCCCTGTAAGAAAAACGTGATAATTTTCCTCTTACCTTGTTATATTCCATTTCTTTATGTGTTTAGATTATAGTCATGAACTTTTAGCTGATGTACTGATTTTAGTTTGAAATGGCAATGGCAGGGAGATCTCTACGATCATGAGAATTTGGTTGAAGTCATGAAGCAGGTGAACGTTGTCATATCGGCTGTGGGTAGTTTGCAGATTGCTGATCAAGTCAACATCATCGCTGCAATTAAGGAGGCTGGTAATGTTAAGGTTGTCCTCTTAAATCCCAAGAGTTTTTCTCATAAAATATCAAATCACCTAATAAAATAATACGCACGAGACTCTTGCTTAGTGGAATTTAGGCCTGTCGTTGTGCTAATTAAGATGCACCATCTATAATATAAAGATAGGAAAAACAAAGCATATAAAGAAATCCTTTTCTACGACATATGTAAATAAAATATTTGAATAAAAAAAGTACAAATAGTCGTGATTATTTTCAAAATTATTCTTTATTTATATGTTTTTCTAAAGTCTTGGTCTGGCTTTGTATCATAGTAAACTCCGAGTTCGGTAAGCATTGTTTGTGAAGTAGGAAAAGTGTACTGTGCGCAGAGATTTATCCCTTCGGACTTTGGGAACGACGTGGATCGTGTTAACGCTGTGGACCCAGCAAAATCATTTTTTGCTACCAAAGCCCAAATTCGACGTACCATTGAAGCCGAAGGCATACCATACACATACGTCTCCACCAACTGCTTCGCTGGCTATTTTCTGCCCACGTTTGCCCAGCCAGGTGCCGCTGCTCCACCTCCACCCAATCACAAACTCATTATCTTTGGCCATGGAAATATCAAAGGTTACTACATTTACCCCTCTCTACTGTTCTTCACTTCTTTCTAAAGTATGTACATTAATCTTAGACTTCAAAATCACACCATTCAACATCCATCTAATATCATTTAGTTAGTGCCCATTACCCGATAATTTGAAATTAATTCTTAATTAAACTGCACTCCGTATTTAATTAGACAGAGATAGAGGATAATTTTTCTTTTTATTACAAAGTCTTTCATATAGTCCAAATATCTTACTCATCGTACTTAAACTACTTGCTATTCATAGTAACTGTGTGGAGCTTTGATGGTTTAGCTCCCTACAGTTTTTTTTTTTAATTATTCTCTTGATTTCGAGCAGCAATATTCAACAACGAAGAGGACATAGGAACCTACACCGTTAAAGCTGTGGATGACCAGAGAACATTGAACAAGGTTCTGTACCTTAGGCCTCCTAAGAACATTTATTCATTCAACGAGGTTGTGGCCTTGTGGGAAAAGAAGATTGGGAAGACCCTCGAAAAATCTTATGTTTCAGAGGACAAGCTTCTCAAGGACATTGAAGGTCTTTATAAATGTCATAAGTCTCAGTTAATCTAAATTACACCAATGTTGTTTTCTACGTTTCAAATTTTGAAACCTATTACCATTAGATAATCGTTGGTAATAAGGTAGTGCATTCTTAAATTCTTTCTGAAATTGGCTCAAACCATACAATATATACAATACAAAACTGAATGTGTGGTATTCGAATTCATGTTCCCTTTTCTTGCAGAGGCACCACTTCAGATCAAACTGGGATTAGCAATCAGCCACTCGGTGTTCGTGAAGGGTGACCACACCAACTTTGAGATTGAGCCTTCTTTTGGGGTTGAGGCTTCCGAGTTGTACCCAGATGTCAAATACACCACCGTGGAAGAATACCTTGACAAGTTCGTTTGAGAATTTCAAAAGGATTGAAACTTGCTAATGTTTTACTGGACTAGTTGAAAATTGAAAATGATAATTTCTGACGTGGTACGGTACTCATAACTCTGTTTCCGCCTCTGCTTTTGTTTTACCTTCTTCCACAAGTACTGTGTGTATAACCACGCGTAAATACTGATCCAGGCTTTTCTTTAAGATTCCCATTACCATTAGCAATGGAAAATTGTTTTCTAACCACACGTGAATGATTCATTGAGAATTGAGAGCAATTTAACAGATTGGAATAAATCTTTCATGTTACATGCATAATAGATGAAGAAACCACGTGTAGGTACCATTTTTTCTATAACTTTGCTTCATGAAAAAAAAATAAAAAATCTATAGAGCTAGAAAGGTGGGTCTCAACTTTCAGAATATAAGCGACTACCCATGATTTCACGGTCAAAGTTGCTATTAGACACATAATTTTGGGACAAACGGAGCCGGATAATAGGATTTAGGAGATCATATAAGTCAAAATTCATTTATAAGCGTGATGTGGGTAACAAAATTGAGTATATGACCGTACTGTCTCATTAAAGTACCAGATAGGTAAGGTTATGTATTAGACCTTTTAAGGAAAATGTTATGATGATTGTTGTGTTAACATAACTGATATTTGTCTCTTTCAAATTATAATGAATCATAACATGGATCATGGATGCTTACTCAGAAAGTGAAGTGTCATCATGGCACGCAAGCTTTAGTATTACGTTAGCTGCAATTTAAACAAACTTTACTACTATGTGTAGAATAATGTTATACCTTTCTAGCTGAGGAAGGAAGAGTCAATTCTGCAAAAAGCGAACCGTGTGCTCAATTGTGATGAAGTACAAACAGAATTCTTTGACGAAATTCCTACTACAATTCTTCAATTTTGTAAAGGAAAAGAAAAACCATAATCAGGCTATATGCTATTGCTTGTGACAAGAGACACTACATACTTCCGCAATGGGATTGTTTATTGTACCTCAACAATAGAAATAATATTTACTAACTAAACAACCAACCCCAACCAATTTATATCAATTCAGACTCAAGCTATAAACATTTGTAGATGACATATTTACAAAATAATAAATTAATTCCGTTTCTCACCAACATAAATTGTTCTTTCATTAACAGCCTGAGATCCAAAGCCAGTAAAAGCAGCATGTCTGTCACCAAACACTTGTTTGTCTGATACTTGTTTGATTGACTTGGACGTGTATTTTGGGAGAGGAGAGAGCGAGCCCATCATGAGTTGTATTTGTTCCAAGTGTGTGATTATGATATGAGTGTGACCCCGTTGCAGTAACTCTAGCACTAGTTCCAGATGATGGAGTTTGTAATGGTTCTGGGGCAGGTGCTGAGGCCAGTTCCTCCTCAAACTTGGCTGGTGGTGGTTCTGTTCTTATGATATAATTCTGTGTGTACCTGATCATTCTTCTGACCTTCATTCCCTCAGTTATATTTCCTGTAAATTTGGATGCAAATATTGAAAAGAATGAGAACAACAAAACTACAAATCCTAAAGAAGTAACTAGCTGGCAAAGAAGCAAACGAAGAACTTAATTTGTATCATTTTTGAGGAATCGTGGTTACTTAAAATAAAGATCCTTACCATTTGAATCGAGGTCAGCCTTTGAATTCTCTGACAAGAGAATGAGTGTAGGTGTGATTATTGTAAGGAAAGCCCAGAAGAAGAATATTGGAATAAGAGTCCTTTCATTCATTTGTTGGGAATAGTAGAGCAATATCATGCACTTCTAGTAAGGTTTGCACAAGACTTTTTGCTTGTAAGGGACAAAGTGAGAAAGAGGCAGGCGTGGAATACGATGTTTTTGGCTTCAGGAGATTAGCTGGCCATGTTTAAAAACAAATGCTATCAAAATATAGAATAAAAGAATAATAGAAACTGCTACTCAATTTGATTATTATATAAAGTAGAGTCAAGTTTTAACAACTAAACTTGTTATTTGGTTTCGCGGTTGTTGGATGGTTGTTATTATTATAGCCATTGATCTGGCTGGCGGTGTAATAAGTCAGAATCTGTCGTGGCTCGGTACAATTGGCACTGATAGTAATCATCCAATGCTGAGCTCTAACAATACTATACAATCCCCCACCCCTTCTTATTGATGATAACTTTCCAACTTCCAAATTATGCTGCAATATTTTTATGATCATCAAGTTTCATGTACGTAGAAATAGTCTGAAGTACTGTGTGCGCATACGCTCGTGGTTGTATAGACACTATAATATTTCTCATCATTGTGATAAAGTAATATCCACTAGCTTAAACACATCTAACTAATTAACTCTCCCAAATACAGCGGGAAAGAGTGCTTCTTACGTATTCGATATTGCATCATTGTGAGCTGGCCTGCTTCTTACTATTGCTTGCTTGTAAATTTGACAATTTTCACTCTGACAAAGGAAACAAAATTTAGATATAATTAGTTTCTGACAACGCAATAGGAGATAGCATTTTACCGCAAGGGTAGTGCGAGGGAAAAACAATATATTCCTCTTTCTACCACTTTGTTTTATGCTTGCAAAGGTAGAAATGTAATCCAAACACTTTAACTACTGAGATTTATACACGTGTGTATTCTACAATCTTAAAAGGTGGAACTCCCTTCTCAATACCGTTAGAAGGTTCCTATAAGTCATTTTAATAAGGCAAGAGAGAGTCAACTAAGGCTAAAATTTAGCTCTATATATAATGTGAGTCCTCGTTTATTATTATTAATAAGAGTAGTAATAGTAATAATTGAAATAAAAGCCACAGTGCGTCACCTAAATAACTAGAGACAAAACTAATTATACTTCGATTTCTTCATCCAAACCAGACTGAAACGCCACTCTACTTTCCTGTATACCTCTATCAAGAATTAAAGAGGGATATCGCTAAATTTTTTAACAGAAAATTGAAAAATCCCTAAATAATTCCCAAAAATAAAGTAATTAAAACCTTTTAATCAAATCAATCAAGAGCAACGCTGGCAAGAAATTTCCAAGTTGCATAAAAGAAACACTGCTTTCTAAGTACTGAATTGTCCTCACCACCTCCCTCAGTGGAATTTTTTGCAGCTTTTGACATATTCTACATTTTCCTTATTATGAGTGGCATTTCCGGCCAAGACTGATTCTTGAAGTATATATTGTCTATATAGAACAAGTCTACTTTTAGTGGGAAAGATTTTTCTCTATGCAATTCGATTTTATTTTTTTTATCTCAATCATAATTATAAAATTTGAACTTGAAACCGCAGGTTAAATATTATAACTTCTGCCGATGCAAATATAAAGAAAAAGTATCTTAAGAAATGGGCCAAAGCTTCTGCTAGCAATGAAGAAAAAGAATCATCAACTGATTATTTTAAAGAGTTTTTTCTTTTTTCCAAGAAAGCATATTTTTTCAGATAAACTTTGTCAGATTCAAACCCCACATTCCCACAAGCCAGAAGCAGGCCAGCCCAGAGTTAATTTTGGGCCGGGCCCATTTTGTTTGAGCATTGGAAACCCCAAATTGCCCTCACGATGAAACGGGGATATTCTATTCTACCGTCAGTGTAAGGAGTTGATCGAGGTTGAGGAAATGGGAACCCTGGGGAGAGCCATATACAGCGTTGGGTTTTGGATTAGACAGACTGGACAGGCCATTGATCGTCTCGGTTCTCGCCTTCAGGGAGGCTACTACTTCCAAGAACAGCGTTAGTCTCTTTCCCTTTCTCTTTTTTTTTCTTCTTCTGTTAATTCCTTCGTTAAATTTTGAAATCATTGCGATTCCTTGATTCGTACAATAGCAACATTACTATTTACGATGAATCTTCATGATTCGAGAGTTATATTATTCTTTTCCAATCTGAATTGCTCAGTCACCTACCACAGTGCTTAGATTCGATCAGACAGTATGCAAATAATTCCTTCTCTGTAGAGATTGTTTTGAAAGATAGTGTTAAATGATATGCTACTGGCAATGTATGCATTGTTTCTTGGTTTTCTTGCTTGGACTTCTTATTGTTTTGATTCATTTCCTTGCTCTCACTTTTAGTGGTATGAAATATGAATATGAGTACTTTAGCGTTTAACTTGCGTCAATAACAGGGATTAATGTGTTACTTACTGCTTTGTCATTATGCCATGAAATATATTGAGTAATCTTCTTGTGTTTAGTGTCTAGGCATCGAACTCTGATGAACATATTTGAAAAGGCTCCTGTTGTTGATACGGGTGTATTTGTCGCACCAAGTGCCTCCATCATTGGCGATGTTGAAGTTGGAAGAGGATCATCGATTTGGTACGGATGTGTTTTGAGAGGTAAGGTATCTCAGTTGATCAATTCGGTGTGACAACATTTGAATGATTTGATGCTTCTGTAGCTAGTGAAATTTATTTATGGAATAATTTGTGATGCTTTATTTCTACCTGGGTTATACTGGTAAAACAATGACAACAAAGCTATTCAACTCGAACACAGTGGCTTTCTTTTATTTCAAAACACTGTTTTCACGGGAAGTTCTGTTTCTTTTATATTTTAATGTAAATTGAATGTGAATTTTTTGTCGTTTCTGTGTTGTTGATGAAGATATACTGGGTAATTGCTGTTTTAACTTCACTTATTGAATAGGTGATGTTAATAGCATCAGAGTTGGAAGTGGAACTAACATACAGGATAACTCCCTGGTGCATGTTGCAAAGACAAATTTAAGTGGAAAGGTGTTGCCTACTATTATTGGGGATAATGTTACTGTAGGTAAGTAATGTTTTTGCCATATCCAAGAATGGTGCTGTGTTCTACCTTTAGTGGGAATTTATGTTAAATTTTTCATTGAGCAGGACATAGTGCTGTTTTACATGGTTGTACTGTTGAAGATGAGGCTTTTGTTGGTATGGGTGCAATACTACTTGATGGTGTAGTTGTTGAGAAAAATGCCATGGTTGCTGCTGGAGCCCTTGTGAGACAGAATACAAGGATTCCTAGTGGCGAGGTATGTTTGTGGGTGCTTGCTGTCTGGCTACCCATTGAATCAATGAGGATTAGGATCGTGTTCATGTTACTCTAAACTGTTTTTGGGAATGATTCCATTATTGAGTTCACATACTGTACTGCTAGTCTTGGATAAGGAGGGGGTCAATTATGCTTATGCTTTTATTTGATTTATCTGTTAGTTTTTCATGAAATATTGTTAGTGGTTTTGTATAGTTTTTTACAAAATTTGAGGATAATTATTGTGGCATTAAAGTTGGTTAATATTATATGTATTAGACCCCAGTACCCACAAACCAATTTGATATGCTCACTCAAGATAAAAAATAACCACAGTCCATTGCTTGATAAGAACCTTGGAATTGATTAAATCATGATCCTTTTGCTTATCAAATTAAGAACATTGGTATGAGGAATAGGTAAAATAGTGACATGTTCAATGAAAGAATGAATCTTGGCGTAAATGCCACCATGACCCATTGCTTAATAAAGCAAGAACCTTGGTATAGATCAAACCACAACTTGTTGCTTATGAAAACAAAAACCTTAGTATAGAAGATGGATAGTTGATGTTATAACTAAATAGAATTACGTGGTTTATAATTTGAGTGAACACTACCAAAATCCTCATCAGATCTGCAAACAATGACTCTTAATCAACTGTGAATATCTTAATAAAATATGAAATAATTCCTAATCAGATCTGTAAATATTTTGCAAAATACTTTATCACTTGGACAAAGTTCTTGTACTAGCCTATTTAATACATTTTTTATCTTCTGAGCCTGTGTTCTTTTAATTGACTCGATTGACAGAGTCTGTGAATCCTTTGTTCTGTCAAGGTATAACTTTGGTTCTAAACTCTCACCTGTCTCAGCTACGCATCAATCCAGAATCCTAGACCACTTAAGTGTTACTTATACTAATGTCATGATTGTTACATCGCATCTTGAACTGCATGAGTTTATATACCCACCATAGATTTTATCATAAGATTCAACTATTTATATTTTTCCTTTTGGTAGAAAAAGCATGTATCTGAAATTTTGTATGTTTTGCAGGTTTGGGCAGGCAATCCGGCAAAGTTCCTGAGAAAGCTCACTAATGAAGAGATAACTTTCATCTCCCAATCAGCCACCAATTACACTAACTTGGCGCAGGTCCATGCAGCTGAAAATTCGAAGTCCTTTGATGAAATTGAGTTTGAGAAGGTCCTGCGAAAGAAGTTTGCACGTAAAGATGAGGAGTATGACTCTATGCTGGGTGTTGTTCGTGAGATCCCACCTGAGCTGATTCTTCCTGATAACGTCTTACCTGATAAAGCAGAAAAAGCTCTTAAAAAATGAAGTATTTAAAAGCAGTCTTCTGTCCCACTCTTGAAGTGACATCAAGGGATATTCTTGTTTTTTTTTTGGCAAATTCATGGAAAAGGGATTATTTTCATTCCCAATAATACCAGACATTTTCTAGGCTAGAATGGTGCCTCCTTTAGATCCAGGAAGCAATTGTTCCATGATATTTCAAACTGTTCTCTAGTTCGGGAAAGGCGAGTGCCCTGTAGGATCATGTATTCTGATCTTTAGCGTTTGATGTTTCCAATTCTAGTGATGCCACATTTTTTCCCCTTGATCTTTATGTTCAAGACATTATTTGTCTCAACTTGTTGCATTAATTCTCGTTGAAATTATTCTTAATATGAGAACATCGACGCCTGTGTTTTTGTCTTTGGTATGGATACATGCATCTTCATTTTGTAACTCCTCGGTCGTTTGTTTTTTACAACCTGCTCTTTTATTTATTTTCTAGCTAATTTGAAAAATATGATTGGGATAATGATTGTTTTATGGAATAGCCTAAATTAAATGTGAGTTTTTTTAACCTTAATTTAATCAAATTCAATACAAGCTAAGTTCGATAAAAATTAAAAAAGAAAAATTAATCTTTATCAAGTTTGAACACCATTTTATGAGCTCAAGTTGGATTAAAAGAAAATTATCCAATCCATTAAAGTAAAATCAATCTGAAAAAATTCATATTGCCGATTCTATCTGGCAGGTGAAAGTTGACACAACTTATCTCACTTCTCTTCTAAAAAATAGTAATTTATTTTTAATATTTTTTTAAAAAAGTTTTAAAAATAAATAATCATTGCTTAAAATTATTTTAAACGAACACAAAGGAATCCTGGATACTCAAAAACACCAATAATTCTGCCATAAGTACCGAGTGGGAGAAACTCGGGACCAGTAGACGGAAGCGTCTCTAAAAACTTCCCCGTGTCCAGCTGTGGTGCCATTGTTTCAAAGTTCAATCAGAACCTTCAACATTCAAAAAGTCTCTATAATTTTGAAAATTAAATGCATGTTTGAAAGATAATATTTTTAATAAAATTATTTTTTAAAAAAATAAATTTATCCAAACAAGCAATAAATTTTAAATACTTTAATTTAACTGCAATACAAATTTAATTTTAATATAAAATTTGTAAATTATTAATCAATTCAAGCATATGATTCGTATGAATTTTAAAATTAATTACTATAATAATCAATATTTTTAAATAATAATTCATAATTTTTAATTAACTTTATGTAATAAAAATAATAATTTTAGTTCTTGAAATTAAATTAAATTAACTAATAATAATAAAATTGTATTTTAAAAATATTGATTATATTTAAATATAATAAAATTATTTAAAAACTCCAAAACGAGTAGTGTTAAGAAAAGCATTTAATATATTATCCCATAAAGTGCTTCTGTTCCGATTTGTATGGAGGGTAGCTAAGAAGAAAAGACACTGAAGGGTTTAGGGGCTTTACAGCAGAGCAGAAGCTCATGTGGATTCCGCAAATCTCGTAGCGCATTTAGATCCACTGAGAGAGTGAGTACAGTGAGTGAGCAGTGAGCGATGGGAGCCGAACGCTTTTCTCCCAACGAAAACGACAACTGCGACGCTCCCTTCATCCTCGGTCTCCAACCCTCCGCCCTCGTTGACAGCGTCGCCACCGTTGATTGGTCCTTATTTCATCACATTCCTCCCGCCGAACGCGGTGGCTCCATTCCCGTCCGTTCTCTCTCTATTCTAATCCATTTATGCTTTGCTTTCTAATTCTCTTCTAATAACGCTAATCACATAACATCAATTAATACGGTGCTGAGCTCAATTCTCAATTCTCAATTCCCTCTCCCTAACCCTACCCTTATCCCTCTGTAGGTTGGTATTGATGAACTTAAAGACATACTAAGGGAGGTTAAGTCTAAATCCCCCGATGCTCGTTCTTCTATGAAGACTCTCGCTGGTGGCAGCGTTGCCAACACAATTCGTGGACTCAGTAGTGGTTTTGGAATCTCCAGTGGAATTATTGGAGCCTATGGGGATGACGAGCAAGGCCAGCTTTTTGTCAACAACATGACCTTCAATGGTGTCAACCTCTCTAGACTCCGTAAGAAGAAAGGACACACTGCACAGGTTTGCTAAATGCTAATCCTTCACCTCAATTTCTCTCAATAACCCTGAATTGTAGATAGTTATCATATCATATGACGAGTTAATTGTGTTGATAGCTTTTCTGTCTACCAGTGTGTTTGCTTGGTTGATGCCTCGGGTAACCGCACAATGCGACCCTGTCTCTCAAATGCCGTCAAAGTTCAGGTGCGTGATTATGTGATCTCAAACCCCGTTTGTGGACTCTTGGTGGTTAGGTTAGGATATCTTTTCTGAAGTTTGGTTGTCTGATATAGCCTTTTTTTTTTTTTGGCAGGCAGATGAATTGATGAGAGAGGATTTCAAGGGCTCCAAGGTTGAGTTCTTGATCGGTTCAAATATTGTGCTGCGGACATTTTTTGTGTTTGTTATCCTGTTTTTATATGTTGTGATATTTTTTATTCCTTGTTATTATATTTTTCTAATTATCATGTGATGACGGGGATTCAATTTATTAGATTATAGGGATGGCAGTTTTTTCATTTATTTTCCACCATAATAAATAAAGGTCTTATATCCAGTCTCTGCTAACACCCTAAAAGCTTGCTCTTCTGTCCCATCCAACTAGGTCTACTATCACTATTAATAATATATCACCCAAAGGTTTTCTGCAAACTTAGTTGCTGATATATTTTCATTTCAGTGGTTAGTGTTGAGATATGCAATTTTCAACTTGGAAGTTATTCAAGCAGCCATTCTTTTAGCCAAACAGGAAGGCCTTCTTGTTTCCTTGGATTTGGCCAGTTTTGAGGTATTGTAATTTATGCCACTACTCAGAATTCCCCCTCCCCAAAAGTTCTTTTTATACACATATTCACATGCATACATGCACACACACACAAAGGTTTGATGAAAGTTAAATTCAACAGTTATTTTAATAGGTGTCTTCCCACTTGAGCTTGGGCAGTTTGTAATTAGAGCTTTCATTTTTGACATTTCATTTTGACGAGGATTGTTTTAATAAAAGTGAATTCTGCTAACACAGATTGTGCGTAAGTGCACAGGATGCCTACCAATATAAATACAAATGCGGAAGTTTCATTTCTAAAAAGTTCTTTGCATAATTTATACAAAAAGTATTGTATTTCTCACTCATGATCTCTTTATTTTGGCTAGATGGTCAGGAACTTTAAACTACCACTTATGAAGCTATTGGAATCTGGGAACATAGACCTTTGCTTTGCCAATGAGGATGAGGCAGCTGAACTTTTAAGGTGACTATCATTTGGATTTGACCCAGCATTATATCAAGATGTATTTTGTTGAAAATAGAATTGATCTTCAGTTTCCTAGTCATTGACTGTTTTATTTGCATTTAGTGTGTATTTCTGCATTTTTCTATTAAATAAGTGATGTCAATTTAATTTACCATGGATTTTAGGGGCGAACAGAATGCTAATTCGGTTGCTGCTGTAGAATTTCTTGCAAAATACTGCCAATGGGCTGTTGTAACATTGGGCGCTAATGGGTGCATTGCTAAACATGGGAATGAGGTGTGTTCCAGTCATTCTATGATTTATTCAATGGGGTTCCTTCACCAATTTTGTGTTTTATATTTTTTTGAAAGAGAGGAAGGGGATTAGCTGGCTCTGTGTGAACTTTTTGTTATCAACCATTGTTATTAACCACAAGACACCATAATTAACTAAAGACACGGTGCCGTTTATTCCACCTTGTACAAATTTGTTGTGAAGCATTTGCCTGCACAACGAGTTTTTCAGGTTGATGAAGCTTTCTTGCTGATCTATTTGTTCTATGCCTGTATTATGATAAGCTCCAAATTTCATTCTGCCCATCCAACCAACATAAATATATTGAAGTTTCCAGAAGAGGGTGAGAGTTAAAAAAGGTAGCAAGAGCCATTCCCATTCTGCATTCTCTCTCTATATTGGTTGAACCTTTCTGGATGTGACATCACACCTATCAGCAAAGATTCACCAACAGTAGGAGCATGGGACTAGTGTTTTTTGCAGGAATTGTTTACTGTAACATGACATATTCAGTTTATACACATCATTCCAAAATCGTTAGGGAAGAGTTCAGTAGTTTTAACTACCTTAGTGCATGGTCTTTTTGTCAACTTGCATTCTAGTACAGGTTCTGAAAAAATAAAGTCACCAAAACCTACATAAACTAACATCTTTACATTTCAGATAATACGTGTACCAGCCATTGGGGAAGCTAATGCAACTGATGCAACAGGAGCAGGGGACCTCTTCGCAAGTGGATTTCTGTATGGAGTGGTCAAGGGTTTGTCACTAGAAGAATGCTGCAAAGTAGGCTCATGTAGTGGTGGTTCTGTTATCCGGTCTCTAGGTGGTGAGGTGACATTGGAGAATTGGCAATGGATGTACAAGCAGATGCAGATAAAGGATCTTCCCGTGCCCATCGGTGTATCAAATGAATAGGGGCAACTGTTGCTCCCTTCCTTCGTGCCGCCTTCTATCTTTTTTACTCAATTTTTTCTCTTGTTTTTTCTTCTTTTTCCATTTGCCTTTTGTTTTTATTATTCATCTCTTACCATCAAATTCAAATGACAGCTAGATATTTTTCATGAAAACTCGAGTGCGTTTGAGTTTCTGATGTACTTGAGCTTGAGGCAATTATGAATTGTCCCTTCCAGTTTAATATTAACATAACAACACACACCTAAGTCATGGTTACTTGACAACATATTTAAACTGTCGATTGAGCTGATGACCTCCTGCATATGTATCAAAGATGAGGCTGTTGGCTTCAATTTTTTTTCATCCGTTATAATACTTGTCTACGAGGTTTACCTAGTCGTTTTTGTGCAAGAGTGATGGTAGCCTGATAAATAATAAATAAATTATGAAAAACGGCTCAAGTGATTGACACTAATATAGCATGCCATTGCCAATCTTAAAATAAAATAACCTTTGTTATAAAATTTTAAATGTCATAAAATAGAAAGGAAAATTTCTTTTCATTTCCTCTTCGAGGTCGGAATAATATGAAAATCCAAATATGATGTACTTGAAACAAAATGAATATTATATTAACATATTTCTCAAATATCTAGAATAACTGAAAAACCTGATGTCTAACATATAAATTTTCCGTCAAATTCTTCTAGTGCATACTTTTATTTCTTCCATAAAAATTTGATAATTAATTCCTGAAGCGAGTCTTAGGCCTCGAATCAAGGATTTGGTTCCTTTAATATTGAAGTGCTACACTTTAATAGATAAATAAAATTATAATTGCTGATTAGCAAATCAACAGATGAAGTTACTTCATATTTTGCTATACACATGGCTATATTTTATACCAATTTCATCCTTGAATTTTTTAATCACCAGTTATAATTACACTTTATTCTAATTCACCCTCTCACTTAGAGAAGCCAAAGCCCAAATCAAAACGAGAGACGCAGCGATAGTGTAAAGGAGGAAAAGGAAATTTGATACCAGCATTTTATACGATTCTGCTGTTCTTCTATGGCTAGTAATACTACAGACGCAACTCAAAATTCCAACTCAATCAATCGAACATACTGCTGAAAGCCAAAAAGCAACTAACTGCTGCAAGTGTACACTGGCTGACGGCCTAACCAGCTATTGCGAGTCTACACTAATATCGCTCAACCTCAGACGATCATCCAACCATCTACTTGCCAAGTACATGGAGCATTATAGCATTCTGTGCATGCATTCGATTTTCAGCTTGTGGGAAGACTATAGAATATGGAGCTTCAACAACTTCATCAGTCACCTCCACCCCTCTCTCTGCTGGTAAGCAATGCATGAAAAAAGCCTTTGAACCAGCCATATGCATAAGATCTTGGTCCACCTACAAAACAAAATTTGGTTTCATATAAACAGTAATAAAACAATTTAAGCATGTAACAGATTCAGAATTCATGAACCAGTGCAACAAAACTGATGAAGCAGAAAAAGAGAGTCGGAGGGGATGGGGGTGACATCTCCAGTTTTTCACAGCCTTGATTGATCCACTCAACCCTATCAATAGGGTTACAACTACACATTGAACAACTTGTTGGTAACCTTGGGTTATACTGGGAACTATCTGTGAAATAAAGCTCCACCAGCTCATTCTAAATACCGAGTCCATCCCCATGTAGTTTCTGAACTGCTAATTAAATATTTTAATTATATAATCATCAATTTGAAACAAGCTACTTCCTTTTTCTTTCTCACATTTGGAGGTGCACGCTCTAGGTTCTGGAGGTGGGGAAGGTGGCCTGGTAGAGTAACAAACTTCTGATATGAACACCCACGTCTTAATGATTTCAGCCAGTGCCAATTGAGCTACAGGTTGTCAGGCTCATTGGCAAGTTACTTACTATTTTGCTTGTAAGTGCATACAGAAGTCAAATCATTTCAGCCACCATTCCAGCACAACATAATTGCTATGCCAAATAACATTTTATTTTCAACTGAACATATGATTTCTGCATTAACTAGTAAATATTCCACCAATAACAATAACAATAACTAAGTCTTATCTCACTAGGTGAGGTCAGCTACATGAATCATACGACACTATCGAACTCGATTAAAAATTAAATTTTTAAAAATCTTGTTAATCAAAAATATCTTTTAATAACTTTGTTTAAAGTTTTTTTTAAGTCTCCTTTGACTCCTCTTTACTGGACTAAGAATTATGTAATCCATTTTTCTTACCAAGACTTCAAAAAGGTTTTCTCTGCATATGACCGAACCACCTTAGACAATTTTTAGTCATTTTTTCTACTGTAGGTGTTAATCCAATATTTTATCTTATACTATCATTTTATATCATGCCTCATCTCATGTGTCCACTCATCTACTTTAACATTATCATTTTGTTATTCATACTTTTTTCTAGTGTTGTTCCTTTAAGGCCTACCATATAAAATAGTTGGTCATATTACAACTAAGTCCTTTCAACAAAGTATCATTTGAGCTAAATCCTAGGTGTCTTGCATAAAACAATGTCATAGCCTACAAACATGTATGTTATCTTTTAACGTAAATACATTATATTGTGACTGGTATATTAGGTAAAGTACCTGAAATCCTTTAAACACTTGGCGGCGGTATGCAGCCTCTTCTTTTTGCCCCATGCTGGCCCAGACATCTGAATACACGACATCAGCTCCTTTAACAGCTTCTTTGGGATCATTAGTTATTTCAATCTTGCTGATTCCAGCCTTCCTTGCTTTCTCAACTGTTTTTCCATCAGGTTCAAATCCATTTGGACACGCACAAACGAAGTGAAATGGAATTATGGATGCCATCAACAACCATGAGTGAACAATATTATTTCCATCTCCAACATATACAACCTGACATGTGCATTTCAGAATACGGTCAGACAGCGAATCCCTTGCCAGTGCCACCAAGAATTACACAAGCAACATAACCTGACCTTGGTACCTTCAAACCGACCAATGTGTTCAATCATAGTAAGGGCATCAGCCATTATCTGGCACGGATGGTTGTAGTCTGTCAATCCATTGATGACTGGCACAGTTGCATATTTTGCAAGATCAAGTATGTCCTGCAATTGAAAAAGAAAAATAAAAGGTGAAGCAAAAGTACTCATTTGTTGACAGAACAATAATCACATCTCTGGAGCATATAAAACTTCCTCTCAACCAAATGAAATGCCAACCACAGACCAAATTGCAAATCATCAATTATTGTGAGACACGAAAATTGGTTCTCAGGTGAAAAACCGCTAATAATCACAATATTCCTGTTTGATACTCCCAAGTAATCTCAAGGTCCCATGCTAGCATTGTATGCAATCCAGTATTATACACAACCAATAATGCAGGTCATAAATAATTAAGGCAGATATCACTCTTCAGTAAGTGCCAAATAAGAATCATAGCTGCACATTCACTTATTTATTTGCTCTTTCAGGTTATGAATGGTAGCAACATCTAACAAGAAATTCTTTTCTATAAGCAACATCTACGGTGCTTTATGCATGCGTCCTTTGCAATTTTATGAATGCATAACAAATCCAAAAGGACCTTGAGGACTAATGACGTCTTAAAACCACTGGATTTTATTTACTCTGTTCAAAATTCAGCATAGAATGCTCTATAAATTGTGCATCTAACAGCATCTAAGTACAAGGTATAGTTTCTCCTTACTTTTTCTTCCATGCCTGATTAAGACTAGCATACTTCATTAGAATTAAACCTATCGACTTCATCTATGTTGTTATTAAAATCAGAACACACACAATATCACTACGAGATACAGATCACTTCCATCGTGCCACCCTATGCAGGTTCAAATGAAAATTTAACAAGCAAACATAGAAAAAGTAAACTTAACCACAAACACGGGTAATTGCAGCGCAAAAACCAAATGGAACACAAGTAACTAACTCCTCAATTCACCAGCATACCTGATGAGCAAAAACGCGTGCCATGATGATGTCATTATAGCGAGACAGAACACGAGCAACATCCCGAGTCTCCTCTCGCTTTCCCATTTGGATATCATCAGGTCCTAAATATATAGCATGGCCACCTAACAATGAAAAGCCTGTCTCGAACGAAACCCGTGTCCTCATGGACGGCTTTGTAAAAATCATCGCCATAGTCTTCCCTTCAAAAGGGCGAAATGTCCTGTCCCCTGACTTCAGCAATGCCTTGACCGCAATGGCTCGTTCCAACATCTTCAAAATAGTGTCCTTATCAAAATCATCCAAGTGAAGAAAATCTTTCTGCCCAACTTTCTCTGTAGGAACCAGCAGAACAAAAGAATCGAAGTCAGAACACAATAACTTCAGTCTCATGGTTATTTCTTCAAACTGATATTACAGAAAAGGCGTGAAAATGCCGATATGCTCCTAAAAATGAAATGCATCTACAATTAAAATCAATAATGCTCTTGAACTAAATATCTTGCACTACATTATTAGCGCATAAACATCATTCAACGTACAGCAGATGGATAACATTTCTTAAACCCTAATTCGATGCAATTTGAAAATGAAATTATGGTCCGGAAGTTGACACGAGTGTTAACAGAAAAGGAAGAGAATAGTAGGTTTACGAGCAACGGCGGAAGAGGCGATGCACGATATTTTGCGACGGAATGAAACGGAAATGGGAAGGAGAGGAGCGCGACGGCGGAGATTCTGGCCGCCGAAGAGGTAGGGTTTGTCTGATCCAACGGAACGGTAACATTGACACGAAATCATAGCCATTTCCTCACTTCACTGCTCACTACCGCCACCAACAACACTACCTATTTTACTCACCTCTGTTTCTCTTTCTCTTTCTCTTTCAGTGCACTTCTATTTTCTCATTTATATAAAACTAGTAACTAAAGGTAAGAACATTAATTAAGAAATTATAATTAAATTTTTTACTATAAATAACGTTAAATTGCATTACAAGTTTTAAAAAAAGTTGATTAGTTATACTTTTTTAAAAATTAGTTTTTATTTTATTAATCGTGTAATATATAACATGAGCTATTGCACATTACATTAGGGTCGGCTCAAATTTATGTTTACTGCGAATCTTTGATGGTTTTTGACCAAAAGAGAGTACATTCGTTCTTTAAAATTAAAATTATTTTTGCCTTTGAAAACACGTTAGGCTGAAATTAAAAACAATATTACTGTCAGTTCACAATTTTATTTTGGGATCTATTATATATTTAGTTTTTTAAAAACTCTATAAATATAAATTTTTATTTTAAGTATATTCTAAATCATGGTTGATTTTATAAAATTATGACCATAAAAATTTTAATTTATAAACAGTTATTAAGAAAATATTATTAACACAAAATTTTAATTTATGTGTGCAATTTTTCTAGGTTTCATGTCATATTTAATAAAACTTACGAGGATTTTGTTTAATGATAAAGAATGTATCATTAACGCTTATCAACATTCATCCAAACATATATTTGCATTGCTTTGGCAATTTCTATCCATACATTTTATAAAATTTGTTTCATTACAATTATTACGTCATTTTTTAAAAAAGTTTTATTATTAAAAGCGTTTCTTTTAATCAGTACAAATAAAATAAACATGCTTAAAATTACCCATTATTCAATACATTCGAACATAATATTTATTTAATATAACTAATTATAATAAGGATAAATTGTTAAAAAAAACTATAATTGGTCTAAATACGCGCTAGAATAAGTTAAAATTAACTTTTATTTAAATAATTTTTTCATAAAATTCAAGTGGCATTTGATTCTCTCTTGTTTTCACTTTCTTTGCTACTCTTACAGAAGAGTAGAATCATAATACAATTCCAGAAAAATGATTTATAACACTTATGATCGAGTTGTTAAATAAAGAATTATAACACGATAAGTACACGAGCAAATCAAGCATACATGCTTGTTTTTTTATTATAAATAATAAAAATAATAAAAAGAAAGAAATAACAAGGGCATAAAAAAATATTTTAAAAATTGTAGTTCAGAATGAAAAAATAATTTTTTTATAAAAAAAATTCACGACACTAATTACTAGATACATTATTGAGCATGTTAATTAACTCAACTTATAATCTATATAAATCAATTAATAATAGTTATTTCAATTTAATTCTTAGTTTTAACTTCAAATTTTAATATATACTATTATGTTAATTAAAGATAGTTATATTACTTAAAAAAAAAAACTCACTAAACGTGATGGAGGGAGCAGCAAAAAATAGTATCGTCGTTTTGGACTTGGGCTTGGACTAGTCAAGCCGAATCACAAAATCCAGGTATGCCGATGTTCAATGGACCCAAAAAATGTTAAAAATGAAATCAGAGAGGGTTAGCCCCTGTCGTGGGCCATTACATCCCCTCTTTGAAACTTGCTGCTCTTCTAAATTTAGTTTACATCACATAAATAATAAAATAACAAGTTAAATTGAAATAACTTTTATTAATTAATTTACATATTCGATAATATTTACTAATTTAATCTAGTATTTCTTTCATAATTATTTTTAAACTTCTTAATAAATTTTTTTAAAATATTAATTGACAAAACAATTTTTATTTTAGAGGTTAAAGAGAGAGGGAGGAGAAATATTTTTAAAAAAATTAAATTTTTTATTTATTTAAATGTTTAACATTGAGAGGAGAAAGTGATAAAGTTTAAGTATATAAATAATATTATTATATTTTATTTTTATTTTTTATAAAAAATATAATTTTATATTAAAAATTTAAAAAATAATATTTTTATTTTTATAATTTTTTTAAATTTTACTTAAAAAATTAACTTAAAAGAATTTGAATTATAATCGTAAAATAGTAGGTTTTAGTGTAAACTCTCCTCCTCCTGCCTAGTCCTTTCTCTTCCCTCTCCTCCGAAACATAACTTTAAATAATTTATAATCATCTCATATATTAATCTATCTATTTTAAATTAGCGGATAATTTTATAAAATTAACCTAACAGAACAACATATTAATTTCCTATAGTTTCAAAATAAAAATTCGTGATTCCGCCGAAAGTATGGCCACTCAACTGTGTCCAAGTATCGTTTATTTTTGTTTTTGATTGTCAAAACCACAACCACAATAAATCAACCAGTTAGTTAAAGAGTTTTTGGCTTTTTGCATAATTTCACGTGAGGTCATAATTTAAAGTTTAAATCTCATCTTATTGTCACTTTCGGCCAAAAAGAAAAAAATAACTTACACGCCTCATTAACAACTAGATGAGTGTATGAAACATTTTTTATAAAAGATATAAGCTAACCCACAAATATCTTGACTAAAAATTGACATGTGCTTAGCTCACAATAAGTTTAAAGAAGGATGGTAAGATTTAAAAATATTTATTTTACATTCTATTTTGAAAAATTAATATAAAATATTATTTTATTTATACATTATTTTAAAAATTTAAATATCAGAAAAGATTAATGTCTACTCACCAAAAAATGAAAAAAATAACACCTTAATTAAATTTTGTATAAATAATTAACAAATGAAAATAAAATAAAATTAAAGGAGATATTTTTATAATTGTAAAATTTCCAACTCATTTACACGTCGGTGCCTTGTTTTTATTTTTTATTTAAAAAAGTAATATGGAATAATTAAGAAGAAGAGAAGCTTGTGGAGTCGACGGACCCCAAATGGAAACATGACACGAGACGTTGCATACCAGATTCATAGAACCGAGTTATTACACTCCCAACTATCATGTTCACTGAACGAGTACATGTAAATTGCTATATATAGGAATCAAAATTACATATAAATTGCAATATACATTTTATCGATAATATTGTATCTTCTTATATATTTTTAAATAATTTTTTAATTTATAATGATATTTATATATTATTAACTTGTTAAAAACTGTTAACAAAATATAAAATAAAAGTAGCAAGTAATTGAAATCAATATAAAGATTTAGGTACATAACACGGATATGATGATCAAAATTCTTATGTAGTGGGCATAAAGACAAGTGAAAATAAATTTTTAACACGATTATGAAGATGAATGTTATGATATCTTACCCAAATAATCCCATACTCGTTTAAGGAGATAAAGGTTGCTTCCAAATCCAATCCTTTATTTGGGTGGATAGTTTATTCTTTGCGTTGCATGGTCTTACATTGAAGCTTGGAATATTTCCTTTCTTTGCATTTGGGTCAATGGAGAATTGGGTTCACTTAAGACAAGATTGCCTGCAATTTCGCCATTAATAATTCTTTTAGGGAATGAATATGTCGTAATCAAAACTTATAAAGCAAAGTAAACAAATACTACTAAATCTTGTGGTGACAATGTGTAAACATATGTTTTTATTTTCGAAAAGGAAAGAAATACTAAGATTAGCACACACTGATGGCGTCCCAGTCCCTAATGAGGTGACAACTTACTCAAATTTTCGCCGCAATTGACGCCTTTCAATTCCACAAACGCGACTTTTTTTTTCTTTAGGGTTTGGAGTCATTGCTAGTTATAGTCGACTAAAAGGTACAAATGTTTTTGTTTTTGTTTTTAATTTTTTAATTGAATTAAATTTAAAAGAATCCAGGTTGAAGTAAAAAATTGCGCAAATTATTTAAGAAGACAGAGTTGTTTAAACGTTATTTATTTTATTCATAAAATTCAAAGTTGAGAGTTTGTTTAGTAAAAAATAATTTCTTACTCTTTTACAAGCATAAAAATATTTTTTAAATAGATAAGAGTGAATAATACGATATATTAAAACAATATTTAATAAATAGTAAATACTCATCAACACAGGAGATAAAAAAAACTTAATATGGACATGGCAAATAATTTTAATTTTTAACCAGACCTTTTGTCCTTTTTCCGCGGCTCTGCTTAATGCTTATGGCTCATCTGATCTGACCCCAATAATGGGGCACACAAATTATGGCCCACATGTACGTATCCATAGTGACAGTGACTCGTGAGGTTGTGGTTCTTCTGCTTCCACTGTTGTAGTCTTGTTCCATCTATCCTCTTCACCCACCACGCTATCACGCCCCAAGTGTGCTTTTCCATCACCGTTCATAAATATTATATTATACCCACACAATTATATTAACTATTTTTTTTATAAATGCTAACTAGTATTTTAACATCACTAATTAAGAATTAACAGAGAAAATATTTTATTGAAATATTTTTAAGTATACACTTACCATAATTTTTAATAGCTCTTTTGACAAAATCCTTTTTTATTTTTAAATATGTTTGCTATAAGCACAGATACACTTTCCCTGCAAACAAGGACAGAATCTTTATTTGCTTCAACGCATTTTAAAAGCCAAAATTCTACACTGCACTAAGATTGAAGAGCAGGCAGAGAAAAAAGAAGTGCTTAGATAGAGTGCAGAATGATGAAGCATTGGTTCTTTTTGTTTCTCTTAGTTGTGTATCTGACAGTGGAGCAGGGTAACCTACTCCACGTAGAAGCAGATGGTGGGTTTGTGAGAACAAGAGGAGTGCAGCTTATGCTGAATGGGAGTCCCTACTATGCTAATGGCTTTAATGCCTATTGGCTAATGTACGTTGCCTCTGATCCATCTCAGAGAACCAAGGTCTCATCAGCTTTTCAAGAGGCTACAAAGCATGGACTTAACATAGCCAGGACTTGGGCTTTCAGTGATGGTGGATATAAACCGCTACAATACGCTCCTGGATCCTACAATGAGCAAATGTTCCAGGTTACCCTTCAATCTTCATCTCCTGTTTTTTCAATCTTAATTTTTTATAGCAACACTTCATTCTATTATTATTACTTCCCATAGTTGTATTCTTGTATTGGTATTAGTATGCGCTATTTTCCGTATGTTTACATTGTTTTCTTGGATTAAAAACGAAAGGGGTTGGACTTCGCAATAGCTGAAGCCAGAAGATATGGGATCAAGTTGGTGTTGAGTTTGGTGAATAACTATGAGAACTTGGGTGGAAAGAAACAATATGTGGAATGGGCAAGGAGTCAGGGCCAGTCCATAAACTCTGAAGATGATTTTTTCACAAATCCTGTGGTCAAGGGATACTACAAAAACCACATTAAGGTAAACAAAACACACTTGACTTTGTTTTTCCTATTTTGATTAATGTTATCCTTGTTGTGGGAACAAGAAAAACGTATGCTTCAACAAGATGGGATGGGTTTTGCGAGTCACCTTGTGAGGATCCAGATAGAATGTTATAGTTTTGATGATAATATTTCTTCTGAAAGGGAACCAAAAAGAAGATTATGAAATATGAAGTTTCTTATGTGCCCTTGAAAGTGTTAGTAATAATGTACAAGAGTGATCAATAAATGAATCAGCGGAGAAGCAAAGGGAAGAAAAATTAGTGAGAGACATTTTCATCTGGTTGAACGACATATAACTTTCCCAAATATTCTGGTTCTAATCTCGCTCACAGATTCCTGTGGTTGAACCACAATTTCAAGTTGATAAGATGAATGTGTTGGAGATGAAATATTGGATTACTAATTCTAAAATTATATTACACACCCTTATTAGAAGAGAAATATGGGAAGAGAAGAAAGTGAAAACGAAAGATTAACCACTGATGTAATTAATTAAAAATAGAGAAAAAAATGAGCATAAAATGAGTGTAAAAAATGAGATGTATGTAAAAAATCAGGGCTGTTGTTGATCTATTTACAAATTATTTGATTTCAGAAAATATTTCTATTTTTATTTTTTATTATAAAACGATCACGTTATTTTTATTATGTTTCTTATCTTCAAAGACTAGTATAGAAAATAATAAAAATAAATTAGTTTACTTTTGTATACAAATATTTAAAAATAAAAAATAGAATAAAATAAAATAACAGTTTATAATTAATAAAAAAAACTGTCCTTAGGTTTTGGAAATAAATTAATATTTTGGAGTTCCATCTCTGACAGTAATGTACCTACCTATCCTGTTCCTGAACCACATTTATTCCTGTATTTGTCTTTGATATATTGCGTATTAAATTATTTAAAAAAGAAAAATAGAAATAAATAAATAGTCTTATGTAACATTGATTTTATGTGTTGTTTTAGGCTGTACTTACAAGACGTAATAGCCTCACTGGAGTTACTTACAAAGACGACCCAACTATAATGGCTTGGGAACTTATGAATGAGATTAGGTGCCCTTCTGATCAATCAGGAAGAACGGTTCAGGTAAACCATTATTCGATTGCTCAATTCTGTAATTTATGTGTTTATGCACGCAATTTAAAGCAAATTTCCATTATATCTTAAAGTTGAGATAATTTTCTCTTGCCATTTATGCTTGGTCAAGTAAAAAATATAGGGAGTAGGTTATAGGTAAATGAATTACATAAATAAACTTTTAAATGGGACCTGTTTTTACTTTCTAAACATGTAGTACTACATATAATTTTTTTTTCATTTTCACTCTACCTTTTTTTATTATCTATGGGGTTTTTTTTATTCATTATTGTCTATGGGTTTTTAATTACAATGGGAATCAGATTAAATTTCTTAATTTTATCTGCTCCATTTCAATCAAGTGTTCGGCCATTTGGTCCAAATTTATACATCCTTTTGTCAGTTAGGTCTGCAGATAACGGAGTAAAGAAAGCGTAATTCCGTTTTATAGCCGTTACTATTTGCTGCAGTTCTCGTACATTAATTGCATAGAAAAAGAGTGTTGTTTTCCTACTCCATTCATTATTAGTTAGTCATCAATTGCATAGAAACAGGGTGTCATTTTGCTGCATTAATTACAGTTCAGTTTATATTTTTCGTATCACCAATTCATTATTAGTTTGAGTCGTTGACAATGTCCAAACAATATGGAATTGAATTAGTTTAATTATTTGAACTTAATATATTAAATGCTTGATCAAATTCACTTATTTATCTAAATAAATAAGTTTAAACACGAAATTAGACTCAATTTTGTAAACCCTACATTAATAGTTTTTATACATATGCATTACTTGAAAAGGTGTAAATTTATTTATACATTATCTACTTGAAGAATTTTAAAAATTCAAACAAGTTAACCCAATTTTGTGACTCGTGACGACAGACTAGACTTCCAAACGGTGATAATTTTATTTTTTAAGCATTGGATGAGATAAATTCATGTTATTGTTTCCCTTTTGACAGGCTTGGATTACTGAGATGGCATCTTACTTGAAATCCATAGATGGAAACCACTTGCTGGAAGCTGGTTTGGAGGGTTTCTACGGGCAGTCAAAGTCAGAATCCAACCCTAGCTTCCATGTAGGAACAGATTTCATTGCAAACAATCAAATTCCTGGCATTGATTTTGCAACAGTACACTCATACCCGGATCAATGGTTGGTTTTATTTCAATTCCTAATTCCATATAAAATTGGAATGATTGGATTTAAATCACCTAAAAGAGTAGGGAGCATTTTAAAAAGTATAAAACTAATTCAAAATAATGATTTTTGTGAAAAAATAGAAGTTGACTCAATCAAATTCAAAATATGTTATTTATATACTAGGAATAACCCTTCTTATTTTTTGCTGGGAAGTTTTAATTTTGATGATAATGCAGGCTATCAAGTTCAGGCTATGAAGACCAAATGTCATTCTTAGGGAGGTGGCTAAATGAGCACATCCAAGATGCGCAGAACACCCTTCACAAGCCACTTCTATTTGCTGAGTTTGGGATTTCTACAAAGAATTTCGGTTCTAACCCAACACAAAGAGACCGGTTATTCAACACAGTATATTCAGCAATATATTCATCTGCAAGTAGTGGGGGTGCTGCTGTTGGAGGCTTATTTTGGCAACTTTTAGCTGAAGGAATGGACTCTTTTAGAGATGGTTACGAGGTTGTGTTAGGTGAGAGCCCCTCAACAGCTACTTTGATTGCTCAAGAGTCTCAAAAACTAAACCGAATTCGTAAGATGTATGCCAGACTTAGAAACATTGAGAAGTGGAATAAAGCAAAGGAAATTAAAGGCTCACAATGGCATGTTGGTGCTAACAGCGGAAACCGAGTATAAGTTTTTAACTAGCATAATATATATAGAGTTAGCAACTTTAAACCTCATTTACGTGTGGATTGATCTTCAGAATGAAGGGTCCAAATAATCCTAGAGGGCTGAATGGCCTATTTCCATTACAGTTTACAAGTGAAGTGTCCTACGAATGTATAATCTTTTTATATATTTATATGTTTCTCAATTCTCATCAGCGTATGAGAGCTGGTAGAATTAAGCCATTAACTATTATTTATTGAGATATATGGAAAGTAAATTGTAATATACAAGCAAGGATTTCATGTACGTGTATGTCGGCGAGGGAATTATATTTGTGTCTAAGCTCTAAAGAGGCCCATAATTTGAAGTGCTTCATATAACTGTTCCATCTCTTACGATTGCATTCTTCAGGATAACTGTGATACCTGATCTAATGTAGAATCCTTCCTTGGATCTGTCTGCTTCTTGAACACCCTGATAAATGAATATATTTAAATCAGCACAGCAGAGAAGTCTAGATGATAAAATGCCCCAAAATCATGTGCGGAAATTTCTCAAAGCAAAATTTTTAAACAGCTCTTACATCGGCATTTGCTATGATCACATTTCTTCCTATCTTGGCATTCTTGTCGATTATACAATTCCTTCAAAAAGATGTCAAGATTATGAAATTAGCAGGAATCAGAAATGGAGGGTGACATTTAATTTTCTTGTTATGACATCTAATTTGGCAAGCATGGTTTGGCCGGATATTGGTACTTGGAGAATCTAGATTTGAGGGAATTTGGTATGAATTGTGATAATTATTTGAGACATGATCACACCTGATTTTGGTATTCTCCCCAACACCAATTGGAACCTTTCCTTCTGCCAGTAAAGATGCAATTTCAGTTTCAGTTTGATAGTAATCAGCACCCATCATCATGGTATCCTGGATAGTGAAGTCATAATAAAGGCATAAAACATTTATCAAAGTTGCTCCGAAATAGAAGATGGAAAGGCATCAACTCAAGGAGGTGGAATAACATGCCGGTGGCATGTTTCAGGGAGGCAATCAAGGGTTAATATTAATATAAATTTGTTGAGTTCAGCAAGCACCCTGATCTGTTCTGTCCTATACACTCTACTAGCTTTTGAGAAACAGTACAAATTAATTAATTCCTACAAATTGGTAAAAGAAATGGGCAGACTGATAACTGAGAGAAGTGATATGTTGATACACCCAACTCTTGAGAAAATTTTGTTTGAAGACATGGATAAAATGTGTGGAAAATTCAGTTTTTCCCCTTCCGCACAGAATATTGTCATCAGTCATGTAGAACACAACTTTTCAAGGGCCATCGTGTAATTCCCCGTCCCCCCAAAACCTAAAAAGTGGTTACAGAAAGGTTCAAAATGTTTACCTGAAACTCCACTCCTGATTCTAAACGTGAGCGTACTCCAACAATAGAATGATGTACACTACACTCCCTCAAGAAGCAACCGTGAGAAATAATTGCATCCACAATCTATGAAACCAACCCATCATTCATAAAGTGACATCAACAACAGAAACCAATTAAGCACTCCGGTTTAGCACAAATTCCAATTCCATTAAGAAACTTAGTAAAAGTTGGCTGTCATACCTTGCATTTTTCTACTTTAGTAGGTGGTAGGAATCTTGGCGAAGTGAAGAAAGGTGTCTTTGGATCATAGAATTCAAATTTTGGAGGCTGCAAGTAATAACATATGTTGATCAGTAGATTTACTACATTTTCCCTTATTAATGAAAACTTACACCATAGTAAAATCACTTTTTTTTCAATACTATTATCATGTCCATTTATAATCAGCAAAAATTCAATAGACTAAAAGTCTACTTGTTTTCCCATTGTAACCTCCACTTCCAGGTGAGAAAATTTCCTTTTGAGAAACTGTGACAGAAAAGCCTTGAAATTTATAAACGAAGTTTTGTTTGTTATACATATAGACTAAACAATTGAGGCATCTAATTGTTTATAGTCTATTTTTATTTGTTTTATGTTTACCTATCCACTAGTTTGTAGTTGAACTCACCATGCAAAACCATCCAAATTGGCTGAATACCAAAATAGTTACCGAGACTGACTGTTAGAAATATGAACCAAAAGTAAAAGAAATTATCAGATAGTTAAATAAACCTGTTCTGTTAGGGCCAGATTTGCATCAAAGAAAGACTTTATAGTTCCAATATCTTCCCAGTAGTCATTGAACAAATATGCCTGAGAATGCAAATAGAAAGAGAAACATGTAGTCAGTTACTTTTAAACCAAAAGATAATTAATTTTTATTAGCATTCAAAGATTTTATTTTATTTTTCAAAAAAGACAAGAATATTCACTCTCACCTGAACACTGTGCTCATTCACTGCAGATGGAATAATTTCAGATCCAAAGTCATTGCATGAAGAATAGTTCCATCTTAATAGTTGCAGAAGGGTTTCAGTTCTGAACACATAGACACCCATGGATGCAATATAAGGATGTTTCTTTGCTTCTTCAGGAGATAATCCTAGGATAGTAGTGTCAACATGCTGCAGTTATTGACAATGCATTAGGTAGAGACAACAACTAGATTAAACTGCCAATTATTCAAGTAAAATGGAACTAATATACCATTGCCTTCAGATCTGACCCCTTAGGTTTTTCTGCAAACTGTATAATCCGTCCTGTTTTATCGATTTTCATCAGCCCATAATCTGACGCACGGCTACAAGACAGTTAACATGATCAAACTCCAAATACACACAATGCAATATATGACAAGAACCAAAAAAACCCATACAATTGTTTGTGAAAGTTTTGCCGCTTGCAAACAAGGAGATATGCTTTCATTGCAAGAAAATCAACCAAACCAAATCAGGCAGAATTTTTATGTACATATACCTGTCATCCATTGGTACACATGAAACAGTGATATCCGCATTTGTGTCGATATGTCTCTGCATGACAGTCCCCACCAAAATCATCATCGGTTTCATTATAACTAAAAAGGGTTCTAGTTGTAATGATAGATAAGAAATTACATCATTTGTACCTGCACAAAGTCCATGTAGTCCATCCTGTAAAGATGGTCCCCGGAAAGTATCAATATATGCTCAACATTCTTATTCTTGGCATCCTGAATAACAATGCAGATCCACCCACATTCACCACTCCATATCAAACCAGTATATTCAGCAAATAAACATCATCATAAGTTTTTACCTCAAAAACCCATATAAATTGCCTCACAGCATCAGCTGTCCCTTGGAACCATTTCTTCCCTGCCTCTCCAGGTGTTTGAGTAGCAGCCAAGACCTGATCACATTACATGTAAATTATAATTCAATTCTAGATAATTTTCTTTAAACTTGTTAGCAAAAACAAAAAAACTTCACAAGATAAACTCACCTCCACAAAACCATCTCCAAAAGTCATGCCATTTCCAAAGCTGTATGTGCGAGAGAGGTGGCGGTTGAGGGAGAAAGAGTTGAACTGCGTCAAAATGAATATTTTTCTGATGCCACTGTTGATGCAATTGCTCATTGGGATATCTATGAGTCTATAACACCCTCCTATTGGAACCTGAGAATTTCATTTTATTTCATTCAATTGCACGAAGGATTTGCAATCAGTAGTAACCCACACTCAAACTCCAAAGGAAAATGATACGTACCGCAGGCTTGGCTCTTCTGCTAGTAAGAGGAAAGAGACGAGTTCCTGCACCTCCACCCAATATGATGGAAGCTACACTTTTTGGGTCTGCTTGAGGAGTCTCCAAAGTGGGTGCCTCCTGAAATGCCTGAAAGTGAAAGGAGCACTTGCAGTTAAGCATTGAAACTGAATGCTTAAAATCAAACACATCAATACAAGGTGAATTTTGTTCTTTTATATGTGTTGCAGTTGGTAATTTAATTACCATGGACTCTTCGTTGATGTCTGATGTGAGAACAGCGCATGCAGACTTGGACTTGATGTTTTTAATCTTGGTTTGTGAAGTCTTGCATGATTGCATACTCAAAAGTCTTGGGTTTAGACTTCCCCTTGCACTCTCACCCCAGAATCCACTTCTTCTGTTTCCTCCAACTTTTACTAGATTGCCACTCAGAGTTGCACAAGTTGAATCCATTGCTGAATTGACAACAAGAAAGAATAAAACCCTTTTTGATTCAGTGTCTTTCTGCTCAAAGCAAATGAGTGAAGAGCTTAATCACTTTCATAAAGTCCCAAACTTTTGAGAGACAATTTGCACCGTACGTCGAGAAATCAAACCCGGGAAGATTGAAGTGAAAGGGGTCCCAAAAAGATGAGATTTTTCAGAGCACCCAGTTTTAAATTTGGAGTGTTGGTTGAAGAAAAACTAAGGTGGGACCTGGAATGGTAGAAATAGAGAATGCGTAGAAATTGAATGAATGAGTTGTATTGAGGAGGCAAGAGAGAGTGGCAACTCACGAGAAACCTGATATGTCTTTCTGTCACTGAGTCAGCAGTGGCTACAATTTTCTATGACTATCTCGCTAACGCTGACACTTCCACAGTTCCACTGTTACGTGTTCTTGTCCACTTTATTTTAATGTTTTTACATCCTCGTACTTGTCTTCTTAACAGTTTCTTTATTATTTTGTAAACAACTGTTAACTAATGTTTAAACTACAAAATTTGAAAATATTAATAATGTACTTCTTTTATAACGTTTGTTTGATTCTACCAGAAAGTAAACAAGATCTGATTGATATCTGATTGATTAATTAAATTCAGTGATGTTTTAAATTATTAATTTTTTACGAAACGTGTTCATTCACGTCTCTTCGATTTAATGAATTGTGATTCATATGTTAATTGTTCATTGATGGGTCATTTAATGATAAAAAAACAAGGTTATATTTGGGCAAGAATAACTTGCAGTAATAAATTAATTAATAGTAATAGAATATTTAATTAAAAATAAAAAAATAATAGCGTAACTATTTTAAAAAGTATAATATTAAAGATAATTTTAAAATAAACAATATAATATTACACAATATGATAAATAAAAAATTATTAAATAGTGTTTAAAGATATCATAAATTAATAAATATTATTTATAAACATATAATCAAAAAAATTTGTATATTAATTAGTTAAATAAAATTATAAATTAGTTAAAATAACTTACTAAATATTCTCAAATATAGTTTTGATTCTCCCAATCATCTTATTGAACAAATAAAAAATAGATTACTCTTATCAAATAGCATGTTAACAAACAATTTTTAAAAATATATATTTTACATATTTTTTAACATGTATCTAAAAATACATAATACAAATTTATTTTTTATTATATCATTTAACATGAATTGAAAAATTATAAGATATCACAAATTAATTAATACATTAATTATAAAATATCATAAATCTAAAAAATTGATAATTTAAATGTGGTAAATTTTAATAAAAAAATGTTTTTTATTGCATCAATTGACATATATTACAAAAATTATTTATAATTTGTTTAATTATTCGTTTTCATTTACAGGATCGTTATTTGGAAGGTTGACAGATTATCCGACTTTACAATATGGAAATGTATCGGTTATTTGATATAAAAAGATGTTTTCAATTATGAGATGAAAAAATTGGATATTTGCTCAATGAAACATAATTTATATGTGTGTGTTCAGGAAAAAACGTTCAGTACCCACACAATAACAAATATAAAAAATAATTTTCTAATTGAGAAAAAGAAAAAAGAAAAGCAATTCCATTGTGTTTGTGCTTGTTTTGATTCATTTCTTTCGTTATTTTTAGGTGCACCATGCTTTGTGTACAATTCTATGTCGTCCAGAAAGTTATTTACGTTACGTTTTTGGGAGCAAATGAAATAAAACACTGCAAACTAAATAAACCTTTTACGTGGTTATTGTTGTCTAAACCTATATATCATTGCAAAACTAAAAACAAAAACTCACTTTTATATTTTGATATAAATATTTTTAAATCCACGATAAAACAATTTGAAATTAAACAATGTGAGAATTTTGTCACTTTAAACGAATTTCATCTGACTTTAACTTGAATTAATTAAGATGTAAAGCAACTTTTAGATGCAATAGATCTGAAAAGGAAAAGAGAGTAATAATGAAAGAAGTGTTCAATGAAAAAATTAGGTGAAAAAATGAAAAAAAAAAGAAGAAGCATCACTGACATTACTAATTTAATTATAAATATCATAATAATTGTTAAATATTATGGTGTCACATGTTGCTGGTATGACTAATTAATGAAAGAAGTATTTTACTGAATAATTCTAACTTATAAAACTACAATGGCAACAAAGGAATTTCCTTTGAGAAATGAGAGTTGTCACCACGCTCTCATCAGTCAAGTCCTAATCAATCGTTAAATGCTAACAAAATTCAGATTAAAGCTAAAAATAGGGGGAAATTTCCGTTACACTACAAATTTATTAATTTAAAATGGCAAACAGGCATTTAATTAGTAGACTCTGTTGATGTATGCTGGATGTTTCTTTCACCCACTAATGTGGTGTGTAATGCAAATTTGCTATAAAAGCCTTTTATTTTAATTATTTTTTGTCATCTTAATAGGCCTATAGGATCTCTAGGAGCAGTTTTCCACGTAACTTTCTTTCATGTTTTCTGTAGAAGGGTTGGGCCGTTGAAAGATAGATGTAGTTTTATTGGGCTATTTCTGAATTATATGGGTCGTTTAACAAATTGATTGGGCTAACCATTAACATCTATGTGTTACGCTAGCAAATCCAAACAAATAGCGTGTTGGACCAAAAATAAAACCTAACTGTAAAAAACAAAAACAGTATGTTATAAGTAATTATAAAACATTTTGATCCTGGAAAAGTTATTGTGTCTAGTATTTGTTTTTTAAAATTATTAAAATATAGTCTATAACATTAAATGAATAAAAAAACTCATTTTTTTTAATAAATACTTAGCCATTGATAGTTTTTATAATTTTAACTTAATTCACATATCTTTCTATGAAAAAAAAATTGTCTAATGCATTATAATTTTAAGTAAAGTTGTTCTTTTTCACCTCAAGTAAACAATACCATATTTGCTCACTAACCACGAGACCATTGGAGATGGTAACAGATGAAGTTTAAATAGAATATTATTTAGTTAATTTGAATACGATATATGGTATGCAATACGTAATAAAATTGATATTTCAATAAATATCGTGAAAAAAGAATGCTAATTGAAATAAACACACCAAAATTTTCAAATATATTTTTGGGTACTTACATAATAAACACCTACGTGTGGCTCCTTTTTACTGACTCTGCATATCTGAATATGAAAAATGGGCAAATTTAGCCAACAACAAATCATGTTCATAGGTTTTAATAAAAACTACCAAAGAAAGAAGTCCACATGGTTAGTGGCGATGAGGCTTGTGAGAAAGTGATGCTTTTCTATTGTCCAAAATTAATATCATTGATCAATGTTTCATGGGTTTCATGCACCAATGTTTCTGGTCATTCCGTGAGGAGTTAGTTGTGGTCATAATGTGACGTCCTTTATCCATTATCCTTCTCTTTATCTTCTTAAGAACTTTCTCCTTCTGTTTCTTTCGGGAATGCATGCAACCTAGCGCTTCAAGTTGGATAATTTCGCATTCTTGTTGAATAATACCTTCTACTTTTTTAGCTTTTTGTTCTTCTTTTCATGACTTCCATAATTAATACTCTCTTTATCGTTGGATTTAGTTTTGGTTGAGTGTTACTTCCTTCTTAGGAAACCTTATCTTTTTTATTTCTCATCAAATTGATCGATATAAACACGTAGTTGCTTAGTACAAAGGGTCTGCTTAATTAATTTGTATACACACCCTGGGCGGGGGAAAAAAAATCACCAAAGGCATGGGTAACTCACACAAAAGAAACCTGAAAATTGGAAAATTTCGATGCATGTATTCATATGGTCGTAGGAACTTGCCTTTTCTGTTTATTCTGCAAAAAACTTCACGTTCATCCTTTAATTTTAACGTTATATTATTCATTCACTATTTTTATAACACTTTCAATAATGTTATTTTTATAAAAAAAAATTTCCATCTTACAAGTCCTTTTTCGTTATTATTTTTTTTTCTATTTCTCTCTTTTTTATGCAAAATATTGTCGAAATATAAAATACAAGAAGCATTTCTCGTAATTTAATCAATTAATTGAACATGTACAACTAGAAGAGCACATGTGTGCCAATGTCTTATTTATGGAACCAAACTACATGTGGCATTTTCCCTTGTCTTTCGCCCTAGTCTAAGAAAGAAATATTTTCGAACGAAAATTAGCAAATATGAAAAATTATTGTCACTTTAAAATAGAAAATAACTCTTTGCCTTTTTTTTAAAAAAAAATTATACTTCAACCCGAGAGTAAAAGAGAGTCAATATGAGTTTGGTATGTTTTTTAAAATCAAGACTTCAGTCTGAATTATTTATTTAACATTGCCTTCATTAATACCTAAAAAACTTGAATGAACATTATTAGAAAGTTTTACTTGATTTACAAATTTATTTAATATTTCATTTTATAAAAAAAATGTTTTAAATGGATTCATGAAAAATAATTATTGGAGCCAACATTTTTGGGTAAAAAAGACAAGATAATATCTCATACATCATATAAGAAAACTTATAACACTTCAAATAACTTAGATAAATAAGAAAAGAGATGTTTAATGATGTAGTATTTTGAAAACCTGCATATTTTCAAATAAATTATCTCTTAATATCTACATATAATATTTTCGAGTCAATTCAAATAATTACTATTATAATTATAATATCATCTTCAAATCACATCTTATTTTATTTTAATTATAATTAAATAATAATAAAAAATTTATTCAGCGCATCCCAAGGGGTAAAGGCTAATTTGAATGTTTAATTAATATCATTATTTTATTAGATTTCATACTTAAAATAAATTAATTTTTATCTTTATATTTTGATTAGACTAATAAGAATTTTGCACACTAATGTTTATCTGTATTTTATACACACACACATAAAGTATTTGATAAAAAAATATCAATAGTAAAAAATATAAATTAAAATATTGTAGTGTTTACTTTTAAAATTTTGATTTTAAAATCTTATAAATTATTATGATAAACTAAAATATTAATGTAATAATGATTAACAAATATTTTATTGAATTTAATGTCGATTAAAGAAATTTAATTGATAATTCTGACATAAATTTTGATATTTTCTCTCCCTTTATTGCCCCATTTAGCGGTGTCTCGTTCTGATTTCCAAATTGGAAAATAATAATAATAATAATAATAATAATAAAAAGCTCCTCTAACTTAGCACCTTGTGACATTGCCTATATAAGTTAGAAATTCGTTTTGGCACTGTGCTCCCTTTGCATCCTTCCTTTCACTTCAACATTAATCCTTTCAAATTCAATGGCTTCCTCACAACTCCAAAACGACAAAGGCAATGGCATGAGAAGATTCCAACGCAAACGGAACTTTGAAAACATCTTCAATTTCTTCAAACTCTGCAGTGTTGTTCTCTTCATTTTCTCCAACCCCAGTTGCTTCCCCTTGACCTCCCAATCACTCTCCCACCTCCACGCTCTCTTTGCACCACTCTTTCACAACTCTCTCTACGCCTTTCTCCTCCTCAACACCATCATCCTCTTTCTCTACGCTTTCTCCAACAAAACCAACAACGTTGCCGACTCCACCAATGTCTATCGCCAATTCATCAACCACGCCCACTCTCGCCCCAGCATAACTGCATCGCAGGAACAACCTCGTATTCTAGAACCTTCCCATGTTGGAGACTCATCATCATCATCATCATCATCATCCCCGGTTTACGACGAAACTGTCGCGGCGGTTACTGAGACAACTACGTGTTGCACGACCGTCTCGACGGTTTCGGACAAGAAGCGTTACCCGAGGGCTCGGTCGGAGAATTTTGAGCGGCGAATGGTGGTGGCTACGCAGCCGGAGTTGAAGAGATTTAACACTGGTTTGAAAGGGAAATTGAAGAGCAAATTGCGCGACGTGGAACAGTTGAGTAAAGAGGAATTCAATCGCGCCGTTGAGGATTTCATCGCCAAGCATAAGAGAATGCAATTGGAGGAGCACATAGGGTCCCAGAAAACAGAGTACTTGACAATCATGACTCAGTAAATTTTCTTGAAAAAATTGAGGGATTAGGGGAAGATAATTTTTTTCATTGACTATTGTATAGTCTTCAATCTCATTTTGGGAAGGTTTCAGTATATGTTTAGTTTGATTTATTTTAAAAAAATAATTGCTTATTTTTTAAAAAAATAAGCAATTATTTCTTTTAATTTAAATTGGATTAAATGTGTTGCTACTGGAGTATCTTATTTGGAATACCTTGTTGATTGAGTTTTTATCGTCATATTAACCTCGTTTAGAATGAGATCCTTTTTATTTTTTGGTTGAAATTTCGAATAAAATCCTTGATCCTTTGGGGACGAGTTTGCTTTATCTAGCAAAAAATAAGGTGTGTTTTAATGATCATTTGTTACGTGATATATATCATAAAGAAAAAAAAATCAAACCTTTCCAACATTAATATATGCAACATTTGCAATACCTTGGTAAGAATATTTTGATGAAGTTATTTACGAACCATTGATTAGTTAGTTGTAAATTTCTTACACATGCATTGAATGCAATTAAGTATAAAAAGGATGCTTATTTTTCAAATTTGTATAAAGAAATCGTGCAATTTATTGCACAGCTGTATGCTTCTTATTCTTAACACACAAACTTAATTCCTATAAAATTGGAAAGATTTTGTTGCCGATTGACATCGGTTAAAAACAATTGAAGGTCCTTAAATGGAGATCATGCACTGATTTCTATTTGGAGGTGAATGTTTTTCTTTATAAAAAGGTAAGGTCAATGGATAGCGTAGCACGTTTCTTCTATTATTGTAACTAATTTTACTTGATTGATGCAATGATATTCGTATTTCCACAATTTAAAGTTCACTCAGATCTAAAAATCATTTTTGCTAATTACCATACTTTAGTTTGCCAAACTATACTACTTTTCCTTCCTTTTTTGGGTATATTCCCCACTCCTTTTTTTCCTTTCAGCAATCGGCTATTGGATAAGTGTGTTGTGTAGCTATCATTGGTCACCCACAAATAATAAATTGGCTGCATTCTATACTTTTCTTTTATTCACTTAATTAATATAATCAGGGTTTGATAGGGGAACGTGATTTTTAAATAAAAATAAAAGTAAAGACTTATGGCGAAATATTGACGTGTAGTTATGTGGAAGAGTATATTATATACTTCACTTGATTATAGATTAAAATGTCCTCTCTCTTTAGTTTCCAATTCTTATATATTTTCCTTCTATATTGATGATTTTTGTGCAGTGCTTCGAGGGACCCATTTAAAGAGAAAAGAAAATGAACACGAACACAGACAGAATATACATAAAGCGAAGTAGTTTAGTTTATGCGATAGTGGTTGGAATTGGAACAATAAAATAACGCATCGTTAGGCTATTGAGATTCTTTATAACGAAGTAGCTCGCAATTATCCACTTGGGTAGCAAAGGATACAACAAAAGAGAAATAATATGGTCTTGTTTATTACCACCCAACATATATTCTTGTGTTGTCTGTCCGAAGGGAACCACCCTTCTATCCCTCTAAATTTAAACCATAATTACACAAACACTGCAGAAAATAAACATTATTTAGATTAATTATTTTGATGGGCGACCCCTCCGATTGTGCTTTATCATATTTTTTCTATCTCAATACTTTGAGTTAATTGATTTTCTATTTTTGGTTCTTCTTTCCTACAAAATAATTGATTTTCGTGTTGCTATGTAAAGTTTATTTATGAATTAAAACAAGTATAAATTTCAGTTATTTCGACCAATAATAGATTGCCCCTTTTCCAAAACTAACTTTACCATCTTCAGCCTTTTAATATTCCTTGTGTTTAAGTTTCATAACTGTATATTTTAGAATGAATTAGCTTAAAAGACTAGTAAATACTTAATATATTAGTCTCCACTGAGCCCTCTTTTGTTTTTGAAGGAGTTTCTTCTCACACTACAGCTGATGCGCTTTCTTGAATAACAAGTTTTATTAATGATATCGTTATTATTACTATTCTTATTTCAGATAAAGCAGAACCTTGTCACCTGACTCATCCCAATTGCCTCTTTATTAATCACGAATCATATAAAAAAATAAGTAAGTGGATAGTTTTTCAATTTTATATATATTATGTGGGGAAAAGTGAAATTAAACTAATCCAAGAAGGGTCTAAATCTAAAAGCATCTTTTCCCCCCTATTTTGTTTTTACAAACCACAAAATGTTATTCTTCTTGCCTCTGTGTTCTAGTGATTAATCATTACCAGAGTCCATTGGTTTTGTCTTCTTGTCTCCCTCTACTTCTAACTAGGTGTCATATACTCATATATCCAACTTGGGGTTCATTTTCTGGCTTTATTTTTTCCAGGTGGGCCTGCAGCCCATTTTTTAGTTGGTAAAAACACCATTTGAAGGCTTTTCTGTACCAAACCATGGCAACTGCTCCATCAAATTTTTTACGGTCATTGCTTCATATATACTAATAAAAGGGATTCTTCTCCACCAACCTTCTGCATATAATTTCACTCTTACATTCTTTTTTATCCTTTTATACTTCGAACGCCATAACAAGGAACTGATTTGTATCTTTCTTCTCCGTAGCTAGATTCTAGGGAGCTATACGGTCAACATCGTAACCTATGGAATGACAATTTGAGAGAAATATAATACATAATTTGCAACAAATTGTTCATGAAAGAGATAATGTTTGTCCCCACATCGTTTTTTCTAAAATATAAACGATTGCCGACTCTTGATGCTTTTTGTTTTTCAAGTATCCATTTGCTCAAATGATTTATGTTGTCTGCTTATTCAATATTGTTTTTGTTATAAATAATCTATAGCTAGGTTTGTTTGAAATAATTCACGACACTTAAGACGACATTTGCATGGTGCTAGAAGTGAAGTAGATGGTAACTTCATTGAAGAGCTTCCTTGAATGAATTTTACAAATCCAGAGAAGGTGGCCCATTAAAGAACTTGCTTGCTATCTATAACATGAAACATTTCTTTTCAATTGTATTTTTCTATTAACATGGTTGTTATATGTTAATCATTTCGGTCTATTTTGGACAATCAATTATTTGATGTCTTTATACCAAAGTAGCTCTCAATGATCAAATCTTTAAACTTAAGTTTGGAAAGCCTTATAAACCAAATATATTTATTGTATATTAATATCTGCTTTTTAATTGGTAAGGGTACTAAATTACAAAAGTAATGTGAGAATGGGAAAGAGTATCGTGTTTAGTAATTGCAGATATAACCCATTAACTTGCTCTTGCTGCATTTCTTACTATTTAAACTATTGAAGAGTTCGAGAAACAAAAAATTAAAATTGAAGCCTGCATTAAAAAGGAAAAACTTGATTTTTAAAAAATTATAAATTAAGTACTATAATATCATTATTTATATTCGTACTGCAATGGTTTTTAATTACATTTCCCATTTTTAAATTTGGACTCATTTGATTACTTTATTCGTTGGGGATACTTTTTTCAAGTATCCATTGAGTTTGCTTGTGTCTCTAATCAGAAAGGCATTGCCTACATGTATAAATATGAAAAATAAAATAAAATAAAATTTCAGGATCGTGAAATCAATCAATCATTGAGCAAAATATACGAGAGCCACTTTAGAAAGCTTCCCCTGATATGTGTGGCATTGGTCAACTTTCAGAATTTTCATTCTTTTAATGCTTAAAGTCTAGGTGAATAGGATTTTGAAGTATGACTTAAAGGTCATAAAAGGTACGCTGACAAAATTACTTATAATAAATAGTCCACATAGTCTTAACATTAATAATGAAATTCAAACCCACTTTCTTATAGTTCTTGATAAACTTTTGTTAGCATTATTTGCATTTTTTGATCGTTCTTTTTGGCAATTATTGTATGAGCACTAATTTTATAAGTACACAAAATAATTAATTAAAAAAAATTATTTTTAAGAGAAATGCCAATTAATGATTTAAAGGCAACGATTAAGATATTAAAAATAATAATATATTTTTAAATAATTTTTAATTCAATTTAACATGATTTTTATAAAAGTTTTTAATTTTTAATAAATATCTTTAAGACACTAGTTAGCAATTATATTTTTTTAATACTGCTCACATTTTATAAATAAATGAATCAAAATAGGGATCCTTGTCGTTTGGCCTGTGATCAGATGTGCGACGTTGGTCTATAAATGGTTCTACTCCTTTGGATTGCTCTGGCAACTGGTTCACAACCCGATGGAGACACCTTGTTTAATTTTTCCTCAGCATTTCAACTTGAAGGAAAAGTAATAAAGAAAGGATAATGACCAAAAGAAAAAAAAAAAAAAAAAGTCTACAAAACTTAAAATTTTCAACCATATTTTATATTGCAGTTAGTGTAGTCAATATTCACTGACGGAAGGTTTTATTTTTATTTTGCACTTGAATAATGGGGGTAATAATTTTGGTAGGAATATTATTGCACTATGTTTTTTATGCCAATTTTGTCAGTGTTTAGTTGTAAGAAGACTAAGGAAAGAGAGAAAATATTACTATTAATTTAATTAACTATCATAGAATAATACTTTATATATTTTTTTAAAAATGATAAATATTTTAGAATGAATCGAAGACGTGGAAAATCACAAAATATTAGATTGTCTACTATTAATTTGTCCTGCAATTGAATTTGCTAATGGGATAAGAAGGCGATATATATGTATATAAAGTCAATAAATATGCATTTACAATGACGGGATACAAAAAATATCTATAAATGTGAAATATTTTTACAATAGACAACTAATTAAGTAATTGTAAAATTACAGGACATGTGATTCATTCAATATTATTTTTTAATTAAAATTAAAATTTTATTTCAATAATTTATGATGGTTTTAAATATTAGTATTTATCATATAAAATCTATTCTTACTTAAACCTTGAGCCTTCATTTGAATTGCTTGGAAAAGCAAAATCCTTACATGGTTTTGCATTTGTCATCCATTGTAGATATCAAACGAACAGGATATCCACTCTTAAGTTTTGTAAAAACCGCCCATTTCTGAATACTTGAATCAGAATCGATCACCTTCCACCTGAATTCCACCATTACCACCGTTTCAATACTTCTTTCGCACTTGAATAATTTTATTATTTTATAAACAAACAAATATTTTTTTAATTTAATTTCTATTAATTAATGTGTGTTTAGTTGAAAAATCTGTGATTTTTACAAAATAAATAGTATAATAAAAAATAAAACAATATTTATTTTCTTATTTTTTGTATAAAGCCTTAAACCTAAGAAAATAAAATAAAAATACGAAGAAGAGTATCATGCTACAACCATTTGATTACTTGTAGCAGAATCATGCACACACTCGTAGAGCCAGCATTTTGACCACAATTATATTACTAATGTGTGTTTGATCAATGATAGAAAGTACCCACTTGTAATTGGTGATGAAACGGTGGAGAAACACCAACATCATAGCTTTAGCCATGTTCTTCCCGAGGCATGTCCTTCCTCCCATCCCAAAAGCTAAGAAGCTGTATGGTTTTGACTCGGCCTGTAATTTATCAAAACAGTTTATCTTGTGATTTTTTATTATTGAAATCCCACAATTATTTTTTTATTTTCTTTCCCAAATATAATTAATGTTGCTAGATTGATCATGTCATGTAGGGTTAAAATTGGTGGAAGAAAAATGAAAAGACAGTAATAAAAGGGTAGACTTACAGGAAATCTTGAAGGATTGAATACATTCGGATCAATGTACACAGTTGGATCGTGGTGTATCGATCTAGCATCAATGTTAATGTTCCAGCCTTTCTTGATTTTAAATCCTATATAAGTAATTATATTGTAATTTTTGTCCTTTTAATTATACAAAGTAGTACATTGGCATGCATATAGAAAATTATATAAAGGAACCTTCAATCACACAGTCCTCAAGTGCTACTCTTGGCAACCACTGTACTACGGATGCCATCCTTAACGCTTCTTTTACGACCTGTTTGTGAGCAGTTAATTTAAGAGAAGCAAGTCTTGCCATGCACAAGCTGGTTCAATTCTAGTACACATTGCATATAAAGGAAATAAAACAGATAACACACACCTTAGAAGCATATGGCATCTCATTAAGAGCCTCAAGTGGAAGATACACATTTTTTGTCCCTTTCTTCTGAATCTGAAGCTGCTCCTTCTGTTTAGTTAACAAAGTACAACATTTTAAGTACCTAGGACATAAGAGTGTTAAAACAACAAGGCAAAGACAAAACCAAGTAGGAAAAAAAAATTCACTGACCATGAGCGTATTAAAAACCTCCCGATTCTCGTCCACATATTTAATCATCCATGTCATTGCATTTGCTATTGTGTCTTGTCCTGCAATTTCGAACTTGATATAGCAAAAAAGCATGTGCATGCACATCATATGTGGGGGGTTTTAATATACTAATTGAAATTTACCTGCAATTATCATAGTCAAGATATTGTCTTTGATCTCTCTATCTGTTAGCCTTGTGATTTCATCCTCGTTTAGTTTATCATCATCTTCTTCTAGAAGTTGTTGAAGAAAATCTGCCTGGTGAGTTGCAATTCCACTTCTTCTTTCACTTATATCTTTTTCCAATATGTCCATAATTTTTTTTCGAGCCTACATTATCACGTAAAAGTTAGAACTACCATTTCAAAGTCTGTTTCAATGTTATATGCACGATCGAAGGAGTTTCTCACCCAATGGCATCTAACATTGTGATGGGTAGTCAACATATAGAAAAGGTGTTCTAAACGTACAGATTTCTTAATAAGAAATCAAGGTCACTCAGGTAATGGAACAGACATGATTTGTATATTTACCTCAAGGCCTTTATAAAATCTGGTCCAGGGTAATCTCACAGGCAATGCTAGCATTGCTTCGCACAAACGACCAACCTCCTTTTGCATAATCGCTAATTCGTCGCTACTCTCAATGCTTGTTAGCATTTTGCACATCGCCTTACAAGCCAGCTGCATTACAGACATTATCCGTGTGTTTGAATTTAAATTTAAACCGATTTGTTACTGAAAACTAAACTTGCAACACTTTGTTAAGGAAGTAAGAGATTGATGTAAAGGTAAAAATAAAAAAGAGTGAGAAGATTTCTCTTATTTTATTTATATGAATAGAAGAGAGGTAAAAAGAAATACATAAGTTTTATAAAATTTTATTTTTATTTAACCAGAAAAATCATAATCCCTAATTTATTAATAAACAAATATTTATATTATCTTCAACTTTTTAATTATCTAATATTTTTTTTAATATTTCCTCAAACCATCGGGATTCTCACCATTAAAAGAGAAAAAAAATTTAATTAAAAAATGAAAGAAATCTTTCATTAAAAACGATAGAATGAGAGGTTTCATCTCTAAACTTGGAATGCAACGTTTCACTCCTAAATCGTTCTTTTCTAATTCTCTCCTCCCTAATTCTTTCAATCTAAATAAAATGTATTATGATAAACTTAATTCTTATTCAATCTTAAAAAGGTTTCTATAATTAATTCATATGGTTATTAAAAATTTAAACCAGAATGAACAATTATTTTATAAAAAAGAAATATTAATTACACTTTCATTTGATTTCTTGGAACATATGTGTATACCTTGAGTGCTTCATCTTGTATGACGACAACGGATCCACATGTCCAGCTAGTCATAGCTTCAAGAACGAGTGCATCAAACAGTTTAACGAAGGAGGACAAGGAATCAGTTGAGAACAAACTTAAGAGACGATTACGAATGAGTTTGTGATGCTGTTGTGGAGCGCAGAGCAAGCTATCGGGTCCAACGAGCTCTGCCATTGATTTTATGTACCTCTTTGAGAATTTCCCTCCCTCGTTGTTTAGAATCGCTTTTGCTGACTCCCTGCTCGAAATAAAAACGTGCGTTTCCCCAAACAACTTTGTCTTGAAGCAATTTCCATACCTGACCAACTCTCCATTACTATTGTCATTTGTCAACTAAATTAAAATTCTTCATCAATCATTTGTCACTTTTTCTCTCCCGTCCATGTGTTTTATCAATGATAAAAACTTTAACATATACAATTACAGGTGTTTATATATTGAGTTGATTCACACACACACAAGAAAACTTAATAATATATTTCAAAGTTGAATCTTGGAGATGAAAGGAAGAGCAAATAAATATTTCAACTCAAGCACACTTGTTTCAATTACATTTATTTGGTAGGTTTATCTAAGTTATTTGCCTTCATTTTTTAAATGGATTATTGAAATTTTATTTTTAAAAAAATTAATATAATTTTTAATACAATATTTTAATTTATTAGTTCACTCAAGATGAGATTATTTAATCCACAAAATAACTTAAACATATCCTTATTTGATTAAAAAAAATTTACTCTACTTTAAAAATAAACATACTTAAGCTTTTTTTGTTAGAAAAATGTTTGATATAATACTAAAAATGATCCCTTTATATTGTAGTTATATTTTTATGCGATGTGTATCCAAAAAGATAAAAATTAAAAGATATAAAGATATACAATATTATACATTGCATCAATTTTTAACTATTCGAATATCGAAATTTATTTGCTTATACTCGTAAGTGTTACGTCAACAGTAAAGACAGTGTGTTTTGAACATGTAGTTGTGATCGGCTACATATGAAGGACAAAACCAACAAGGATAACACTGAGACAAAAGGAAAGGATTTGTTACCGGTGGCGGCGAACTCGGACAAATTCGTAGACTCCTTTGCTGCTGTTGATGGCAGCCATGAACTGAAGTGTCTCTCCAACAAACGGTAATCCTCGATTTCCCGGAGGAATGCCCACACTGGACTTGTTGTTTTTGCACCAAAACGTCCACGCTTTTTGACATGATAAAAACACCAATAAGACACCAACATAGCAACAAATGTAAGGGTGCTCCTTTACCAATTGGGAAATCATTTTGGTCCCTCTCCTCTCTCCTTTGGTGGGGAAATATATAATATATCACGTTGAATAAGCAACACCACTAGTATGCTGCATATTTATACTAAAATAGATTGGCAACAAGTGTTCACGTGAGAGGGACGAGTACGGTTTAGAAAGTTATATGATATGGCCGACACGTACCCGAGTATATTTTGAAACGTTGAGGCTTCCACTTTGAAATTGAAGTGGTACAATATCAAGAGATATTTCTTAACTTGTCTAATCATCTTGATTATAAGATATTCCGCCGCCATTTACTAGTGGTTATACATTGTTAACGATCAAATTAACTTGGGCTAGTCATGGTCATGAGTATTGATGCCATTGTTGACGGGCTTAGGCTAGCTATTGGTCTAGAATCTAAAACCATCATTAACTTTTTTTAAATTCTTGGTGGACACCATAATTTTAGTCTTATTTATTTGTATGTATGTAATTAAGTTAACGGTGTGGTTCATGTTTTGCTATGTCCTTTGTTTTATTGGAGGTACTCATCATGGCTTTAGTTGGTGTGTTGCCCCCACGGTTCATTTTGGTTGTTGTTGGCGATTGATTTCTTCTCTACATGGGATCAAATTCAATCACCCATCCCTCATGCGTGACGTCCAAAGTCCAAAGCAAAGAGCATACCTGAAGCATGAATAAAGGTGTTATGCAATTTCGTGAAATGTTATTTAGACATGACTTAAGAAAACATTATGCACAGCAAATATCTAGAAATTAATACAGTGTAATCCAAGATAGAACTAGTTTTGGGGCGTAAGAAGAGACTAAAACATCAATGATATATCTTTCAATAAACTAAATCACATATTCAATCCAACCAAAACTTTAAGATATATATTAATGTATGAGTATTTATCACTTACATTTTACTAGAGCCCTCAACAATAATCCACTACGTGAGTCAATGCTCATTTTAACTTTGTACTCAACCCTTCACAATCCACCACGTGAGTTAATGTTCTCTTCAACTTTGTATCACTACTTATTTTTTCAATAATACAAATGGGTTTTCACTTGGAATGGAGTCAACCATGACTCAATGAATCATTCTGAAAGTCAACTCCACTAAGCTTCATAATCCTTCTTCTTTAACCAAAATGAACGAGCCTTCTTTTTTAATCTTCATCAAGAATATTTAGTTGAGGAAATTCAAACAAATTATTAACAAGTACCGTGAACTTCTGTAGAAAAGCCGATACAGACTCCTATTATATCCAGAGCACTAATTTGTCGAGGAATTCATGCCCGTAGGATATACTTTAGTCTGAAGAGCTTTATTGGCAATTTAAGATTCAGCCACTGAAATTAATATGAAGTTTAACGCAACGAGTGCAGTTAAAAGTTTAAACTACATAAAACGATGAGTTAATCAAATGTTAAGATGTAATCGAATCACATGTAAGAAATAACATATGATTGACTCATAATAATTGATCATCTTATTCCTTACCATTTTCTTTAGAGAAAATTTATAAAGGTTGATGTTTCTTTTAATTTCATGTGATGAGAATTAATACAATACAGTAAAAGAAATTTTTAGCTGAAATTGCAATAAATTGAAATTCCAGGGTTAAAAATACCACTCATGTCCAATTTATTTCTAAAAATTAGTGAAGCAGTTTCAATGTCGTTAATGTGTGTATGTTTGGGATCCAAATGTGGTTGAAATATTGAAATTAGGCAATAAGAAGGCAAAGTATTATGTTGGGTTGTTGGGAGTTTTTGGGCCATACTGAACGGTCCACATGAAAGCCCTGTGTAATTAGTTTTTGAGCTTCAATTGGATCGACCAAAATTGTGTAAATTACTAAATTTTATGTTACAGTTAAAGCAACGTGAAGAATCTGAGCCGCAATTACTGGAAGTGTGGGCAGTAGGCACCTGGTTTCCTCTGACTGAATTATATAGTTCTTAGGTATTTGAAATTCTTTCTCTGATTGATTTGGAGCGTTCGATGAAATGCTTGAATGATCATCATTGTTTGATTTCAGGCAAAAGTTATTGGATGGAGGTGATTTTAAGGGAAAAGGAAGCAGCAGAGTGGGTTTACAGAGGCGAAGGAGCTGCTAATCTTGTTCTCGCCTACACCGGGAGTCCTTGATCGGCTCCTGGAGGTTTAGAAACTTGATAATGTTGACATAGAAGGAGCCATCCATGCATATTTTGACATTACTTGTCAACAGTGCATGGTATGCAGAGAATTGAGTGAAGAACAACTGAAAAGATATACCTCTTTGCATTCTGCCTCATTGGATGCAAGCTTGAGAATTGTAAAGGACTACCTGATAGCAGCAACTGCAAAAGACTGCAGTTTGATGATATGTTTAAGACCAAGGAAAGAGGGGGATTCTGGATCTGTATGCAACAATTATCTTGAGAGTACTAAGCAAACCTTCGATGTCAAGGTAGGAAGGCCTTCACAATTTTATTATTTGTTTATTTATTTTGCAAAGTTAGAAAGTGCATTGCATGATTCATTTGGGAATGGTGTTGGTTTTCAAAAGCTGCCATCCTGTAGGTGCGGTTAAAAGCTACTGTAAAAGGTCTTTCAGGAATTTGTTTGATAAAAATGATATAAAATCTTCTGTGAATTACACTTCAATAAAAACAAAAGTTGTTTTTCGGTCCATCAACTCATTCTAGAATGAATGGATCAGTGGTGAATGACAAAGTGGCACGTCGTGTAATAAAATACATCAGGTTCTTAACAATAAATATACTAACTAAAAAAATTTAAATTGATAACACTTAAATAAAAAACTAAAATTAAAACAAAAGTCTGAAATTTTTTTAGTCTCTCTGCTTTCTTACTTGGGGCCTCTCTCATACGTCCCTTCCTTCTCATATTGTCTCCAAAGAAAGGATGCCATTGAAAGAAAAGCAGCAGATTGAAAGATTTTATTTTCAATTGCTGCAAAGAGAAACTCAGTCATCATAGCAAGGAAATCAAACAAAAAGTAGATCCATAGGAGTGAAGTTCTTAGTATAACTTTTCCTGTTATGTTGGAGCATTGATATAGAGATTGACCAAAGCATCCTCATATAGCATATGTTCTTGATATTTGCTAATATGATGATTTTCATTCACTCAATGATATAGATAAACTCTTACAAAATGAAGAATTATTATGCAGAATTTTTGCTATATGTTTCATCATCATACATCCTTTTATGCTATATGTGGCGCCAATGACGGTGGGACAATTAGGATATGTATGAATTCTTCCTCATGCACAAACACACATCTTGTGAACTAGTTGGTCCTCATGATTTCATGAATATCTTAATTATATGAAACAAGTTTAAATTATTGCCTCCTTTTGCCGTGAATATGACCGTACATTATTTCCACTGTTAATGATTCTATTCTCTTTATCTTTATGAAACAAGATTAACAACTGTAATGCTTGTTACATTTTATATCTTAGTTTAACCGCAAGTTGATCTATATTAGGTATATTTTATTGACTTGGATTTGAAGCGAATGAGTAAAATGGAAGAATATTATGAATTAGATCAGAAGATAGTGAGCTACTACAAAGAAATGGTCAAAATGGATCAAAGAAGAAACTCACACACTTGCAAGCATCACAAACAGCACACTCAGATTTAGTAGGCTCTGTTATAAGATGCACTTGAGGAAGATTGCATTGGTAAGTATGAGCAATTTGATAAACACTATTCTATCCTTCAGAAGCTTTTTGTATGCAAATCTTAAATTGGAACTTGTATTGCGCTTCATATAACCTGTTCCATGCATTTCTACTTTCAATTTCTGTATATTATAAACATACAGATTTCAAGTGCTTTTAATTATTAGATAATTTTTCATCATGTTGTTTCAGTTTCAAATTTTATGCTTAAGAAAAGAAAATATGTTGTTAATAATATCAGATACCTGCTGTTCTGAATTAGTTCCACTAAATTATCTTACAGTAACTCTCAGAATTAGTTTTAGCTTCGCAAACTTCATTATCATTGTTATCTGCTAACTTCCCGGTGTAATGCAGTAAACAGTACTCAGAATCCGTGACTTCAGCTCAGATATGATTTTTCCTTTGGTCAGCCCTTTTTGGCCATGGTTTGACTGATGATGTGTGTGCTGTACATTGAGTTCGTGAGCCGTTTCAAGGTTTTTCCTCTCTCTCTTTCTCTATTTTCAAGGCACTCTCCCTTATTTGTTTATTATCTTAAATTTGAGTAATACAAAAGGGAAGGGACATGGATAAGCTGCATTCACAGTGGATCATGCTGTTTCCAGTACGATTGCACATTCCAATCAAAGCTCATCTACTGGTCTGACAATTTCATGTGCTATTTTGACCCCGATAATTATTTTTTTGTTTCAAGACTTCATTTTCTTTACTAATTACAACTTTGTAGACCAGTCCTTATGGAATATTGATATATCATAAACCATGGATTGATTGAACCATCTGTTTCTCACTTGAGGTTAAGTAATATTAAAAATAAAGCAGTCACCACTACAAAGCCTGTTGATATCAGAAATTGATGCTTGATATGTCTTAAGGAAAATGCTAGAGATCATGAATAGCCTTAGCATACTCGTTTCCAGAATGAGCTGGCTTGCTATTAAGCACCTTCTCCTCCCCCATCTAAATGGATATTAAATATACTAAATATGAGAATCTGCCCAATGTCTAGTGTTTTCTTACCTAACGATGGGTATTGAAGACTGCCTCAGCATCGGCAGGAATCCAGAATCCAGAATCCAGAAGTTAATTATCATCAACATAAGGTAATTCAGATGTGGTCTTGTTGAAGTACAAGTGCAAATAACAGTTTTTGTGAAAAAATCTAGATATTTTGTTTTAGTAAATTCATAATTTATGTATGTCTTTTTATTTCATTGAATTTGAATAGTCAACTTCATTGTATTACTTTAGGGGGGGAAATGCCAATAAAAAGAGGTTAATTCAAAATGGAAAATGTTTGGTGGCAAAAATCAAAATATAAAGGTGAAAAAAAAAAATCAAAGTACAATTAATTGTAATTAGAAAATCAAAATTAAATAAATATGAAATGATTTGTATGCAAGTGCTTGGGTGTAATTATTCATTTCCAACACCCAAACACAATAAAACACTGTTCAAATGAAGTCTAGTTCTCTCTGACGAATGTTATTTAACATCATCATGCTTGTAAATAGAGACACGACCAATGTAATTTTTTACATTATTACACACATCATACTTAGGAAGTAATATGATACCCCCACTGAACGACTCCACCATATATAGGAAGTATATCTTCACCGCCAAATCTTTCTCTGCTTTACAAATAGATTGAACACACTTCTTGAGAATTCCTACGTATGATGGTATCTAAAAGTTGACTTTTTTTTTTCTTTTTACAAAAAAGAAATCCAAACAAAAATGCAAATACGTTTGACTTGCCTTGGATTTCCCTTTATTCTGACCGTCTATATAAGCAAGAAGTTCTTCTTGTCTCATCAAAGCTTCGAATAAAGCCTGTTTAGGAAGTTAAGGTTTAGGATTGAAGCATGTATATATACCTTCTTGTCTAAACAATGACGTAGAAAATATAAACCCGACATTGGAAGCATATATAGATACCTTCTTGGTAGAAATCAGCTCTGCTTCCAATGCATCCACACGATAAATTGCAGCATTCAGCAGCTCCTCTTTCTCATGTGGCATCACATTAAGATTTGACTGTAGCGTGTCAACTTTCTCTTCAAGCTCACCAAGGCGTTTTAAGGTAGATGATGGAAGATTTTCCTTTGTGAACCCGGGAACAGGTGAAGGAGGACGAGATTCCTCCTTGGATATTGAATCAGATTCAAAGTCCCGTATTCCTTTAGTGAAACGAAACGCTATTGAACGAGCAAAAGTAAAAAGGGCCAAAAAGAAGCCCGCTGGTACAATCATCAGGAGATTTTTTAGTACTCAAGACAAGTATTTTTCTGCAATCAATTCTAAGTAACATAATTTTCTAGGATGCCAAGAATTTTGAGTACCTACCTAATATTTGAATTTGTTCATTTATCTAGATTTATTTATAAAATTATTAATCTTTAATCATAAAGAAAAATTAATTTTCACATGCAAGTGTTTAGACAGTTTCGTGTATTTTTCTTCTGGGTGATGGGCAAGTACAAATTCAATGAACTCAAACCTGTAATGTGTGTGTGCGTGTGAATCACAATTTTGTTGAAAGATAGTGATTGAATTGTAAATTTCAGTTTTTCAATTTCTTTATATTTTTGGTATGTCACGTATAAATGACAGATATTTAGATAATGTCACTGTGGGTCATGTTCAACGAGTTCAAGAAAAAAAAAATGTCTATATCTCCACCCTGCAGGCTTAATAATGATCATCTCTGTTTCAGTAAATAATGATGGCATATCAAAACGAATAATTGTTCGTAAATCATGTAACCTGTTAAGCCAAATGACTTTTGAGGTGTAGATTGCTGCTCCTTCGATCCAACAACATCAACGGCCTTGTCAACCATGGGAACATACTCATCATACTGAGCATGACTAGACTTACCAACCAATCTTACCTGGATAAACATAAAGGCAGTTCTACTTAGCTCATTGCAACATTTTTTTTAATTGTAAAATCAAGATCAATCTCATGATCACTCACTTCTTCTTGGACAGGAGTTAACATAGGGCTTATACAATTCCCACTTGCTTTGGGAGAAACTATATCCTCAACTTCTGATCCTGATTCTCCTGCAGATGTATCACTACCTCTTATCTGTTTTCTCAGAAGTCCAAAGGAAGATAAGATTATTATTATTAAGATCTGAAAGTTCTAAACTTCTCATCATGCAGTGTTCAAGATGGTATTAGAAACTGTACCATTGAATAAGATGTCTTATCACATTCGATCACCCTCCCCCCTTCGTTAGAAACTGTTACTATTTGTTTAGAACATCCCACTTCACCACTAAGAACCATCTGCATGCCCACAACTAGTTAAGTCACAGTCGCAGTAAGATGCAAAGCAGAACTGAAAACATGAGAGAATTAATTAAAATTTAGTGAATAATGAAGTGTATATAATAATTGCTTGTGAAGTGGAAAACCTTTAAAATGTTGGGATCTTGCCATGGTCCTTTATCAGACCTCATACAACCACCCTGATCTACACAAGTGCACCTACCCCCAAGAAATTCTGGCAGCTCACTGAAAACTTAAAGAGTTGGTCAGAATTTTCAAATAACAATAGAAGTTGATAAATAATTCCATTAATAGAATTAATTGAGTTACCTCTCATCGATAATCTCAAGTAATTTACTCTGGAACTTGTTTCCAAGAACCTAATGGATCATTCAAGTATTAATTAATCCAATACCTATAGATTATCTCCGAGTGAAAACTATAGAATAGAAGGTAATTAATTGCTTCAATTGAATTCTGTAGAACTCTAAAACATAGACAATACTCATAACAATCAACACTTACATGAATCTTTGAAGTAGTTCTGGGATCAAGAAATGTCTTCACCGTGTTCCAGAGCATCTTAAAACCAGGACCAGCATTAATGATAAACATTTGGCAGAGTGTCTGCACAGTGTCATTTAGAGACTAGAACTTAGAACCACAGCATGAACAATAAGAAAATTCTGAAAGAGCCACCAAAAAGGTGATGATTAAACCTACATACTTCAGGATAGAAATCACCATCAATCTTCTGCAGCCTGGTGATGAGTTCCCTTGCAGACTTGGTTAGGTTTTTGAAACCCTATAAAGCAAAAGACAGCACAGTATTATAAACTCCAATCTAAACTTCAGAGTAACTTCAAGTTAAAACGGTGTCTGGAAAAACTTTCAGTGGCCATGTAGACAGAAAACATACCACGCCTTGAACATCCAAAATGGTTGTACTTGAATCTATGTGTCTCTTAGCAGCTATAGAGCAAGCTGGAAACTTAACAGAAAATGCTTTCTCAAAGCCCTGCACATGGTATCTCAAATACCTTTCGATGGTAGTTACTTGCATAAGCTTATTGGCATCAACTTTTCCCAGCCTCTCAATATAAACTGGCCTTCCTTCCTTATCTACACCATGATAACCATGTGGATAGTACTTCAGGACTTCATCCAACTCCTCAAATTCAAAGTCCTAAGAGTGGAAACCGTAGTGTAGTATGTATGAACACCAAATTTGAAAAAAAAAATGTTCAGATTATCAAATTAAACATGATTTACTAAAGAAGGAAACCAAACAAAAAATGGATATATTATTGAATCAGATGGTTCACCTCTAAAATTGTATCTGTACCATATTCCTTCCTCCATTGGATCATGTTAGCCCACATGTGCTTTGCTTTCTCAATATCAAACTTTCTTGCTTTCAAGAATCTGCAATAAACCAGTTAAATTTAGTTTAAAGTTGAATATTATTAATTCTAAAATTTTAAATATAATTGAAATGTGTACTTAAATAAATCTAAACCACATATTTTGATTGAAACGTGTGTTTTATCATTTAACAGTGTAAGAATTATTCTGTAAATTTTTAAAACAAAAGAGCTTAAATGTGGGTAAGAATGCACGACATTCATCATTCATGCACATGCTTGAAGGAAACTAAATAGTAAGGTATAACGGTTTGTAACCTCAATAGCATATGATAGTCATCATGGATTGGAGGCAGCATGCTGTCTAACACAAGTGTGTGTCGAAATGCATCAACTGCTTGAAGGTCCTTAACATCGCGAACATCCTCAATGGAAAGGGAAGTGCTTCGGCTAACACTTTTTCGGCTTTTTCTCTTCTTAAGAGAATGCCTGAATTTGCTGGACGCGTTTAATGCTTTCTTCTTTAGGCTTCCAATTCTTGTCCACTTATCATCCTCTGAATTATTATTCTCAATAACCGATTTCCTCTCTCTTCTTTCATCCAATCCTTCAAAGCCTAATAAATAATGAAGTTTCGAATACTAATTTCTTGTCAGTATCCAATCCAATCCATTCCATTCCATTAATTCAACCACGACACACAGCTCATAAATTAAACGTTACATAATGAAAAAGAAATGAAATCTTGATACAAAATTTCAACCAAGAAAATACTGAAATAACAAGAAATTCAATGAAGAAAGCGTGGCAAAGAAAAAGAAGCGTTAAAGAATTGGATAGGGTTTACTTACAAAGGTTGGTAGACATGTGAACGAAGATAGAAGTGGCAGTGAAACACAAAGTAGAGTCAATGATAAAATTAAACAAAAACGTTGGTTTTGAAGTGAAGGATAGGAAGGTTATGGTCAATCCTTTTCCAAGTATCTGTTGATGTAGCAGACACAGAGAGTGTCGGCAGAAGCAAAAATTAATGCAATGGTGAAAACTGATAGAATGTTATATTTTCTATATTCTGAAAGACTAAGGGAATTGAATGCAAAACTCATACACGAATCTAATTTTGTTGAGCAATGATATATTATATGCTTCGCCTCACACTTCTAAATAATGTGTATGAGACTTCATTTTAGAGGGGTCGTTGCTACCTTATGCGTTGGCGTTGTGGGGCTCTTCATTTATTAGCTGACCATCAACCCCTTTGCCGCCAATTTACCTCCCTCTTCAACTATTTCTTGTTTTTTTCCCTTTTTAACTCTAATTATTTAACAGAGTAGATGAACTCAAGATCACACGTTAACATGAAACAACTCATTGTCAGTTGATTTACGCCTTCGATGATATTCAGTGTTTATACTATTTACTTATTGAATAGTTAATATTAAATTAATTTTTAATGCGATTTTTCAGTTTATTATTATTAGATAAATTTTATATAATTTTTTTAAATTGTTTATCATGTTACTCTTTAATTTGAGAAGACATTATATATTTTTTAGATTGATGATCTGTGATTCTTTAATATTTAAGAGATTAAAAGATATTTATATTTTTTAATTAAGTAAATTTTATTTAACGATAAATAATATGTCATTAACATATAAATGTTCTAATCAAATTTAGGCATATGTAAGATAAATTAGAATACATTAAAAATTATAACAACAAAATGTCATGTTTAAATTTGGTATCGTTATAATAATAAAAAATGCATAAATAAAAAAATTAAATATGATGAATCATGTATCTTAAAAATTTTATTCAGGTGTTTTAAGGAAAGTGAGACACCATTCCAATTGCGGAAAGTTTAATTCCTTTTACATGTTGGGTCTATTCAAATGTCCCTTTTATCTTCTTTTCATGTTATGCATGGCAAAGAAATATAATATTCAATTGACCCTTGAAAAAATTCATTCAATCTAAGGTAGTCTTTAAAAAATATATCACAAAATAATATCTCAAGATTATAAAAATGAGAGGTTTTTCTCTTTAAATTTTTTTATATTCAATACATAATTAGTCTCTAAAAAAAAATTATGCATCAATTTAGTCTTTAGTAAAACTATTATTAATTTTAATTGGTCCCTGAAAATATTAACACATATGAATAGAAATCCTATGGTTCGCAGTTAGTACAAGACTTTGAAATAACTACATTCACCTCTTGTTCAAAATCCTATGGTTCGCAATTTTACATTCATGTTATAAAGAAAGAACAACTTTAAGGGCTTTCCTTGATACTATAGGCCAATCGAATTTTCAATGCTTAGTAGTTAAAGCCAGAATGATATTAGCCAAAATAACAATGTTAATCTAAGTCCCCACAATTTATTTATTTATTTTCCTTTTCCTTTTCCTTTTGCTATTTTATTTTATTTTTTTTCAATCCCCCAAATGTTCTTATTCCATTTTCCATTCTTCTACCATCCACTTCCTCGTAGACCCCATTGGCGAATCACCATGCGACCGCACTAAACGATTCCTTCGCCAGGCCCACTGGTGAGCTTAATTTTGTAATATTCAAGTAGTTTAAAACATATTATTAGTATAATTTTTAAATTAATCATTATAAAAATCAAATTTTTTTACTAATATAAAAATCTATAATTAAATGATAATGTAAAAAAATTATACATCATCCTGAAAAATATATTATTAGTATAATCTATAGTTACAGTTTTGCCATATAATTTTTTGAGGTACAACGAATGCTCATAATTTCCCGTTAAACCCATGCATCCTGAAACAATTTTATGGACTTGTAGGTTAGTTGCATCTATCAACATGCTGTGGAGTTTATAATGAAGAGTTTGATCTCTGCTCACCCAATTTCTTTACTAGATTTCAGTAGAAGAAAAAACTATCGCATGAATATCCGTTAAATCCATGCATCCTGATAAACGAAGTTGATAAAAGTGCCTTAAAAACATACAAGATGTTTTTATATATATAATGTTGTTTTAAAAACTTTCACACTTATATGTGGGTTGTCATAATATTTAACAAGTTTAATATTTCATAGAGTTATTAACACATTTATTAAATGATGCATCAATATATGAAAACTGGGTGGAATCAAACAAGAATACAAAAAGAACTTTCGGTAGGCTTTGAATTGTTCCTTATACTTTAGGCTTATTTTCTGTTTGTGAAAATAAAGAACTTTCGGTAGTTGATGTGCGAGCAGGGCTCTTTTTGAGTGGGAATATGAGCTAGTATTAGGGATGGAAAAACTGAAAAGGATAGTGGATCATATTCTGCAAAATCACCCTATATTCTCCCTTTTCCACCGCTTTTCTAATTTGTTTCTTCACCTCCAAATCCATCTTTTAAATTGTAGGGGCATGTTTTAATTAACCCCGCCTAAGGTCTTGGCATTTGAATGGTTACTACTTCTTGACAAGATACCTTATTGGTTGAACTTTGCAAGGAATTTTATTGTTGATTCGAAAGACTTGATGTGTTCCTTTTGTAACCAGATATATGCACGAATCTTCATATCTCATATGTTTTTTTTTACTCTATTTCCTCATCACAGGTTTGGCACAACACTTTTAGTTGGTTGGGATTTGAATATGTAATTTGTTTATGTATTCAAGGTTTTTTTTTTCTTTTGTAATGAACTCAATATATCAAGTTTTATGATAAGGTATAAATGAAATTTGAATTATCTAAAGTAAAACTCACTTTAATTAAAGATTATAAAAAAGGTCTCTCAGACATTTACGCAAAATATGATTTACATTTATTAAAAAAAGGTAATATTTATTACACTTTTAATTACTTATCTTCAATTCTAAGAGTTGAGTTTACAATTGTATTTTATCATGATAACTTTTTCATAATTAATTAAACCTACAAAAGTAACCTTGGGTCAAAATTAAATTCAAAATCATGTTAGCCCTAACGCTACAAGAAGATTTGAATATATGGATCAAAGCTGCTGTCCTTGACTCTTCATTAAACAGATACAATCGGATTTGCATGGTTTTCTTAATACTACTATAACAAGTATTAAGTTTCATTGATTGATTAGTTCATTTTAATTCAATAAGGTACTATATTAAGTTTGCTCCATTTAATTTGGCTGTTGCCACACCATACGACAATGGCACGAGACAGAGACCTCGACTTCTAAGATCTTGCTTTGGTTCTTTATTTGCATCGTCTATGGTTGAACCCTGACATTATGAATATGTATATAACGTTAACGGCATGCCGAATAACTGAATAATGAGTATAATGCATCGTGCTTTTAGAGTACGTGTTTGTGGCCTAATATTCTTCAGTTAAAGCTTGTTAAACGATGATGCAGATGTACATGTGCATGTGCATAATATAATATAAAATTCCATACCCCTTGCATCATTCTGTTGGTCTGGTTCTGCGATGACTTCATGTATGGAACGCTTAGTGTCTGTACAGTGAAGACTGTGTAAGAATCAAGTCATCCTTCAAATATAATTAGCAGTCGATCATATAAAATTCTTGTGTTTATTTATTCCTAGTGTTTAACAAATATTACCTCCGCTTTTTCACTTATCAATTTTGAAGAACTATTTTTAATTATCTATTATCTTAAAATTTTAAGATAGTATTAATTATATTTTTTTCAATATATCCTTAATGGAAAAGAGAAAAAATTATATATATTATATTAAATAGTAAACCAATAAATAAAAGAAATAAGTGACATATTGAAGAATTATAAAAAAATAATAATTTTTCATTAAAAAATTATTGTTTATTAATTTATTATTATTATTCTCCAATATACATTACAAATTAATAATTTTAAATAAAATTAAGAGCTTAATTATATTTCTTAACCATCATGATATAATCTTAAATAATCAATAAAAAAGTATAAAAGTATTTAAAAAAGATAAGTGTTAATAATATTGGTTAATGAATAAAAAATAAAAAATATTATTAATACTCTCTCACGCTATGATTGTTAATATATTTTAACATAATTTTTATGAAAAGTTGTTTGTTAATTTATTAACTGACACTTAAAGGTATTACAGAGAGTGAGGTCCTTTTAAAAGAATACTAATAAGTGTTGCTATGCTATAAGGAATCATAAGTAGAATTTTTTTACAAAAAAAAAAATGTTTCTAACACATTTTATCATAAATTCTAATGCAGTTTTATCGTATTCCTTGTTTCTTTTTATTTGTCTATCTAATTAATACTCAAGGCAGTATTAATTGATTATTAAATTTTAAATTATGTTCTTATTTCTACTTAATTTTTAAATATTTTACACACATTTATCATAAGTGAGGGATAAGTAATAATAAAATTATATCAGAAAAATAACAATAATTTTAATACAAATAAATTTATCAATTATTTTTCTTGATTTGTGTATTATCTTCCTAAATGGATAGATAAAAGAAAAAAATAAAGAAAATATATTTAATAAAAAAATTAATTATTAGTTAATTGAATTCCTACCTAGTTGCTAGAGTAGTGCTAACACTTGATGCATTTAAGAATGAAGAGTGTGGGTGATTCATAAGTCAACCAAAAAAGGAAGCATCAAACTATCACAATGTGGAACATATTAAGTACCTCGACTTGGCCTTGAAGGAATTTAATGTATCCAATAGCTTCCATGAGTACGGATGCCGTGTCCATCTGCAACATTATTCCACACACATATATGTAGTTTTCATTAACACGTAATGAATTACATAATTAATTTCAAAAATTAGAATGAGATTTCTACCTAGTAGACTTTAATTGCATGGGATCTCCCTCTTTGCGGTGTTGGTAGTAATATTTTTTAATGGCACTAATGACATTAAAGAGTAAAGTTGTATAATCAACATTCTACATGCCCTTACAAAAATTCATCACCATTATATTTACTTCTGAATTTATGCAATGTAACTGTTAAATTTTAAGATCGAACTCAATCTAAGTCCGTACTATAAAAATATTAGTGTTATTGTTTTATTAAAAATATTTAAAATAATTTAGATTTATAAATCTTTTATTATATTTTTTTATCTTTCTAGTTTTAACTGATGTGAGAATTTTTTTTAACAGCAACTGCAATTCTTTTTTTCAATTGCATAAATTTAATTGGCTTAGATGTGTTTATTATCTGGCTCAACATTGAAGTGCGGTTCATGTATTAGTCAAACAATTACAATTGTGCTAAAACCTAGTTATAACAATTGGATTAAGTACAAACTTATGGTTGTGATAGTACTTTACCTTGCCAAAAGGAGCCACCAACTGCTGAAGAGCCGCAATCCTATCTCCTAATTTTTCTTTCCTAACCTGCACTCTTTGCTAAAAGTGTACTCAATGCAAAAGCATATTATCACAACCAAAGTTAATGGAACTTGCATTATTTTATGTACGACATTTATGATTAAGATTGAATTAAAAGCTGATACGAAAACCTTGTATATGTATTGTTGATCTAGACCCAAAAAAAAATCCACGTGTGTTGTTATTTTCAGTAGCGGAAACTTGAACATAATATATGTATTCAGAATATTGTAGGTTAGCTTATTTTACCAGTTCGAGAACAGTCAGGAGTTACTTTATTTATAATTGTGAATTTTGGATTAATTGCACATGTATCCTTTGACATTACACCCTTTATGCACTGAAAAAAAATGAAAAATAAGGAACCTTAGAGGGTGGGCATGAAGAGCGTGATTCCAACCGTGATTTCTTCGATGCTATTTGAGACTGAGAAGCCAATGACTCCATCAAAGCACGGGGTCTCTTTGTTTCTACCGTGCCACTGGTGAAGTGTGATGGCTTTTTACGCAAGCAAATGAAAAGATTAAATATCAGTCCAATAATAATTGAAGTGAGTGGATATTTTTAAAGAGAAAAAGAAGAAGAAAGAATCTCCAGAAAAGAAGATAACATCCATTATAATTTTAGGTGTATCTGATAGAAAAAAGAGAGAATTAAAAAAAAAAGAGTAAAATGAAATAGAAGAAAAAAAACGTTGTAAATATTAATGTGGCGTGATGGGGAAAAAAAAAAGGCAAAGAGGAAATTAAAAATCCTATTTATATATAATAGTAGTTAAAGATGTGTGGCATGATTGACAAGGGAGAATGTCTCGAATATGACATACGAGAAAAGACAATTTTCTTGTTGCCACAAGTTATGATAAAAACTTCAACGATAAAGGGTATCTACCTTTTTTTCGTTATCAAAACTTATCCGCTGGCCAGTCAATATCATTAATCAGTATCGTTAGATCGTTCTCATCTCTTATTGTGCGCGTGTGTGTGTGTGTGACGAAAAATTTTCAATTGAAAATTATGTTCATTGTATCCCAGTGAGTAACGCGTACGTAGAAATGGAATTATTCTCTCCATTCAACTAAAAATTATAACTGAACTATTAGTTTAATTGAATCATCAGGAGGAGGAGTAGATATGTGCAATCTTAAATTTGCAAAGAAAAGAAAAGAAAACACACACACACACACATCCAAATACTTACATTACTGGAGTTACTACGTGTGGACCTATCAGTGGGATATTGCATATGATGAAGACGAAAAGAAAGGTTGTCAACAAATCTACCAAGACCATGATCTTGTGAATGTTGACAGAACTCCTCACTTAATGATCTTGTTGAGGTTAATATATCTAAGGATTGCATGCTGCTATCCAAGGTGCTTGAAATTTCTGGGGAAGTAGATAAGTGATTCAAATTTGAGATGTTTATAGTGGAGTATATCTGGCTAAAGTTTCCTCTACTTGGTACACTAGTACCACCAACATTAGAATAATTTTGAGCACTGGTGTAGAAGTCTCCTGAAAAAAGGGCATTGAGCGAGAGCTTCTTATTCATATCTTTGTTCTCATCCTTCATCTGGTTTGGTGGTTGAGCAGCTTTCTACGTCGCTTGCCAAATGATGATATAACCTAAATCTTGGATCACAGAATCATATAGAACACTTGGAGGGACCCGAACACCATTCTTGTGTGGTAAGGCGCTTGATCTGGGATTAGCTTCTTGGATGTTTGTGTTGAAATTATCTGCATTACTATGTATATGTAAACAAGGCTAGAACTTAGAAAAAGACACTACATATTTACTTTAACATGAATATATGCTAGCTAGTGTACCTATGGGGAAGAAGATAAAGCCCTAGTCTAGCTAGTACAGTTATATACATGTCCGAAACACGCAAATGATGGTAGAATTACAACAATTAACGATCGTTATTTCATTGTTCATGACAAAATTATCGGTAGTTGTGATGCATTAATCATAGCATGAATTTTAAACCAAAATAATGAAAGTACAAAATCAACTCATGGGTGAACTGTGGGAGAAATTAAAACTGGATAAATGAGTGAAGTCTAGGAAGAATCAATTGTCGATTAGATAGTTTTAGAAGGGACTTACGAAGCAAGGTTTGGGATCCAAGAATGAGTGGTCACGCATAGGATAGGGTCAACAAAGAAAAAGCCTCAACAGCGGAGGTTGGTCTTGGAGGTGATAGAGATTGGTAGATTCATAATGACAACTTTTCTTATGATCTCGAAAGTAAAAGGAAAGGAGTTGATTGAAAATCCCAAGATAATTCTTTAGTGATTAGAAATTTACTATTTTTTCATGCTTAAATTTTAAGTTAAATTATTATTACTAATTATATGAACGTCTAAACAATATCATCAAATATGAAAGAAGCACTTTAAAATTATTTTCAAGCAGCACAGAAAGAGAACATTTCTCCTGTGTATTCAGAAGAAACACAGTTCCAAGGTGACACCCATATACCTCGCTGCCATTCTCCACTTTTCTCAGTTTTCCTCTTCACTCTTTCATGTTATTAAAGTATCCTTGAAAAGGAAAGAAGATATCATGAGAATTTCATCTCCATACCGACACACCCCCTCTACCAGTGGCTTTTAAATTATTTAACTTTCTTTCAGGCCAACTTCACTTTCTTTTGCCCCTTTTCCCTCCTCTTGCAGCTTTACGTGGGTAAATAATTAAATAAAATAAAGAAGTAATTTTGTCCTTTATATCTTCGCCACCACCACCCCTCCTTTTTTTAATTTTTGGTTACTCTTCAATCAAGTGCAATTTATATCCTTTCTGCAATTACAGGAAGCTGATTACAGTGTCCCTATTCCATGATTAAAAAAATCTCATCACTTCAATCCCAGGGCTTTAAACAGGATAAGCTTTGCTATTGGAAATTATAACAACCGAGCTTGCACTCTCTCATGTTCAGGATCATCAAGGGTCTCCCGTTTTTTGCTTTCGCTTGTTCTGCACAACCGACACCAGCTGCTCTAGCTCTCCGTTTAATAAAATTTCTTATCTATATAAAACACATCATTGAAACCCTCACAACATAAAAAAAAAATCTGTGTCGAGTCCCTAGTAAAAGCAAAATTTGTTGTAGAGCTTATGTTAACCATATGTAGATTGACACAGTAAAGTTTTACTTTTTACCAAATCATGCTTTCAATTCTTTTGGCAAGGTAAAATAATAGGACGAGGTATAATTAAGTAAATATGGAAAATTATTATGTTTCCATTATCTTGATTTTTATTTAAAGAAATTTATAACTTGTTAAATAAACTTTTAAAAAAGTTTTTATTAAAAATTAATCAATTAAAACCATACATTGTTTAGCCTTGAACTATAAAACATGATGTATTATATTGTTAGAGTAGAACAATTCTATTTTCCCTAAAGGTACGTAAACACCAACAAGGACAAATATAATAACTAAACATAACAACAACAAAAAAGAGTAATTAACCATTAATATATGAATTATTTTTAGCAGTTATCTCACTCTCCAAACCATAGAGAGCTAGAGTATACATGACGACGCTATGTGTCTTCATTCAGCAAAGGGAGTAATATAAAAATTTGCTGAGCCCCACAATAATTCGCATCAGACGAAAAAATGATGGAGAAGAATGTGAGATCAGAGTATGGGCAGCTTAGCTTTGCTTTTAGCACTTTTCTCCCCTTTTCCCTCTGCCATGTCCACCCTGACCACCCATCTAACATAATTATCAATATCTCTATTTATTTAATTTTAGTTTATATAAAAGTGAAAGAAAACAAGCATTTAATTTTTCCTTTCTTCTCTATTCACATCTTTATCTTTATCCTTATTCAGAGCATCATCATCCGTAAACCAATAGTTTCTCAATAAGATATATGTTAACTAAGATTTTTTTTAGGAGTGTATTTTGAATAAAGAAAAGACTCGTGTGATATTTAACTGTATTTGAGAGTTTTTAAATAAAAATTAAATTTATAAAACTTCTAAAACTATCATAATTTCATATTTATAAATTTTTTTAATTTAGATAATTTTGTATTAACTTTTCACCATCAACCCTTCCCTATATTCCCATACCTTTAAAAAAAATGACTCTCGTTCTAATCTCTAAAAAAAAAGCTTAAGACACTACTCCATCCACCCCCTCGATTAATATATATTTTTTACTCTTAACGATTATGACTATGAGGTATGAGTGATAGAGACACTACCGAAAAAAGTAAAAATTTACACGATTGGCTTGCGGTTATAGCTTCATGTTGGAGTAATTTTGCAGCTCTATATATCTGTCTTTTGAAGGCTATATAATAGGCGTAGGCTCCATCTTATGTTTTTATTTTGTAAAAAGAGAGAACGATAGCGACGTCAATTATTAATTTCACTCGTGCATTCGATTTCCTATTTGGATAAGACCTATTCCATCAATGGCAGTGTCATAAACCCCACTGTTTCCGATTTATAAGCGAAATCTCAGTGGTGCACTTCAGATAAATTAAAAAAGGTGTACCATAAAATTCTAGTAATAATTAAATGAGATTCGTCGATGGAACCCAAGATCTACCTATTTGGACGTGATATCTGAAGGAAATTTCGATGAGACATTGAAATGAATTTGCTTAAAAGGCTCAAGCTCGGAGTGACTTGTACACCACTTTCTTTAGCAAATAAATTGGGATTCACGGGTCATCGCATTTGCTGAATAAATCCAATATTCGAGTTTCTTTTCTTTTATTGATCAAACAATATTCAACTTTGTACATTGCATATGTTTTTGGTTCAAATGCACTGCTATTTTTATACTTTTTTCCGGGTTGTTATGACTTTGCAAATGCCGAAATAGCGAACAGTGCAAGGATGAGCCCAATTGAAAAGTTTAAATGGACCCTTAATTTTGTTTAAAATATGGGCCCAAGTAGGAAAATGTTTGTCCACAAAAAAAAATACATCATTAATTTTTTTATTTTTTACACATATATATATAAAGATAAAATAAATTATATATAATATTACACACCATTTTTAATGATTCAAACAATGTTCTCTTCAGTATTTTAAGAAGCCTGCTAGAAGGAAAAAAAATGCCTAAAAGAATGGTGCCCCTACCGTCCACCCTACACCAAAAAAAGAAAAACATACAAGACGTGAGACATCAATCAGCCTCCTTTGTTACGTTTGTGATGCCTTGAAAAAAAGACGTTTGCGATGTATGTTATATGTTAGATTTCAAAAGATTTTGATTCTTTTTAATTTTTGAGTAATAAAATATCAAATGTGACTTTTCATAAAATATCTATTTGACAAATTAAAAACTATAAATATTGATATCAAGATAAACGGTGAAAAACTAATAAAATTTATTAGTTATATGTGAAGTGTATGTTTTACTCAAACAACATTAATTTATTTTGATTGTTTGTAGTTGCGATAATTAAAAAAGTTGAATTAATATTTGTTTATTCTATTTTTGATATAGCTTTTTCCTTGTTCATGTGAAATCCACGTGGGTATCAAATATTGATGACGCAATTAATTAGTTAATGGTTGTAAACATATGGAAGGGTCAATGAGAAATCGGGGGAAGAATGATGGTGGAGACGAGTCAAAGGCTAGTTGATAGTACTGCTTAAAGAAATGGAAGCTATAATAGATATTGCTTCGGTGCTCACCAACAAAGTGATTGTGACACCTTCAATATAATGGATCCTATGATACCATTTTCATGACGCTTTATATCTTTCATGTGAGTCTATAAAGTGCTCTCACAGTTGGCTACTCTTTTTAATCCAATTCTATATTTTAAAGAAACCCAGAAGAAATAAACACACTACATCCCATCATTCTTTATTATTATTATCGCACGCGCGTAAAGCCTTCTGCCGGTGGGGTTCTATCTACCATCCCAGTACATTTTTTAGTCACCAACCATATCGCACTGCCCAACTATGCAAAATTAAATATCATTTTTCTTATCAAAATTAAACTAAGCTGTGCATATCTTTAAGATTGAAACGACAAAGATATCTTCTTGTGTCCACAGAACACAGGATCGGTGAGATAGGTTTTGGAATAGTAAGAGGAAGAAAGTGCAAAGCAGATGATCAAATCAAACAAAAGCTAAACACAACAGGGAGGATGATTCCGATTGGGATACTCGTTCGAGTTTATGTGCCATTACTCTGTCCTATTATCTTATCCTATGCACTCCTCAACCATTGGGCGTTCCCAACTAATATATACAAATCTCCATTTTTATCCTAATTCTATATATGACAAGATTACGCATCTTTTGACTTCCGCAACATTCACCAGCAAATGCTTTTATTATTTTAAATTCAGATGTAAAAGTGTAAGTTATGTTTCTACCTTGCACGGGTAATAATAGTTTACTGTATTTGTTCATCTTTTCATTTATTTATTTTGACAGAATTCTCCTTTTTTATTTCCAGTTTTGAGAAAAAAATATCAATATAAATATCACAATTAGATTTAGTAGCCTTTTCTTGTTTTTTAAAATGTTTTTTTCAACAAAGTTAAAAGCTTTAAACAAAAGATAACGATCAAATTACTTTATGAACAGTTGGGACAATAATTATCTTATTTTAACAATTTATTATAAGTGTCTAATTTATAATTGTTAACTTAATGACTACAATATTCCTGTTTTCGCCCCGTTAAATGTTGGCACGTAACGTTGAGATGAAATGATGACAGGGCGTGATATGTTGAAACACAAAGTTGTAATTTGGAACTAATAGATACAATGATGATAGTAATTAAATAAAATGATGATGAGGGTGAGAAGAATGAGTTATTCCTTTTTGGTTTAAGATATCAATGATATATGCTTTAATCTGTTTTTGGGTCTTTGATTCCATCCACTAAGCACAAAACACATGGTTTCCTTCTCTTCATTGATGTAAAGAATATGATTGGACGGTCGATATTTTATCTTCTTGACATGACATTAGTAAAACACTCTGGATGCATATTGAGTGGAGCCAAGGAGATTCAATTTCTAATAACTCTTTCAAGTTAAATGTGTCTAGTGTTTTTATTCTTCATTTAACATTAATCAAATTTAGGAAGTGATTTATTTTAAATATAATTACATAAATATACTCGTTCGGCCTTCAAAAATCAGTGTCACCGACTTTGCGGGTCGGCAATCTTGTAGAAAATGAAGATACGATGCGAATGAACCTTTCGCTTTCACTAGTCAATTTGTCCTTCAAGGCTAAAGGAACAGCTAAATAATTATTAATAAAATAACAACAAGAGAGAGTCATAATTTTATAAGGATTTTCTTTCAATTCAAATATTTTCCCAGCCAAACAAGTGAGGCAGATTTTTTTGTGGATTACATATCAATGTATAACAACAAAATACCTGAACAGCAGAAAAAAAAAATTGAAAAAAAAATAAAAAATAAAAAAGTGAATATTTCATAGGAATCCATTTTCATGATACCCATTGTTATCATCATCTCCATTTTGTTGTTTAGTTTGCCAACCTTGTTTCATGTGATAGTGAAAAGAGTCGACCATGTTCTCCGGCACAGACAATACCACTCTCACGGCGTCAACATCATCCATAACCGGCAAAAACAAGCAGTAAATATCAGTGGTCAAAGGACCCATATGCAAAGCCTTACCCTCTCCAAAATCAACCTCTTCCAAACCCAGTTTAGACCACTGTGATATAACCAAAGTAGTAGAAAGATCTGTTTTTACCGTCTTGTCCTCCAACAAATCAACCACTGATCTTACGTACTCTTCATCTTTCAACCTCGCCTTGCCTTCTTGCACAAGTTTCACACCATGCTCAAGCTTGCCCTTCACTAAATCCTCTACGGTGCTTTCAGCGCACGCTAGTAAAAACCCGTTTCCGTAATACCCGTGTGGTAGATTAACTATTGTTCTAACGTTGACCGAGAACAGTAGTTTGACAAGGAGAGTGGAGGGCGGTGATGGGTTAAGTGATCGAATCCAAGAGCGCCACGTGTGCGCCGCAACTGCTTCGAATGAGGTGCACTTGAGAGGGGGGATGCACTGCTTCTTGAGGCAAAGGAGGTGGGAAGGGGTGAGGGTGAGGGATGTGGGTACCAAGGGGTGTGACTGTATCAGGTTGAAGAGGTTCACTTGAGGGCTTGGGCTTGCTGCGGTGTATCCCGGATGCCGGAACTTTACTTGTGGGGGTTTTCTGGGCTTTAGAGGGTGTCGGCAGTGAAAGGGCATGATGGTCAAATGGGCTTGGGGCTTGGCGGTGAGTTGGGCCCAAGCGTGGAGAAACTGAGACGTGCCGATGCCGTCGCATAGGCAGTGGCTGATCGCGGTGCACAGGATCATTCCCCCGCAGCACAGACTTGTTACCTGAAAATAGAAAAAGAATGGACAATTTGGTCAATCCGCCCAATTCTCTTTTTGTTTGTTTCCATCAAAATGGAGTTTAATATGCAAAGATAGTATCTAAAATTAAGTCTTTAGAACTCAAGAGATCTTTTTAGGGTCTCTCTAATAGATAGAGAATGAAGAAGGAGAACAAAATAAATTATATAATAAAAAAGGAAAACAATAAAAGAGTGAAAGATAAAATGAGAAAGAGTGAATATGAAAGTATAAAAACCAATTATTTAATATTGAAAATACAAGGAGTAATGGAGACGTGTGTAAGAATTTAAATTTTTGACCGATTAAACGCGACACCATGTTTTAATCTTTAACTCCTGGAGTTGAAAACTTTAATGTGTAAGGTGGAAGAATAATTCTGCAAATTTATAAGATTATTATCAACAAAATAATACCACTTTAAATGAAATAATTTTACATATTTAGATTTTTTTTGTATAAAATGTTTAAAATATTGACAACTTTGTGAAACATATTTTAAAAACAATGATATTTTTTTATAAGTAAATTGTTTGTAAAATAGGATTTAAAATTGTATTAGATATGAGTTTGTTTCCTTCTTTTTAATGAAAAAATATTTTTAACAAAACTATTTTAAAAATGTTTATTGAGTTTATTTACATTTAAAAAAAATAAAATATAAAAATATATTCTCAGAAGTTGTTTTATTTTTATTTTTTTTTCAAAAAAGTAGAACTGGAATTATCTTTTAAAACAAACAATACTTTTTATAGTTATAAACAAACGCAATATAATTCTAAAACATAAATTATTTTTTTATACATTTATAAAAGGAATACTTTAAACAGACGGGGTTAGATTCTGTAATATGTGATATTGGAGCACGAACCAACAACCAAGTAGATGAAATGACTAAGCCTAGATAACATAATTATTTTGCCAACAAGATTTTTAATCTTATTTCACGAATGTCATATCTTCATGACTTCCATTTTTATTTTATAAATTATCGACAGTAACTATAACCAACTGATTAATCAATTAACAATAAATAATAACTTCTAAAACCAATACCATAAGTTCAACCATATCAGCTCAGAGTTTTTATTTTTTGCAAAAAAAACTGTAAACATCATTTCGTTCATTTATAAGAGAATCAAACAAGGTTTTTGAAACTGAATTTCATCATAGTGAAGAAACAACTAAGGAAAGAATAAAATGAATGATATTACATACTGAGATAAGAAGTTCATTTTATAGAAACAGAGTTGAGAGAGTGCAGTTGTCATGATTCAAGAAACTCAAATTGCTCTATATTATATCTCGAAGACTTAAAAGGGTATATATATATATATTTTTTACATAAGTTCACTTATCTTATAATTTAACTTTTTCTTAGAAGAGTGTAGGGAGGTAAGATCCAAGAATCCAATTATAGATTGCTGGGTCATGAAATCTCAAATTTATGACATTAATTGACCAGTTAATAATTCTAAAAACTCGAAGGTTAAAAAAAATATATGAAAGGAATTAATTATTAGTCTTACCTGGACTACAAGAGGGGGGACATCTAGGAAACTCTGAGCTTCGACCTTATACAAGAACTTCCTCCATGACTTGTTTGGAGTCTTGGAAGGTTCAAGTAATTCTTGAGTAGTAGTGTCCATGAAAGCCTCGGCAAACACAGCACCTTCTCCATTGCAATCCACCTCAAGCTTGTGATCATCTTGGGAGCTAGTCCTCCTCAACCTTCCAGCTAAAGGGTAATAATCCACTAGAACTCTTGATAAAGACGACTTCAAGATATCCAAGCTCACGGATTTCTTGAAGAGGTACATATACTTAATGGAGAACCTCAAGAACTTTTGGTCGTCAAGATTAGAGAGATAGAGAGAATGTTTTGGTGTTGGAGCACATGGGAGAATGGTAACTGGTTGGCTACTATAGATACAATCAGGGAGTTCCATAGATTTTAACATATATTAAGTTTGCTTTATATATACTATAATTATAGACCTTCAATTCATGCTAACTGTTTTTTATGATAATGATGATGATTGATATGTCAACAGTTATATAAAGAGAGTGAAAGAAAGAAGAGAAGGGAAGGAAGAGATGATTGAATGAAAAGGTGAATGAATGGAATGGAAGAAGAAACAGCGAAGAACTGTATATATACAATACAAAGGAAGCATTTAGCAATGGGTCATTCTGAAATTTATGGTTTGGATAATGGTTAGAGTACGATGAGATTCTTTTTCAGGAGGGAGGCTAAGATGAGGGTACCCTCATCATAACTTTTCAGTGCTCTTCTACACTCTCATTTCACTTGTTTAACACATTATAATTATCACTTTAATATGACTGGAGATTAATAATACTAAGACCACACAGCAGGTTCTGCTGACAAGAGATGAGCACTATGTCTATCATGGTTAAATTAAATTAATACTTCCTTTGCTCACGTTAATACATGTATTACACGGCATATCTTTGCATAATGTTAATAATTCAAAATATATGAAAATCAATAAAAATAAAACCAAATAATTATCTTAATACCAATTTAAAATTTAATTAATTATACTCGTAAACTACTTTAGACAATCAATTGTTTTACATGTAGATAGATGAAAGAGGAGCAGTAGTGCACGCAAAAAGGTTAATTTCTCAGGCTAGCCGGAAAAGTTAGTACCGCGTGTCTGTGATTGTAAATTGTGGTCGTTTTTACACTTCAACAATCAACACGCGTGTTGTACGTATATCAAATGTATATGGACTTGAATAGTCTAGACTCTAGATTTTTTCATAGAAAAAAGAAAAGAAAAAGAAAGAAAAGTTCTCAAACGCGATTGAATATTTATAACTTTTTTTTATGTAAGGTAAACAATATTTGATACCTAATATTCTCTAATTAATTTTCCACCGCAAAGGATCGTGATCAAATGTCCACGTACGCACTGAGCTGCATTTAGTCGATGATTTCTCCAATGCTTAAGAAATTCAAAAGGCATATTATTCAATGTTCGTGTAGATTCCCATTATCCTGGTTAAAATTATGTCTCTCGGCCACAACTTCAACGTTAACATGTCACATCTTGGACAAGTTGATTACTTTATTGACGACCCTGTTGTTGGCTTTATATGGTAAATACATACATGCAAATTTCTACCTTCGTTAATTCATTATTGAATAGGGGGATGTACAATGGTTAATACCAGCTTTTAATAACAAATTATTAGTTTTTATAAGGTTTTAATTTGTTAAGTTATATGCTTAATTAATTAATAACTAAAATATCATTACTGAATGAAAATCTAATGTAAAAATTTTAAGATCTATTTAATTTGAGAAAACCTTTTTCAGTATTTTAATAATAATGAAAATATTATCCTTTTTTACTTCATTTTTTTTATTTAAAATATTTAAGATGAAAACAATAGAGCATTCTTTATACAGTTCTTATGAATAAAAGATAAAGTAAAAAAAGAAATATAGCCATAATAATTAAACATTAAAATGCTTTTCCTACCAAATTGGACAGTTAATATAATGCATAAATGTGTGTCATGTAATTCAGTATGTTAAAAGTTAGATTGTGCCGTGAAGAAAGTCAATGTGAAGTCTATGAAACCCGTTAATGCTTTTTTAAAATTACGAAGTCAATGTGTGACGTAGTTGGACATTTTTAAATTTACGAAGTATTATGTTTAATTTTTATATAAATTTGATATGAAATATTTTGCTTTTACTTTTACTAACTTTTAAATAAATTTTATATGATAAAATTCCACCAAAAATTCTACACTCCTTACTTTACCAAACGAAGCAATCAAACTCTGCTATGTTATATAAATGCCTAAACTTCTACTTATACAATTGTTATATTTAAAAGAATAATAAATCTATGCCATATATAAAAAGTTCACCTTTGACGAAGAACTTGTGGGAACATATCATGTACACATACAGAGCTCAATCACACGATGCTCTGACAACAGTACCATTTCATAGCTATAGACGGGAAACAAAAGTTTCATCGTGGTCCAAAATGAATCGCTCTCACTTGGTTTATTATAGTCCCTGAGGATGCTTCTAAATTTTCAGAGCCGTATTTAATTTAGATATGAAGCGGTCAAAACCTTTACCTCTCCAAATCTATAACCCTTATGCTTATATTAAATATGAAAAAAAATTGTGAAAATTTTTGTGGTAATGGAAACATCAGCCAACGAGATTCTTAACAATAACTACGGTGTCCCTAATAGACCTGAAGGAGAAACGCCAGAATCTGTTCTTACTTATTTGTTTGGTAGTTTGGCCAGTGGGGACTACTAAACAATTGTAGTGTCGCCGCAGTGGCATCCAGTGTCCTAATTTCTGTTACTCCTCTGCTATTACAATATATTAGGGTCCTGTAGTATCCTTTCCCTCCTATTATTAGAAAGAGAATATAACTCATTCCTATTTATGGGGTATCTGTTAAATGTGCTTTTTTAAGAACGTTTCTTTCATAACACGAGAGGAAATATTAGAGTAAGAAAAAATGTGGCAGTATAAAAAAGGAATTTTGGCAAATTTACCCTGGTATGAGAATCACACCTAGGACTTCTCTTATTTAAACTTTCAATCGCTGGTTCTTTCGGCAACTTATACGTACCAACCATCGAATGGACTAAACTGAATATACCATTTATCGTGCATCATGCGTTTATAACATCACCGCTAACCATCACTACATTTAACATGCAGACAATGGGTACTATTCTGCCGAAGGTTAGTTCCACCTAACATGAATATGCTTCTGTTTAATTTAATAAGGTGTATCAGCACGAAAATCAATCAACTTGATATTTTAAGTATCGATTAATTTCACCAGATTGCCACGATTAGATGTGATTCCTGCTATCAATTAATAACACAAAGAGGCAGGTGAATGGCAAACAACTTTGCATGCCCCAAAAAGGCAACAACTCGGCCAGAACAACTAATCGAATCTTTGGTGGCTTTTACCTCGGACACGTCTATGCGAGACATTATTGGCCACATAATAACAGGGAATACCGTTGTTTTATAAGATCTAAGTTGGCTGAATCCCACTAATCCCTAACAATCTTGGCTTCCACAATAAAACTTTTGCACCTTATTTTACCTAACTTGACAACAGTCGCACAAACGAGATTACCCTTTCCTCGTTCCTCTCACTTTTTTCCTTTTGACCTTTGCCTTCATGACATACGGGGCCAGGGGAATCAAATTCCCGTCAAAAACCAGCTCAGGTTCAATGGCATATACATTCCAACGAATATCTGGAGTCCAACCAATTACTTTGGAAACTAATCACTTCATAAGATTACCGACATTAAATAAGGTCTCTAATCACTTTTCGTTTTAGAAGTCAGCCCTCCACATTACACAACTTTACTATCATTGTCTGCTTTACAATCTGTCTTTAATTATTTTTATTATTTTTTATACAAATCTTTTAAAATAAAATAAAATGAAAACAATGTGATATTTTTATAATGAAAAACCAAAAAAAATAAAAATTTCTGAAGTAAAACAGTTGTTTAAGAACTCCGGTCAAGTTTCCACTTAGCCAATAATGACATTAACTAGTCATAGTCATCTTCACTTCTAGGGGCAGAAAGCCTGTCATCTTTTCACGTGTTATGCTGCCGTACCCCAAATTTAACAGTCGATTTTAACTTACAAAAAACGTCACATGCAATTTTCTGGAATAATTCAGAATACACGAACAACAATGAGTTGGCAAGCAAGTAACCTCAGCATTTGGACAAGAAGCGACTGGAATTACAACCGAGCAACGTATGAGTTTGCTTGGGTTACATATCTAACCCAGCGATAAGGATTGTGTGTTTTTGACTTCTTTGCTATTTGCAAATATTTCACCTGCATAAAAAAATGGAGTCTTAGAATTATTTAAGATGAGGGGGTCCAAATAAAACAGATGGAAAATTCAATTTGCAAGAACAAAGAGGAAAGTTGAATCTACATCTCAAATCATGAAGGGATAATAACACAATCAATTTTAGCATCCATTAACACACAAGCTTCGAGAAAAAGTGAAAAACAACAAAGGCATAATAAGATTTAATTTCTAGATTAGCAGTATAATTACAGCACCATATTATCAGAAAAATCTGGCAAGTTTAACAAACATGTATAAAAGTCCAACACAGACTATCTACCTTTATTTAACAAATGTAAAAGGAAACGTAGCTTCAATAAAATCCTTAGCATTTTACCTGAAGCCTTGAAGCATTGTACATAGGAATAGTGAAAGTCATGCTAAGAGGCCCGGCTTCTTTCACGATATTTCCTGTGTTCATTACAGAGGTGTTAATTCATATTACAAAGAGCAATGTCTCTGAAACATTCAGCCAAAACAGAACTATCAGCATTGTACCATGTAGCTCCTGTGAAAATGTCAGCTTTGCTCGTAAAGTATGTTCAGACCCACCAACAACCTGTAAGAAAGGATGGACCCACCATATTTTCATCAATTAATATTACTAATATTAGCTTCAAATAACCAACTGAAGATCCTTTAAGAACATCAAATAAACCAGTGTTATAAAATATACTGATTGTTAATGCATAAACAAAAGATCAATATTACCTTTTTCAGGCCCCATTCCAGTCTTTTATTTGCTTCCTTAAAATCAGTGGTGTGTCCAACTGCTCCAGGTTCTAACTCAAAATTAACACTGAAAAGTTGAAAATAAATTTACCAACAGGATGTAAGATCAAGTAATCAGGATGGTACTCTTTAAGTATCTAAATGATCGGACCTTTTGGCCTGGTCTCTCCAATAAATTTTAAAAAATATGCTCACACACATGCAAAATAAAAACAAAAGGTAGCATAACATATTTAGTAGAACAGGCTCCAACCACCCCATCTATATCAAGAATAATAAATGAACCTTTGGCATGTACATGAATAGTTCCCCTGCTTATCTCATTTTCTTTCTCACAGCCAGTCACCAGTGAGGCAGTGACTACCACAGTGGTGCTAGTGCCAAAACTAGTAAGCACTCCTTTCTTTTCTCTCCATTTTTCATGTTGAATGTTATGGTTCTAATTTATAATTGGAGACATTCAATACTAATATTTTGGAGTGACTTTATAACTTATTTCTATATGCTTGACCTTTATTTGATAAAAATTTTACA